TACATGTAAACTCTATATATGTAATGCAAATGACATTATTAGCCAATCATATCATTGATTTTTATTTTGTTCAATAAAATTATATTAACAACAACTTCATTGAAATCATTAAATAACAAACAATTATCTTTAAAAATCTTAACTAAACATCACACATAAATCATTAAAAATAAATTTAATGCTTAAAAATTGCTTAATATTTATCATAAATGCTTAATTTTGAGTTCAATAAAAAAAATCATATTAAAATACTAATATATCATAAATTAATAGCTATTCTATAGATACATATTTAGTATAATAAAAATTTAGTATATATTTAGTAGAGAAAATGAAAATTATCAAAATTTATATTTAAAAAATATATAATATCGTTAATCATAATGTTTATTTAAAAATTATTGACATTTATTTAAATAATATTCAAATTGAAAACACTGATTCAAACCTTTTGTTAAGCTTTTGAATAATTATTTGTTTTGTATAAAAGAAAATACTAAATAAAACTTAAGTAATAATTATGATTTTTCGCTGTAAATGATATATAGCTTTGGGAATGACTTTAAAATGATTTGCTGTAAAATTGTTTATTACTCTTTGAGAAAACTTGTTTTGGTTATAATATAATATCATATATAAATATACATATAGTATGGGTTATATTCTCAATATTAATGGTATTAAAAAAACGTTTTACTAATAATTGCTTAATAAGTGATTTGAAAATTTATCACTTCATTGAAATGCAAGCAAAGATCGAGAAATATATAAATTTTGTAAAATATATGAAACAACAAAAATTGAATTCACGAAATCGAGTCAATTGAATACTCAATAATTTTTTAAAAAGTTTTTAAGTTTAGATTAACGGACTATTAAAGCATATTATGTTGGCCTCAAAATAATATTTTTAAATGTTATGCATTCCTTCTAATATTATCTATGTTTATGTAATTAGTATCAATTTTATGTTATAGCATAAATTACAAACAATTATATATTTATTAAATATACAGTTCAATAAATATATCAAACAATGTTTTTGATAAAATATTTTTTAATTTAAATCAAACGGTTAATAAGGGCGATACCAATGGGCACTCTTAGAGAAAAACGATAGGAAGGGGTTCACTAAATATTAGATTTTTATATTAAATGGTTTATCTCATGGACTGAGGGCCTTATGTGGCATTCAATCATATAATTGACTGTTATGATGGTGGGAACAGTTGAAACAAACCATTAAACTATTTCAAAACATGCAAATAATAACCACTCTATTGACTGTCATATAATAATAAATTATTTAACAATTGATTATTTATTTACTTATTGTTTGTCATTAATGTATCGCTGGATTACAAACAAACCGACGAAATAATAAACAAAAGTCAAGTCATTATTAATATTTAGCGGATATTTTACAGATTTTTTTTTAATAATAAAATTGTATTTATATTTTCTGTAAATACTTATCTGTTTTCTCTAATTAGCGAATTTTAAAAATAAAATCCTTTAAAAAACTAAAATTAAACAAAAAATATATTATAAAGTTAATTACGAAATCCAAGTTTAAGAAGAATAACTAAAACTATTGACGAGAAATAAATGTTAACTCTTAAAGTGATTATTGCTATCTATTGGCTATATTTAAGTCCGGTGTTAATCATAGGAATACCAATGTTATCATCAATGATGGGCTCATTCAAACTGACAACTGCCCCGTCTATACTGTGAACCGGTGTTGTATTCATATGAATGATGATATCTAATCACGGGTTTAGTGTTTTTATGATGTCCTGAATGCTTAAACAATAATTGTCCTTAAGGTGTATTGAATGTTGTATTCAAAAATGAATTCAATGAACGCTTATTGGCAGAGAGAGAGAGAGAGAGAGAGAGAGAGAGAGAGAGAGAGAGAGAGAGAGAGAGAGAGAGAGAGAGAAAGAAAGAAAGAGAGATGGTTTATAGTTTTTTAGAGAATAAGGTTGTGTTAGGAAACCCAAACCACTCCCAATCATGCACTCCATACCCGAAAACTTTTGATTTATTATTGCAATTATAATTATTCCCCTCATGCGAGACACAATTATTATTATTATTATGATTACAATACTCGATGTAATGTTGTATTTATGCATTATTGAAATAGTTGTAACATTGTATCAGACAGTGAGACCATCAAGACATTTAAGGGCCAGACTTAGACCAGTGCAACAAATTAATAGCCTTTTTCTCTTTGCCTCAATTTTGATGATTTACATTCAAAATATTAAACTTATTAAACTCAATATTCCTACCAAACCTCCCTCTCATTTCTTTTTAAAAAATATTTTTATATTATTGATGTACTATTACATCAAATTTTGTTGCTAAACAAAACCTCAAACAATAATCAAACAAAAGTGAGATATATTGATATATATAAATATAATGTTATATAATATACATTTATACAGAATATATATATGCGTGTATGTATGTGTGTGTGTGTGTGTGTATTGTATGACCACCGGAACCGACTCACTAGCAAACACATGGTTCTACACCCTTGGGATAGATTAACAAAACGAGACAAATAGTGAGGCAATACTAGACTTATATAACAGTCAGTCTAAGTCAGACTCACTTTTACTCTAAACGCTAAAAAACTCATATCAAAAACATTTATATATTTGTATATACAGTATAATATTGTATTGTATGAAATAATTTGTATTGTATGTCATGTTTGCTGTGACTGTTACTTATGGCACCGGTATGTCACAAACGAATCGATCGATTGATTTCTCTGTCTTTTTATGTCATTTTTGATGTCAAGAATTTGTTTACTAAATGTCTTCTCATTTATACAATACACAAACATTTATCTCTAGTTATGCTTATTTAAGTCAACATTACATATGCAATATAGCAAACAATTGACACAAATTTATTGCCTTAAAATACTATTAATACATTTACAATGATATTATAAGATATATTGTCAATCATTATAATACTAATATTTTATTTATAAAAATATTAACATTAATTAGTTTTAAAAGTGAGTTCATAAATAATTATAATAATTTTGTGCTAATATTTTAATATATATCATATTTAATGTTTGCTTTAAGGAATTCATTGCATAATATAATAGTTTCTTTGTGTTAACGATTAGAGTATTGAATTGATTTTGGTATTAGTTTTAATGTTTAGTGAGACATAATTTTAGTGAAAAAAATTGAAAGCATTTTTAAGAAACATTTTTAATGATTATTATGGACCACATCTGCGCTTTTGATGGCTTAGAGGTCTGACAAACACAAACTTTAAAGCTATTGATGGGTTGCATATAATATACATCACTATTTCGATAATTTATTGTTGATGTTTAAGGAGAGGGGATTGCAATGAGTGAGTGAGTGAGTCAATGAGTGACTATAAGAGAGACTGAGAGAGAGAGAGAGAGAGAGAGAGAGAGAGAGAGAGAGAGAGAGAGAGAGCCTCATAAACGACTACAAGTTCTCAAAACACGTGCTATTATAGCAGTGCTGGTAGTGTTTGGCTATAATATGCCTTCAATGGCAATAGTAAATCATTGGACCCCTGTTTGGGGGCAATATTTGCCTCTCATATCATAAATTAGAAAAATGTGATTTTGGCAAAACTTTTTTAGTGATGGATCGCTTGAAAACCTATGTCCTGTCCCTAACCTTGAGTTTTGAGCTCAAACACCAATAATAGCCAAAAGAGCTTCTGATTTATGGCATTTCATTCACAGATAGATTAGAGAGCGCTCTGAGAGCGGGCGCACAAAGAGATCCGTGACGTTTGACTGACACCACCACCAGATTGATGGATATGAATAAACAGCAGATGGCATATTACCAACCATTGCAGTCACCAACCATTAGGTATGAACTGCACACCCGATTCACTATACGGCTGTGCATTCAGTCACACATCATATGGAAGACAACCAGAATCTCATCAAAGAATTTAACTCAAGAAGAAAAAGAAAAGACAAACAGAGTAAACGAAACTACAGTTAAACATAAAAACAACAGAAACAGTCCCTCTGTTTTTAATCTCAATCTTTGCGGTCAAAAAATAAAATAAAAACATAACTTTGGGTTTGTTTTGATATTAAGTGTTGTATACTACAAATATATGAGTAATTCAATTCAATTTTTATATAAAAAATACCACATATTGTACAGTATATATACAGTATATACTAAATATATATAAAAGTTTTCTCTAAGATTTATAACAACTGGATGAGCAAATGCTAGATAAGTGTTAGTTATGTAATACTTATATAACATATATAATAAGTTATAAGCAGTACATGACATGTTTGTTACTTTTACTGTCATAATGTACTGAAAATCAGTCAGATTTGAGGACAAACTTTTGAATCGATCGCTAAATAAATGAGTGAATAAAGAGATAAAAAGATTAAGGTTTGTAATGGAAGTGTTGTCTTATAGATTGACGACTTGTGTCAAGCAATGGATGCCTGCATTGGCATCAATAGGGCATACGGTGTGCGCAATGCTATTGTGTGAGTGTTTCTCATCTCTTCGCTTGTCATGTCAGTCATGTCAGGTACAGACATATCGAGACAACACATCACACACTGTATGTCAATCAGCGCTCAAATGCTTCAAAACTCTCACTAAAATTCTATTGAATTCTGTCTCAAACATCGATTCTGTGTTTGTCAACATATATATAACATCAATACAATCATTACATTTAATCAATTATTAAAAGACATCACAATTTTTATTATATATATAAACACTTTCTGTAAAGCTTTCGCACAATTATTCATATAATTGTAGTAAAGGTTTGAATTATAAAAAAAACTAATAATAAATATATTGATTAAAGAAGTTATGAGTAAATAAAGAATATTTAGAAGAAATAGAATGTTATATAACAAGTGTTAGTTGAGAGCTATGTTAAGGAAAGGTATGTTAAGGTATGTTAAGGTATGTTAAACTTACATTTGGTGACATGTTTAGGTCTATCCTGCTTTTTTCGAGGCATGACTTTAGCCGAAACATGCACTTAGAGTGTTATATTGTTATACAACAGTTGAAAACACTTGTCTCACAGTTTTTCACATATTATGTAAAAACTGCACAAAACTCTCGTCGGTTGTGTTTACTGTTAGTTTTTGGGCGTTCACTACTTGTTCACTACAAACTTCCTTCTGATCCATTCACAGCAGATGCCTGTGCTTTGAGTGACGTTTAACTGATGGACAGGTTCACAGTCTGATAGACTGAAACACTGATAGAGAGTGACTAAACAGACAGACAGCACACACATACAGATGTGAGAGTCAAACCACGCAATGCTGTGACGATTCTTGTAGTTTATACCATACTATTGGATACCAACCTATCATAACAAACCAATACTCACTCACGAGGATAGGTCTGACATCTGATTTGGAGAGATTAAGACAACACACAAAACACTCATACATTTGTGCAACAAATTTCAAATACATTTTTCTCAATAATCTAACTTATCATAACATATTGTATTTCGATATAATATTATTTTATTGTATATTATATACCTGTTTATCATTTTAGACAGTTTTGATTGACACTCGTTCAATATTTATTTATATTGAAAATAATTCAATATTGATATCATTTCAACATTTGTTTTAATTATATTCATTCAAAAATTTAATGATTCATTAAATGAAGAGTTTTATATTTAATATATGACATAAACTTATTTTAGACAAAAATGATTTAAATATAGTTTTGCAATTTATAATAAAAGTTTTGTAAAATCATTGTATTACTGAAGTAAACTAAATAATAATGATTTTTTAAAAACAATATGCTTTATACATTACATCAATATTTTTAATTTATTGATATTTTAGTAAAATAACTTTTAATTTATTGTTTAATGAATAATATTAAATAAAATATTTTTTTTAAATATATTAGCTAAACAAGATTTAGAAAACACTAAAATTGTTATAATAAATATTTAAATTTATTAAGACTTTATGTTTATAAAACCGATTCGTCACTTAATAGAAGGACATTTCAACAATTTATTATAAATAAAATAATATAATAAATACTTTCCTATAAAAATGTTTATTAATTATGATTGATTAATAATTTTTATCACACAAATAACAATAGTTAAACAATCAATAAGAATTAATTTATAGTTTAATTAAATTATTTTTATAATGCAAAGTTGTAAAATTAATTTTATGCATTCTCATATTAATCAATTGTATTGATCAATATACTGTAAATATCAATAGATAGCTAATAAAGAAATATAATGTACAGTATTGTACTGTACAGTCGTAAATGTATAAACTAAATAAAACTGTATATAAATGTGGAATTTATGTTATAATAGTTTGTTTATTCATATTTTTGAATAATTTTTTATTGATCTTATCTCAGTCATTAACTATTTATATATAAATATATAAAAAATTATTAATAATAAAAATTTATTTAAATTATTATTTTATTATTTTTGTATAATTGCAGTCATAGACTGACATCAATTACAGTATAATTATAGTGAAGACTTTGTAAAACATTGCTTAAATATAAATATATAATTATTTTTACAAACATTTTAATTAAATAAGACACATTGATCAGTCTTATTTTAACATATCAATAATAATTAATCTAATTATTAATATTAATAATTTAAATATTATAATAGAAATATCATAATTGTTATTAAATATAAATACATTTACTTAATACAATAAAGTAGTTTTTCCAAAAATTTAAACTACCCGTACATTTAATTATTAAACTAATATTAATTTACAAAATACAGTTTTGTTTAAATTAATTTATTAAATATAAATTAGACAATTGAATTAAATTTTTAAATAATAAAACAATAAAATATAATATTTAAAACATATATTCTATAAATTAATTTAATAACGTTGTCATAAAAATATCCATAATTTTGATAAAATGGATAAGTGTATAACAACTTTATTAAATAAAACTAATAATTTTAACAAATTTTTTTTAATGAATATTTCAATTAAAATGAAGTGTCATAAACAAAATGTTGTGTTTATCAAAATATATATATAAACTTACAAATATAAATTTAATTTTTTTTCAACAAATTATCCGGACAAACCATTAATAATAGTATTGATTAAATAGTAGCCAATTTTCTACACACATTAGTTTATTTATTTTATAAATCCTGTGTTCCGCTAGGAATACTATAATATAAAAAAAGAAATTTTTAAGAAATATTTCAAAATTTATTTATAAATTACATATTTAAATAACATTAGAAATAATAATTATAATAATAATAATAAAAAGGAAATCAATGGAAATACTACTAAATCTAATGGTTAATTAAAATAAAAATAATGACTACTAATGTTGATAAACAACAATAAAAAACACGTTTTTTCATAGATGTACTGTTCTGTTATATACCGGCGGAACAAACTTTGAGCGAATAATCCTATTTTGAGCTCACTTTGTATAGACTTTTCCTGAGTCTTCCTTTCCTTGATATTTGGTCTTTCCGTGAGTCCACGGAAGATATCGGTACTTAATCATGTGCTGAAAATCATTTAAATTATTTAATTAGTCTTTTAAATCATTTACAGTATATATAATTATCAATTTTTTCAATTACTTTGATTTGTCTTTTCATAGTAATGCCGAAAAGTGTAATGAAATAAAGCAGAAGAATGGGCCAAAAGACTGGAATATTGAAAGCCTCGAAAAATGTACAGAAAAGGGCTATCAGTGTTGCCTTCGTTGAAGTGTACCTACGATTACCAAAAACATCCTAATTATCCTTAATATTCATTTATATAGAGATATCAAATATTTACCAAAACTTAAATTCTGGTAATCTTCTAATGAATGGTCGAAACTCTTCATTAGCATTGGTAGGCAAAGATGGACCGTCAGAATCTATTATAATTGTTTCGTTTTTTTAAATTAACTAATATTTATTATGACAAATATCAGAACTGGACATACCTTCAAAGTCATCATAGATGGCTGGATCTATTTTGGGCGTTAAAAACGCAATCAACATATTTAAGTAATATATACCCAAAGCATAACATATTATATACCATCCCTATAATTAACACATTAATTATAACAATACTAATTTCAACAATAAAACAATTTAACAAACTTGATATATAAACACTCGACCCATAAATATGATAAATATGACTAATGTAAAGACCTGTTATAATTAAATAATCAATTAATTATCAAAAATCAATTATCATTTAATTCAGTCACAAGTCATTTCACAATTGGCCACAAATAACATTCAAATGATAATTGTTTAGATATTTTACTATTTAATTATCAATTTAATGGACTATCGATCCCTAATATTAACTAAATTAACATCAATTGCCGCTAATTATGAAACACATGGACTTTGGTGTCAAATGGTGACCAACCCATCGGTGTGGGACATATGGTGTCCATACGTCGAGCAATGATTGGTATCGCTATTATTAATATAAAGACATTAATCATTTGATGGTATGGTATGTATGTATTTGTGTAATACCTGTGACAGAGTTGTCATGAATTTAGAGACCGCCGATGGTTGGGATGAGTCAACAAATGGTTCGTTCATTGAGTCCATGTTTGCACACAATCTATAGTTGTATTGTATTAAAAGTAACCAAATTGGACGCTGTCTTAGTTGGCCATCAATTGTAAATCACCGAAAAATGCCATTTATTTGTCTAATCTAATGAATGATTAATCAAAATATGACAATCAAGTGATGACTTCACTCATCAAATTGAGACACGAATGCTATACTGACTGTTATTATGACATTAACTAATAGATGGCATTCACTCTCATTTCATATACTATTTCATGCATTAAATGAAAATGCATTCAAACATTAAATTTACTTTACTTTAGATTTAATTAATTAATCGATTGATTGTTATTATAATACTGTATATCATATATGACCCACATTTTAATCATAGCATATATAATGTATTATATAATAGTTATATATTATATGTTATGCAATACTAATGCATTGATTGTCACACATGTGTAACTAAATGCCGGTTTTGCACTTAATTCACATGAAATACACGATTCAATTGTCATTTAAATGCTTATATAATATGTAATATATTATAGATATGTATATCATTTTCAATTTAATTATTTATTATATTTTTGTCATTTTCATAGATAATCTTCTTTACATTTAGACTATTGAGACAATAAAATCAAATAAAAGCAATTGTTGTCATTGAATATGTAATACAATTGTTTATATCATTGAAAATGTGGTCCAAAACTATTTGCAAAGCAATCATAGGATTAGTGAATCATTAATACAGTTATTGAGTCTATATTTAGGATGAGTTCATAGTATAAGTCAATTGCAATACTAATAGAAAACAATGGAATGCTATGAATGTAAGTGACTATCGATAGTAGTGTTCATCCAATTGACTGACAATTACTGCTTTCATATCAATTATAGTCTAATGAAATGTCAATCACTTATAATTACAATAGATTTCATTAAAGGTCTTAAAAACTAATATTTAATACCATTTTAAACATTAATATTGAAATCAATTTCAATAAAAAGGGGATTTAAAATACATGTATATTGCGTAACGTTTTACACATTTATGTATACATTAGACGTGTAACGGTTCGGTCAGTAATGCATCCAATTTGCAAAACGGATAATTCATTTCAATATCTAATTATAAAGTTTTATATTTGATACTAACAAATGTTAAAATAACATAAATATATTGTTTTATTGATATAATAATATGAAAACATTGATAAAAATATATATTTATTTAATTTGTATATTCAATGGATTGGTTGGATATGTGTGTCAGTCATGTATTAAATGTATTGCGTATGTGTTGTGTGTGAGCACAGTGTGAGTTATGTGTATAAGTTAGTGATGTTAAACTCAGTGTATTTATGTTTAAGTTAAATATTAAATTCAAAATAGTTTAATCAAGTTATAATTTTATAAATACAATAGTAAATAATTATAAAAATTAAATATAAAGTTTCTGATAAAAATAAATAAATTCTATACCATTATTGATTACTATTTAATACTGTATATAATTAAATTTATTCACTTGTATTATCAATTTTATTCAAAGTCAAATTTTGATTAAATTTTAGGTTATTGTCAAAATTTAGATTAAACACAATTGGAAATTATGATTTTTAAAAACGCAAAAAATCGATATACTTTATAAATAATATTGATTTTTATTAAATTTTAATTTAACATTAAGTGGTTAAACAAGTGTTGAATTATTAATATTTTTAATTTGAATTAATTGAATAGTGATTTGAATTTTGAGAATTTGAAGTCATTTGCAACCTTACTATGACTGCAATCCAATGCATGTATACTATAGTTGTGTATTAATATGTATTTAGTGTCAGCACTGGTATCCAGTCGTCATCACATCAAACATGTCGTCCTATAGCGAGGCATGAATGACATGATTGCCATATATTTGTATTAATTATGGACTCAAATCACATAAATGAGGTAACGTATGATTACATATGACTGTCCATTATCCAACTGACCATCTGTTTGAACCCATATAAGCTCTATTGAGTTACTTACCCGACCTATAGGTGCCAACAAATGGTTAACTATTGACTCTATGTTTGCCACACATTGTATACATTGACAGTCATTACTACATAACTTAATCACTGCTTTTAATTGCTATTTATATTTTTAAATGATTTGATTTATTGTCAATTGTTTGGGATATTAATTGAGAAACCAATTGAAAGCAATACTTAATAATTGCTATTATATTGATATAACATATGTTTTAATGATTGCTATTCGGAGTAATAAATAGATACTAAAGACGACAATCAATGTATTGCATCTATTAATAGACATTTTGTTGATTTTGTTTATTATCTCATTATCTCATTCAAGGCAATGGAGTTCTTAGACTTAAGCGATGCTAACGACGATGAGAAGGCCGACGCTATGGCTATCATTGGATCGGTTCCTTTCAATGGCGTTGAAGTATATTATCCTATATGTTATTATCATATGTTTAACTGATTTAATGGTTTTTTGTTGATTTGATAATAGTTTCCTTTTGAAATGACACCATTTGTTAATAAAATGCGGATAAAAGTATCTCACGAGTCATTCAATAGTTTGTCACAAGAGGTTGATTCTGGCGTCGATAATAGGCAACCGGCAATTGAGACACCAGTCAACTCTTCAGCGCCATTAAGACATTCACCGAATCAGTTTGTGACAACTCATACTCCCGAAACAGTGCCACAAACGACAAACTCGGTTCCTTATATGGAAATGACACAAAACATGTCAAATGGTGCACCTGTTGTGTGCGCACCGCCGCCACAACAATACATATATCAAACACAACCTCAATATCAATACCAATCACAGCCGCAAATTGCCAATCATTACTATCAAATGTCTCATAACGGAGCGCCTATTGTTCTTAATACAGGCAAAGATATGAACAAAGTTAGACAATCGGTTCCGGGTATAAACACCGGTAAATCTGGAAAAATTCATAACGATATCAGAGCTCCTTTTTATTCTTCCAATCAATACCAAGAGGTATGTATACAATGAATATGTAGTGAATTAGATTAATATATTGATAACATTAACAGATACCACAACTGATTGATGCTAATCGTACGTCTCAGGCAATAGTAAGCGATACCATAGTGACTATGCCATCAGTGCAACCAATGTTCACACCTGGATTTTCTCATATATTGCCACCATTTGCCGGGGCACAGATGTATTTGATTGCTACTCCCGAAGGATCCTATATTACCTATGGTTTGCCTCAGAATGTTCCCATAACCCAAACTCAACAACTGTCGGGCCCACACACAGCCACTAATGGTGAGACAAACTCTGCCAACTCATGTAAAGTGCCTTTAAATGGTTTCAACGCTGTCGAGAATGAAATCGAAAGGTGCAATGATAACCAACTAAGTGATGAACTCAGTGAAGAACCAAACAGTGAATCAAATAATGATTTTAATGACAATATTAATGATAACGAAATTGAAATTCAAGACTATAACGAAAATACTGAGACAAACATTGATACCAATGATGCAAGTGATGTGAAAGTTAGTGATAATGATGCGATTGAATCGGTTGAATCAGAAGAAACTCTCAGAGAGTCTCCAGAAATAGAAAATAATAATTTGGTTGATTCAACTCAAACAAGCACTTCGGCACCGACGACACCTCCAGCAAACAGCACCAGCAATGTGTGGGCTAATAAAACTAACCGTTTGTGGGCCGACCTATTTAAAGACTCATCCGCTCCTAATCATCCCTCGTTAATGTCATCTAACCTCTCATCACAAACGACTGGTGGTTTGACCACCGGCTCAATAGTCAGCCATAACTACAATGATTATAATTTATCTGAAAGTGACAGTCATTTGAATTCTAGTTTTGTTAACAATAGTGAAAGTGAAGCTCAAATTAAACGCATTCCCATTAATTGCGATTCATTTGCCAGAAAACTATCCAAAAAAGTTAAAGAAATGCATTTAAAACATTTCTTACCATATCTTATACCCGCAGGTCTTGTCAATCGTGGCAACTGGTGCTACATTAACGCCGTATGTATTTCAATAGTTTATAAGTTTTTAATTTTGAATATAATTTATTATTTTAATTAATAAAATTTTTGATTGATTGGACAGACCCTTCAAGCATTGGTAGGTTGTCCTCCGTTTTATAATTTAATGCGAGATATCGGAGAAATGTCTGACATTTATAGAGAAAAATCGTCGACACCTATAATTGACAGCTTGTGAGTTGTGTTTGATATTGATTTAAAATATATTACATAAAATGAAATTATATTGTCGTATAATTTGATGTTTGTTTTTCGACTTAAAAGTTAGTTATAGTTGTTTTATGTTTAAGATAATATTTTATAATAACATCAACTTATTTTTTTTACAATTTTACAAAATTGTAAATATTTTTATATATCTACTGTATATTTGTAGTGCAAAACTATTAACATGAATCTATATTTGAGTCATATTTTATATAAAAAAAATTTAATGTTTTAATTATAATTATTAATTTGTTTTTATAATTATAGAGCAAAGTTTTTTAGTATGTTAACTCCAAGCGAACATTTAACACGAAAACAAAAAATTGGTATTAATTTGACGTCAGAGGAGATGCCCAAAGCTGAACCCATTGAACCACGTTTTATATATGATATGCTATCTGTTCTTAAGGAAGAATGGGGTCTTAAAGGTCGTCAAGAAGATGCCGAAGAATTTTTGTCATTCATTTTGAATGGACTTCACGAAGAAATGATAGCACTTTTGCAATACAATGACAATGCGATAAAAATGTTGAACGGAGATACTGTCAATGGACACACCGATAAAGATCAAACCCGATCACAATATAATGATTTGAATCAAAATGACATGAATTGTGATGACGACGACGCAAACCTATGGAAAGAAGTCAGTTCAAGACATAAGGCATTGCCCACACGCTCTGTAAGACAAAAATTATTATAATATATATATAATTTTATTAATTTATAAATAAATTCAGACAAAAGTAGATTCTTCTCCAATAATGGAAATATTTGGCGGCTCAGCCCTTTCAATCATAACTGCTGGTTCATATGCACGCGGCAATAGACAACCATTTTTTGCTCTGCAATTAGACATTCAGGTAAATAGTAAAGTAATTATACAGCTAATAGTTTAATGCAATTAATTTTATTTGTTAATAGTCTGATAGAGTAAAGTCAGTAGAGGACGCACTTAAGTGTTTGACAACTTCGGTATCAATTCAAGACTATATTTGCCCGAAAACCAAACAAGCAATAGATGCGAGCGCTCAGACATATTTAGAAACATTACCTCCAATTCTTATACTTCATTTGAAACTTTTTGTTTATGATATGGACGGAGGATGTCGTAAACTAATGAAAAGAATTGAATACCCGGTAGACTTGGAGTTACCGCGAGAGTGTCTTCACTTCGACAAATGGGAGAGAGAGAAGAACTATCAGCTAAAACGATATAAATTATTAAGTGGTTTGTTTGACTTTAATTAATATATTTAACAATAGATTTAAATTTATTTATACATTAAATAGTTGTGTATCACGACGGCTCTGAGGCAGTTAAAGGACATTATGTGGCCGATGTATATCACATTGGAAGCAATCAATGGCTCAGATGTGATGACCAATCAGTGAAAGTGATCAACACTACTAAAGTGCTCAATACTGACTCTTCACGAACTCCTTATCTATTATTTTACCGACGATACGACACTCTTTACAACAAACATACACTTCATGCAAATAATTCAAAATCATATTATCATTAATTGCAAGTTATATTCAATATACAGTATATTTATAATACAACGCATATAATAATAATAAGTGTTTATACAAATTGTTTTTTGACTGGTCTTCCCGTTTAACAGTTATAATTAAAAGAGTAATAAGTTATGAGTAAAAAGACAGTTATGTTTTTGCTGTGCTTTCTATGGACTAAATGCTGTGATAAGTGCTTAATGGGACGTTATGACAAAGCTATTGATATTAGATATAATTGAATACGTTATTAAGTAAATCTATTTCTAAATTTTATTAATAAATTTGTTATCAAATTAGTGCTAAAATTAAATTGAAAAATGAACGATATAACCGTCCAATTAGTTTGTTTGAAGGCTATTACCGTAAAATTTAATTTATTATTCATTACAACACAACCGTCCAAATATTGAACCGTTATATTAAGTGTGCGATCATACGATATATATCAAAATAAATTAACAAATTATTATTGAAGATATTATCATTTTTAGTTTATTAATCGACGATATTAACAAACAATGGATCGTTTTACTAATTGATAACTAAAATTAGTTATATTAATAGTTGATATATGAAAATAAATTTATTATTAATAATGTGAGAATTAATTTGTGTGCAAATATAACTCTAAAATATATATTATATATTAATGAAGACTAGGAATATTTGAAAATTTTGTATAAATCTGAAAATTTGATGTAATAATTATTAATATTATATTTGTTTTGCTTTTAATTGTTTTATCAATAAGTTTTGATATTTATGGAAATTTAATTATTATATACGAAGTGAAATGCATAACAAATTGTGCACATACTGTCACTTTAGTTTTTTTTTTATATAAAATATTAATATTTAAAGTGTTTAATTTAATTGAAATTATTAATATATGTATTTGAATTTAACTTTATAAAAATTGGTTAAATATAAACAAATGTTTTAAAATGCAATTAATATTTAACACACAATTATGATTGATAAGTACATTTAAGATCTGCTATTAAAAATGGTTTAACAATATATACATATTAATTGTTGTTTGACTTATCTTGAATATAATTGACATAAATTCAAAATTATTACAAATGTTTAATTTAGGAGTTTTTGAAACTCATTATAAAAATTAAAGTATTTTATTAAAATTTATATAAATAATATACATATAATTATTATATATTGACAATTCTATATATATATCATATTTTAACAAATTAATAAAATTACTTTATTAACATTTAAATTCTGTTATAAATTCTTTGATCTAATAAATATCGAATTATTTTTTATAAAACAACTTTGAATAAAATTATACTGAATATTAATTGTAATTTAATTATTGGTGTATAAATGTAATAGAAATATGTTTTCATATTTGATTTATTTAAAAATTTATTATTAAAACAATTTAAATTAAATAAGTAAACTTTTATTAAATAAATATAAAAACAAGTTTAAATATTATTTATGTAACAATTTTTTACAGTTAATCTAATTTATGACAAACATGTTTAACAGTATTATTTAATCTCGTATTGATTAACAACTAAATTAATTTTATATAAATATAAAAAAATTATGAAACTAAAAATTGATGAATAAAAATCAAAAATGATAATTAGATATTTAATAATTTAATCAATAATTTTGTGACATATTTTCGTAACCCTGTTCTAAATGTTGTGGTGTTTGATAACTTTGAGGAGATAGACCTTCGTTAGACTGTACTGATGGAGTGGGATATGAATTATGTGTTGATGGAACGGGATCTGCATATGGCATGGGAGGCATATGGGGTGCGTTATAATCAGCGGGTATCGGTCCTCTAAAAGTGTTTTGTGCTTCGTTAGCATAATCACGAATTGGTGTCGGTGGGCCCATTGGTGTTCCCATAGTAGGTGCTGTTGGTTTTAAATGTCCTTTTCGGGCGGTTTTTTCATAAGTATGAGGCGGTGGAGGCGCTCCATAGCCAGGTGGAGGCGCTCCATAACCAGGTGGTGGCGCTCCATAACCAGGTGGTGGCGGACCATATGGCGATGATGGAGGGTTAGGATAGTTAGCAGGAGTGTTGGGTGGATTATAATTTGGTGGTGAATTTGGTGGTGAATATTGTGGTGGAGCCGAGTATTTACCTTTTACTGGGTTTCCATATGCATCAACTGGTTGAGGACCGCCAGTATATCCCTGATAACCGGGCAGTTCAGGAGGTGGTGGTGGTCCATAACTTCCATAATTAGAACTTCCGCCATAGCTTTCTCCATGTCCTCCATAACCTCCACTCTCTCCTTGTTCTACTTTAATTGTTTTATGAAAATTGACTTCAGGTTTACTGCCGTATTGATCATTACCATAACTACCACCACTTCCACCATAACCACCACTACTACCACCCCCTCCTCCTCCTCCATAACTACTATAACTTTCTGGTTCCCCAAAACTGATTTGAGGTGGCGGCGGAAGATTCACTTCTAGCGGCTTAGCGTATGGTTTCTTCAAGAAGTTTGCTTTAATGGTCACTTGAGGCATATTCATGCGCGGCATCTTCAGTACAATTGGTGGCACATGTATTCCAAAATTTAACTTAATATGTCTTTGCTTTTCGGGATATCCTCCATAGCCTCCGCCTCCATATTCATCGGCACTAACTATACAGATCCACAATATAATTAAGAGGAATTCCTGCAAAATATATATAATATATATAAAATGATAATTTTGTTATATATTTTGTTACATTATTTCAAAAAAAATATTTCTAATTATACACCGATTATCTAATAATTATATGCAGTGCTTAAGACAACATTTGTAATATAGTTGAGATATAGTTTAATGTTATTACTATAATAAGAAATTGTTCACCTATTTATACATTATATGTTCGTTGAACTCATAGAAAGTAATCTTTTTTCAAATTTATAACAAATGCTCTAAAAAACATAATTTTTAAGAAACTAGAAAATGCGATAAATTTATTACTTTTTTAGATTTAACAAAAATTGGTACATGGTAAATGTAGTTTAATATGGCTAATACTAGATTATTTATATTTATAAAGTATCAAAAATGATCAAAGATATCAACTATTATATATACTTTATACTTAGTTTCTATAATTATAAAAGATATATTTACTGTATATAAAAAATAAAAACATTTTATTAATATTTGTATATATTGACAAAACTAATTGTGTGCACACAATTAATATATGAAAACAAAATAACTTTATAAAATTATTTAAATATCTAATAAGATATATGTTTTTGAAGATTAATTATTAAGATTTAATATAAAATTATTTGTTGGTAGACTTACCCTCATATTGGTGAAGATGATGTATCCGAAGTGACTGACCATAAAATGTTTGACTCCTAACTTATATGCCAATGACTGGATGCTAGTGTTTATTGTATAGTGTATTTGAACTGCAAGTATTGGCCTAAATACAAATTTAAATAATATTGTCAGCCGGTTATTAACAGTTATGAAACCAGGCCGTAGAGATTGCGTTCACTTGAGAGCACCGGTACCTACAGTATGTTTTTTATACAGCAGAGAGACTCTACTCTAACTTCACTCACATCCCAATTATGCCTTTGGCTGTGACTAAAAAATAGTAACTTAATATTTATTATTCAATTTATTTGCTATAAATGTATTTATTTTTTTTATTTATATTATGTATATAAATATATATATAAGACATTCATCTTTCGCTTTCTAAATGTTATATTAAGTACATTATGTCATAATATTAAGAAATATATTATACTATATATTAGATTAAATTTATTTGAAAACGACATGTCAATGATATTATTGGAAACAATTGCTGAAATTATTTATTAATTTGTTTTTTAGTTTATTAATAAATATGTACTTTAAATTTTGCTATAGTTAAACACGATTTTTATAATAATTTTATAATATAATAGATATTAATTTTATGAATTTCCAGGAACTGTCTATTTTGTGAAAAATCAAATTTACCTTAAATTTTAAATTCAATACAAAAGATATATGTTATTATTAGATCTAAATGAATATTTAAAAATAAATTAGAAAATCCTTTAATTAAATTAAATAGATTAATAATTGCTTCCTTGTATAAGTGCTACTGATAATAAAAATTTGAAACTTATATATAAATTTATATATCACTACATTTATATTGTTAAATAAATAATTATACAATATTTAAACAAATATTATAAATTATACTCATAATGATGTTTACTTTTTATAATTCAATGAATTAAAATTTTTTAATGAATATTTAATTTAAAATAAATTGTTTGTTATATAACTTTTTAACAATTTTATGACTCGTTTAATTCATCAATATTTTTGTGTATCGGAAATAATTTTATTTTTGTTTAAATAGCAATCATCATTGTTTACATATTCATATCTATTGTATTAACATAACAATTATAATTTTAAATTTTCTTAAATAAAATATTGTTTAAATTCAAATGTTGATATTTAGACATTTGTAATCTATATTTATAATTAATAGACTATATAATTACTTAATAATATATTTATAAATATGAAATGATCTAACGGTTTCCTATATTATTAGTTAATAACTAATTTTATTTTAATGAGTGTATTGAATGAATGAATAAAGTAATTTAAATTTAAATGCATTTAAAACTATTTAAAAAACAAGTAAACTAAATAATAATTTTATATCGTGCTTAAGACTAATAAAAAAAATTCATTACAATTAAATTTATTATTATTATTAATTGAAATAAAATTATTATCAAAATACATATTATGATTGATAAACAATAAAATTAAAGCAATTCAACAGCAAAGTCATTAATATAATTTAAGTGTTAATATCTATTTACTAAATATGAAAACTATTACCAAATTAGAAATCTAATTAATATACGTTTATTTAGTTATTTATATCAAATTTCATATAAAACTAGTTTTAAAATCTTTAGTTAGCGCCACAATGTGTTTGGTATTATATGATAGATGTGTTGTCATAAATAAATTTATACTTAATTAATGATATACTGTACAATAATATAATCATTTTAATTAGAAATTAAAAAATAATAATGTAATCATTTGATTGAAATATATTTTTACTGATAATCGCGACATTTGATAGCTTAAACACCATTACATGTATTTATTAGTACAATTCAAACATATACATTCATTTAACATTATATAATTTATTGACTTAAAATATACAAGTAAATATTTTTTTTGTTTTAATTTTTTAATCAAATTAATTTTTATTTTAAATTTATATAAAATTATATTTTATCAAAAATTAGTTTTTTATATTTTAATATACATGTATTTTATATACAGTATTATATATTATCATTTGATTCAAATGATACAATAATGATTTAATTACGAGTCTATTTAATTATATAAAAATATATAACTAAAATAACTTTTGAATTTTAAAAATGTGTAAATAATAACAACCAATGAATTTAATGATTGTTTAATATATGAATTAATTTGAATGAATAAACTAAATATTATTATAAATATAAAACAATTTAAAACAATAATTGAAAATCATATCAAATGAAAGCTCCATCTTTTGGATTGCAATATAAGGCAAAAACATAACAACAAAACTATAACATTGTATAGCATTTACAGTACTTTACACATGAATTAGGGATACATTTAAAACACAACTATTGTTAAGTCAATTGTTATTAAATATAAAACAATTGAAATAATTAACTAAAATGTCTTAACATTTTAATTAAGACATCGAAGATATGAGAGATTTACACAATCGTTGTTTTGGTGGCAGATATTGGTTTGTCAAAGACGTGTGCGGTAAGTGACCAATCAATTGATGGACTTATGAAAGACAATAACAATATTATATATAATATGTCTTTAGGTGTGATCTGTGCGCTCTTCACGTACTCGTTGTTGTTATTTGCAGAGTATGTGGTCATACAAGTGATAATAATCCCCGAAACTAATGTCATCTATAAGACCATCAACTTTATTATCTTCCAGTTGTTAGCATTTCTGGCGCTCACATCTCATATTAGGACAATGTTAACGGATCCGGTATTTCACTCATTTTTACCATTTATTTCATAATAACATTATATATATATATATATATATATACCTAATGTTTAACCAATGATTTATTTATTATATGATATATTACATCACTTTATTTATAATACATTATAATCTTATATAATATATAATATCATATACTGTTATATTATATCAATAATATCGGTGATGAAAATTGTCGACAAAATCATATTTTATGAGTAAAATAATATAATTTAATTAAAACATTACTATTATGTATACATTTAATTAATTTAATAATTGTTGTATAATTTAATAGTTGAGTACCAATTAGTAGATAACTTTATAGTATATATTATTGTAGTATTTATGTTTGATGTGATACAACAATTGCCTAAACTGAGATTATAAAATCAATTTAAAAAATATAAATTTGTTAATTATTATTATTATTTGTGACAAAATACCCAAAATTATAAAATGTAATATTTTAATGATAAACAATCTTAGTAAACAAGTTTATAACATTGTGAAACATTAATAGTTTAATTTAATGGTAGTAAATATAGTAATAGTAAAATTTTATTAATAGTTTGTAGTTTGTTTTTGATTGAATTAAATATTTTTATTATAATATTTATACATGTACAGTATATATATGTATATATAATATCAGGATTAAGTAAGGGGGGTAGGGGGTAAGGCCAAAATACCCCCCTAAGATCGAGATTTTGGGATTTTACCACACTTTTTGACCAAATGGGAAAAATTGTCGCTTAAAAACGAGAAATGACCCCCATCCTAAAATTTCGGCGCCGAAATTTTTAAAAAATTTTAATTAAAACTATTTTAGTATGTGTTTTTATATTTTTAAAATTTATATGAATCTAATTAATGATTAAAAATAAGTAAAAAAGGTTAAAATAACGTTAAAACAAAAAATATTAAACTAAAAAATTAAAAATTACCTATTTGTTGAAAAGATTAATCATATTACAATTTAAATATAAGTTTAAGATAGTTTAAGAAGTTAATAAAACAATAAATACTTATATTATAAGATTTTTATTAATAATTTTTTATATAAATGTGAAATAGTTTTTGCGATATTTAATAAAAACATTTTTCCCATTATATATTATTTATATTATTATTTATAACTAAATTTATATAATGGTAAAAATGTTCTTCTTTAATATCTCAAAAACTAAACATCATAATTAAAAATTGTAAATAAATTAATTATTGTCTATAAAATAACAAATAATAATTGACTAATTTCATAACAAAATACCTTGGCACTTTTATTTTAGTCCATGTCAAAATATTGAAGTTTTCACATTTATATATTTTTTATTCGATTTCATTAATTTTTTTTTAAAAATGCTTAAACACGTATCAAATGATTTTGTTTTTAGTATATAATGCATTTTGCAGAATCTCAAAATCCCTTATAGTTTTTGAGATATCGAACATCCCTGTCCCCGCATCCCGGAGCCGTAATATACAAAATGTGCTAATGCTATAACATCCGTTCCATGATTCCATTGTACCAAAAAAATTGTATTATTTTAAATTTATTACTTTTAAAGTTATAGCCAAAAATACTTTATCTGCAAATTAATCTCATGATTCAAATAACACAATAATTATTATAATCAATGTTTACTTTTTTATATCTTATTAAAACTACTGTTATGTATATACAGTTAGAAAATGTCATATCTTTTTACAAACCCTTTATTTTTGTTGAATAATTTTTTATTATTAAAAAATAATTAACAATTATTAGGGGTCTGTTCCAAGAGGAACGGCTACTAAAGAAGCTATTGAACAGTTGGGGTTAAGTGAAGGACAAGTATTATATAAATGTCAAAAGTGTTGTTCAATTAAACCCGAGAGAGCACATCATTGCAGTGTTTGTCAGCGATGTATACGAAAAATGGACCGTAAGTTAACTTTTTAAAAAAATTCATTTTTACTTATTTTGACTAAAATTATTGTACATAATATTTAAATTAAATACAACTATTTTTTATGTTTAATATCTAAAAACAAATAAGTCTGCTTAAAATAATTTATATATTTAATATATTTAGTTTAATATTTATATCAATTGTTAAATATATTTAACAATATAAAATTAAATTTATACATTATAGATCATTGTCCATGGGTTAACAATTGTGTCGGTGAAAATAACCAAAAGTTTTTTGTTTTATTTACTGTAAGTAAAAAAAAATAGTTTATATTTTAAAAATTTTGATTATATTTTATTTAAATAGTTATATATAGCCATCATATCATGTCATGCATTAATTATGGCGGTCACACATTTTTACAAATGTATTGATAATGATTGGAAAAGTATGGATTTAATTAGTACCCTAATTAACAATTATAGTATTAACTTATTTTTATGATTTGTTTTTATTAGTTATTTTGTTATTTTATTCACATTCTAATAATTATTTAAATTTATTTTTTATATAGATTGTGGCACAACTTATACGGATCCCATAAATGGTACAACCAGTACGGGTCCAGCGCCGTGGACTATAATACTATTGGTTTGTTTGGTGTTTGAGGCCTTACTGTTTGCTATATTCACATTAATAATGTTCGGCGTTCAAGTACAGGCCATATGGCACGACCAGACAGGTATTGAACAGCTCAAGAAAGAGACTAACAAATGGCATCGACAACACTCGTGGAAAAGTTTTACCACAGTTTTTGGCAAAGGTTTTAGTGTTTACTGGTTCTCTCCCTTTACAAGAGTATCAGTTGGTGGCAGAGTTGAACCTAACTTTACTTATGCAGTATAACATTGTTTAGCATTTAGTCAAAAATCATTTTACATTATTTTTAAAATTACAATTAAGTGTTAATTCTAGCCATCGATTATTATATTTTGATTTGATTTATATTTATAAATTATTATTTAATTCTATAAATAGTTATAAATATAATATTTATTATATACAATACTATTATTACGGTAACAAATATACTGTATATTAATTAATAACACTTCTCTCAAAAATTTAATATATTATAACTATCTTAAGTTTACTCATAAATCATTCATTGTTAAATTTTTAAAATATAGTGTATTTATTATATTTTAATTAAGTTATTAAACAATTTATATAAATTCTTAAAATAAAGTAAGAATATTTTGATAATCAAATTATTTTTATTGTAAACCAATAATTTACATTTACTTAGTTATTGAAAAGCAATATATTTAACATTTGATCTTAATTTATAAACATTTCAATACATTTAAACATATTTCAATTCCAAGTTATTTAAGGAGAAGTCGGCTACTATATGCCAAAGGATAGGGAGCAGCGTAACTGTAGGCGCCGTAAGTTGACAAAGGAGCAGCATATGATGCGACCAATGGAGCACCATATGGAGTGGCCAAATGAGCGCTCAACGGTGCGGAAACATACGGAGCTGAGGCCACGACAGTGGGTGCAGTGTTATAAACACGACCAGTCAATGAGCTCGAGTATTGACCAGTAGTCAGATCGTAATAATTTCCAGCCCAGTCCTTAACACCACTAATGGCTGAAACTGAAGCCACGAAAGCAAAAGCGAAAGCGATAACAAACTATTTAAGAAAAATTAGATTTTTATTATAAGTTTTTTAAGTATTTAAAAGTTTGATAAAACTCACGAATTTGTTCATTTTGGTAATGGTTTGTATGTTTTGATTTGTTTTCAAACAAAACTTTTTAAAATTTTAAATTTTGAGTCGACTTTTTATATCAAATTAATTGAATACATTGGAGGCCACAAAATCCGCGCCCAACACAACAACTCTTGTAATGAAAAGTTATATCCACCCAAATGACGATTTTTAAAAAACCATTGGTAATACCTTTCCCTTTCCTGATCTCTCTCTCTCTCTCTCTCCTCTCTTTCTCTCTCACTCACTCACTCACTCACTCACTCACTCACTCACTCACTCACTCACTCACTCACTCACTCACTCACTCACTCACTCACTCACTCACTCACTCACTCATTCATTCACACTTATAATGATAACTGTATTAAAAATCAATATTATAGATTTAAATACACAGTTAAATGTAATGTCTATCAACTCCTCCTCAGTGACCTTTGATTTTACCGAAGGACATACTCCTCATCACTGAAGACAATAAATACTATTAACGCAATAAAACAAGAAATTCCATCAAATCTTTATTTATATTATCAAAAGTCCGGTAAAAGTCTGACGTTTGTCTTAATAGACAAAAAATAAAAACAAATTATATTATTATTATTGGATATAAATTTAACTATTGATTTTATAATACTGTAAATTATTATTATAATGCATTTCCTTAAACAGTTTGTTTAATGGTAAACATAATACATAACTCATCACTTTATTATTAAATTATAAAAAAAAGATTTTCTTTCTATAAAATTATTATTTTAAAGAAAACCAAATAATGATTTTTAGCTTTTCAATAGTGATTTGTATCTCAAGGTTAAGTAAATTAAATAATTTGTTGTCAAAGTTTACCAATTAAAGCAAAACTCATCTAAACTTTTTTTTAAATCACACTTTTTTACACACCTTAAGTATGGTTTGACCCAATTTTATATATTTAACATTAGGATCGGTCAGAAAAGTGAAGGTTATAAATAATATATGGATTAATATAGAAATTTTTGATATATAGATTTAGACAATACAATGAAATGTGTTAAAATTAAGGTTAAATAATGCATTATTTACTATACTATAGTATTAACTAAAAGCTTTTAGTATAGCATTATTATAAAATTTATAGTTTAATCAAAACATTTCATTTTCAATGATCGCATAAATTTAAAACACTGTTTAAATGTTTTATAAACTTCAATACAAATAAATAACAAATTAATTTTAAAAACTTGTAATTAAATAATGAGTAAATAGTAATTATTTTTGTTGTATATTTACATTTTAAAATGTATTTTTTTTATATGAATTTGTTAGTTAATAAATTATATCATAAAATTATTTTTATCTGCATTATTAGAGTACAATACTGTACAATAAAATATGCTGTAATATTGACTTTACAATAGTTTGCAGTTTATCATAATAAATTAAACTTATCTTTAATAGTGCAAAAGATCTAAATATAATATTTAAAACTATACATTATAATTTGTTGTCTATTTAAAAATAGTATTTTATTAAAAGCAATATCAACTTGAGTTGTTATAATTGTGTTTATCATTACTAGAATGTTTAGCACAAACATGAATATAAATTTTTAAAAATAATTTTGGTTTATAAATTTTTATATATTTTTTAATTAATATTATCGAATTATTAAAACATAATTAATAATTTAATATAATCTTTTTTTAAATGTTATTTTATCTATTTGTTTGTACAAATTTGTATGGTAAAAAACCATTTGTATCTCTTTTCTAATATCAAATGTAATGTAAAATTTATATATTAATACTGTATATAAGCAATAAAAAAACTTTAGTAATTTTTAATATTAATAGATTATAATTTTATTCAAAAACTATTACAAAAACTATGCTAACAAACCATTTCAAAACAATAATAAAAAATAAAAATGAAATGACAGCTATTTTATATTATTTTGTTATTAAATTTGCTACAAATTGAATAAATTAATTTAAAATCATTTCATAATATCACTAAAACTATGTTTGTGAGTGAGTGTGTGTTTCTTTATAAAGTAAAATAAATAATTGATTAAAAACGCCTTTAATTTCATTGATCTAAAGTTTATAGTTTTGCTATTGTTAATTTTGAATATATAACCATTAACAATTTTTTAATTAAATTTATATTATAAATATATAAATATATTTTGTTTAAATAGAGCATTATTTATAAAAATTTAAATAATAATATAATAGATCTATTTTCTAATGAAAGTGTTGTTTATACTAAACTTTTTATAATCTTATATAAACATGAAAATATTTATTATAATAGAAATTTATTGATTGTATAACGTTTGAAGATAATTGTATAATAATTATTGCTATAACACTTAATGAATTACTAAAATCTATTTTAATTATTTCAACAAATATAATATAAATGATTCATTTAACACATATGTAAAATGTTTGTCGAAATCCTTTACTTAAATTTTTTTTATTTTATAAATTTTGAAAAAATAGTGATTAAAAATGTAAGAAATTGTCAATGAATTTGATTGATTGATATCTTTGTTCGAGACCTACATTACAATAATAAAAATAGTGAATATTTTATTTACAAAATGTTTTTATATATTAGGCAAATAAAGCAAAAATGATGAAACTAATTATATGCAATAATAATGCTATACTACTGTATTAATAAAAAAATATATACTGTATATACTGTATAATTACCTGTATATATTAATAATAACAGTTACTTTTAATTAACAGTATATTTACTAATAATATGTTTATGGTGCACCTAACTATATAACATACAATTATTGCATAATTTATTTATTGTATAATATTATATATTGCATATAAATTTTATAAAATTAATAAATGTCAATTTTATATATAAATAAAAAAATAAAATAATGAAATTATTTGATAAAATATATAAATATATATATTCCGTATATATTATTATTAAAATAAATTGTAAATAACAGTAAATATTATTTATAATCTTAAAGTTAAATTATAAATACAAATAATATTAGATTTTTAGCTTTAGTCTTATTTTTAAATATTATTGATATGAAAAGATAGGTTAACAGCATTTTATATTAAAACAATATTAATAAGTTTTGTATATATAATATTCAAATTACAAATAAATAAATAGTGAATTATTATATTTTTTGTTTACATTTATGTAATAAGTTTTGAATAACATTTATGAAACAAATAGGAAAGTCGTATTTTTCTAACAATTCCTAATATGGTTATATAAAATTAATTTAATAAACATTTGTATACACAATACAAAATATCAAACTAAACCAGTGTTTGATATGTATGACTGATATGTATTAATAATAATTAACGGATACATTAAAAGCATTAGTTTTTGTCTTAAATTAAACAAAATTAAGAAATTAAATCTAAATAATCTCAATATTCTAACAAAAATTTGATTCTTATAAACAGGTTTTCTCTAGGGGTAGGAGTAAGTCATCTTACCCCTTAAGATCGAAATTTTTTGGGTCTTACCCCCCCTCCCCCCTCCCCCCGGCCTAAAGCCTAAAAGTTGGTGAACCCACCTATCAATTATCAATTTAATATTAAACAAAAAAAATAAATGCTATGTTTTAATATAAATAAAATTTATACAAAATAAATAAATTAAAAAACTATTTCAATACTGAAATAAATAATTAAATACATCACTATTACATTATTTACAATAAGTTTATTTATTAATTAAAGATAAATATGCTTTAATAATAATATAAAACAAGATATTATTAAATAAATATTACATATGTAGAGCTCAGGCATTTAAACAAGGGAGGAAAGTTCCCTAATAAATTTCCTCCAATTATACAGAAAAATAATGAAAATATATTTTATTTTTTAGCCGGTTATAAAAAATATATTTTATATTTCAATATAAGTTTAAAACTCAGATTTTTAGCATAAATTTTATTATGTTTATTTAAAATTGTTTATACTACTCAATAAGCAATTTAATATAAGTATTTTTTTAATTTTATAATAAAATGTGAAGTTAGGGTTCAATATGAAATACTAAATAAAGATATATTCACGAATTGATTATTTAGGATTAACTAACAATTATTTTAGACAATTTTATTAGTTTTATTACTTATTTTACTATTTTATTTTTAAGACATAATAATAAATGCAGTACAATATCATTATTTTTTAACAATAATAATAATAATAATCTTTATTCATGTACTTGTTATGAAAATTACATTTTTTGTCATAAATATTAATATATAATAATATATATAATGATATATATAAAGATGATACATTAAATAATATATTTATATAAAAACAAATTAAAAATAATTTTCTAAATGATTAATAAAATGATTATAATTTAATTCTTCTCTTACATATATATTACATATATGTATATATTTTGATAAATTATTAAATGTTTTTATACAATAATAAAAAATATTTTTATCTGCTTTATTAATACGATTTACATTAATATAACATTAAACTCCATGTCTTATACTGTTGTAAAACTCTATTAATCCAATTTTTAGGTATATTTATAAATTAATTTTTTACTTTAAAAAAAAGTTTTAAAATAGTTATATTTCTTCGCTTTCCTAATGAATTGATATTTAAAATGTTTAGTCTTTCATAATAATTTTAATTAAATTTTTACAGTAAAATGCATATATATTTTGTAACTTATTTGGATTTTTTCAAATTTTTCAATTTATGGAGTGTTATAAATAAGACATAGATTACAATATTTTAAAATAGATAATATATAAGTTCTATATAATTTCAAAAATGTTAAACCGTCTACATATTTACAAATATTTTTTAACATTGCAAACTTTTTAATTGTTTTTTTACAAATTTACAAACATTGTAATTTTTTGAACTAAATATTTATTATATTTTTAATTAATTATTTAATTAAAAAGTAAACACCAGTAATTATAATAGTTGTTTTAGCTTGTTTATATTTTTATGCAAAACTTCATTTTTTCTAAACTTTTCCAAAAATAAATATTATTAGTTTGAGAATATATTTTGAGAGTATTAAGGAATTGTTGGGAATATTTTCCTTTTTTAAGAGAATTTATGAATAATTTATTAGGAATTTACTTAAATTTGGTAAAAAAGATATAATAAAATTTTTTACCCACTCTTTACTACCAAAGTTGTTGGAGATTCTTTCCATTTTACCCCCTCCTATACCCCCTGAGATCGAAAACCATTAGCAACTCTGCTTATAAACTAAAATATAAAATCACATAAAAATAATTATATATCTAATAAAATATTTAAAATCATGAAAACAATAGTATTAATCATATAATATACAGATATTTAAGACACGAATTATTATAATTATGTACTCTTTATACTTATATTATTAAATTATTGATGACATCGATAACTTATTTTCTATCATTTTTTATCATTATATGATATACAATGTTTAAAATAGTTTCATAAATTTTGAATAATTTATAAAAATAATTAAGCTAATTATCTAACACATCATTATATACTATAATTAATATTACAAAATATTTATTATTAACTAAAACAAAAAGCTATAAATCCTTGAATTATGCAAAGGTTCACAAACTTATTCAAGGATTATCATAATTGTGTCCTTCATTTTAAATAATTTTTATATTAATTGCATAAATCTATTTGTATAATATAATCAATTTAATCAAATATATTTAACAATTAAAAATTTAACAAAACTACTTTGTTTAGCAAAAATGTATAACATAAGCTAAGTTATAAACTTTAGATATATTTTTATTTTTATTTAGAAAACAATTTTTTTTATAAAGATTGTGACCTTATTTTAGAAATTTATGAATACAATTAAATTAATTGCTGTATTGATTTCAATATATCAAAGTTGTATATATATATTATGATTAAACGTATCATATATATTATAGATTCTATAATTACATTATTAGTAGTGATTGACAAATAAACATTTTTAGCAACTTTCATAAGAAAATTTCGATAGAATTTTATAATTCTGGGAAAATACAATTCTACAACTATAAGTTGTTAGATATATTATATAGGTATGGGATCCATAAATATAACAATAATATAATCTAATTATAGTTATGACTTTGTAAAATTTTATTCATATACAACTATGATTTTACTTTACTTTAATTAAATGGATTAATATTTTATTTTAAATGACAATTAAAATACTAATACTAATATTTAGTTATATATGTTGAGTTTATATTGTTTGATCACAAAATTATTCTACACTTTTATTTACTTATTATTAAGTTATAATTTATTTTAATTTGATTGATTGCCAAAAATATCTGATACCCAACTTTTGATAAGTTATATGACATTAAATACAAAAGAGAAGTTCGTTAGACAGTGGATGATGTAATGCCGGCACTGGACTTATATATTATTAGATCTGATTCATTAATACATATTATCTCATATGAGACAAAGTCATATCCTTACACTAATTTATAAACAATATTTTAACTCATATTCAATATGTTCAACAAAATTGAACAAACTTTTTCAGTGATGTCCACTAACTATAAAACATTTAAATAAATATTTTATTCAATAATCATTTAGTGTTTGATACTGTTTTGATTTGATTTATACTTATATATATACATATACAATAAATATACAGTATATACAATATGTATGTAATTTATATGTATATGATATACTGGTATACAGTATTGTACTGTATATAAAAAATTTTGAGAGAAAATATATTTCAAATACTTAGTCAAACCCATATTAACAAATATTGTTAGTGTTATATAAAGCTTATATACAATACTAAACATGTATTATTTACAATATTATTAAACTATTTGCAATAATTATTATTGTAAAAAGTTGTTAATAACATTCATATAATTATTCATATATCGATTATTATTATTATTATTGTTTTCTTTAATTAACAATTGTCTGAAATATATTATCTAATAATGTTATGACTTTTTATCATATTTTTTTAACATTTATTGATCAACAGATTGTTTAAACTTTCACTAATTTAATCAATAAACCGGTTAACTAACTAAACTCATTGAAGTCAAGAAAATAAAATTAGAAATACATTATCTATTATGTATACAACAGTACTGTATATTATTATTGTTTTAAGTGACCGGTTTATATCAGATATACATTAACTATAATTACAAACAATAAAATAAAAGTAGTTTAGCTTTTACTACCAATTAATTTAACTAAAACCCAATAAAACAAATATTTTTATATTTAAATAAAATAATGTTTATTTAAATGAATAAATCAATAATTTTTTCAGAATAGAGGAAATAATGTTGTGTTTGATTGAATACAATGGTCTCAAATGTCATATATTTTAAGACAATTCTGATTATTAGTAATTTTTAAAAAGACCTGAAATAGTGTTGAATATATACAATATATATATATATAAGTAATATAATACTAATGATTAGCTTTTAATAGCCCCCATACCAGCCATCCTTAGAGTTGCCGTACTTTCGGTCATCTCCATAGCTCTTATAGCTGTTGTCATCAGATCCATATGACTTGAGGTTTTCATAACTTCCATAGCTCTTATAGTTGTTATTATCGGATCCATAGCTCTTGTAGTTGTTATTATCAGATCCATAGCTCTTGTAGTTGTTATTATCGGATCCATAGCTCTTATAGCTATCCATTCTATAGTTGTTGGCGTACTTCTTGTTGTCGTTGTTGTAGTCATCCATTTTGTATGAATCGTATTTCTTGTAGTTATCAGATCTGTCATCATATGACTTATAAGAGTCCATTGCCTTATAAGAGTTGTCATCATATTTGCGACCATAGCCTGCATAACAAACCATATATTATAATATATATATTAATTGTTAAAGTAATCAATTGGAGAAACCTTTGTTTGAGTCCATTTGAAAATATCTGGTTGAGTGTCCCTCTTGTTGTTTGCCATAACCATATCCATCACTTTTACCGTATCCACCCTTTCCATAGTCGTCTTTCTTGTCACTCCAGGTGTGCTTAATCTCAGTCTTATCGTTATGACTATCATAACTGCGACCGTATTGGCCACTGACCACTAAGCACAGGGAGGCAACAAACAAAACTAATAACAATTTCTGCATTTTGATTGTAAAGTTGAATATTTGGTAAACTTAACTAAATTAATAATTAAATTGAATAATTGTGAATTAACTACCTTTTGATCAAACTTATATAGTAGATAATCGAGCGGTCAATTATATAGTGGGTCGCGGGTAGGGTTAGGACACTTACAACAGAGACTAATGGTTAATCCCCACCCAATTAGATATTGATTTAAATATTGTTTAATTAAAAGAGTATTTTTCTAATCTTGAATTTTTTTTATATAATTACATGTAAATTGTAAATCAGGTCATCATATTTTTGCAAAGGAAATGTCTTATGAATTAAAAGATTACTAATTTGTTAGATATTTCATATGAATTAATTAACCATATTTTTTAATTATTTTTATTAATATTCTTTAAAATTCTGATAAATTTATAACTTTTTATCAAATACTAAGTTTTTTTTAAAATTAATTAATTAAATTGGAAAATAATTTGAATAATCAACATTTAAATTAGATCTATACTTAAATTACAAACATAACATATTTTAATATTGATAATAAAATTAAGACATAATACACTTTCTTTATTAAATGTCATTTAATGCCTCAAATTATGAGTTAAGGACAACGACTCTCACTTTTATTACTATTTATTATTTTTGTGTATTACTTTAGGTATTAAATTAAATTTGTTTTTTTTAACTTTTATATGCAATAAATAAATTAATAAAAATAAACTTAACATTGAAATATGATATCTATTTTAAATTAAAGTAAACAATATTATATTTTTTGAACATATTTTTAATATTTAATTATAGCAAATTAATATATTTATAAACAATTAAATAAGCTAATTGTTTTGAAAATATATACATATTTGTTTATTTCAATGATACTAATTTAGTTTTTAAATTTTAAATTAACATTTTATTTGTTTATTATATTTTATTATAATAACAACTTATAATTTGATACTTTAGATATACCCCCTTTATATTTCGTGTTTTTATATAATCAATAAATAAAAGTTAACACACATTAATATTAATTATAATTTATGTATCAATTCCGGGATAAAAACAAATAAAATTATTAAAATTGTTTTTTATAATTGTTAAAAAGTAAACTTTATAATTAATTAATATTTATTTTATAATACAGTATTTAAATTATGATAATTCTATTTAAATATATAATTTCATTGTATATAATATATAAATAAATAGTAAATAATTTTTTAATTGTTAATAATTACAAATTATGAATTAAATACTTTTAAAAATAATTGTCACCAAAATGTTGTTACAAACTATGACTGCTTTATATAGACTTCCAACCTTTTGAACCCATTTTAAGTTAAAGTCAAACCAAATAAAAATATTTATATATTTTTTATATTAAATAACTTATTTAATTAGATAAATTAAAATAACAGATATTATTAAATAATAACAAAATAACATAAATGTAGTTAAATATTTTATTACTAAGTCATAGTTTTAATTTATATGTATAAAATTCTTGTGTATTTATTAACACTATCATTAAAATCATTATCAATTAATCTCATTATTTAAATAGGCAAATATATGTTCAGTTAATTATATTAAATATAAAATTGAATATTAATTGAAATTGCATCATATTTTATTATTTTGTAATCACTAATCAAATTTATAAATCTAATTATATTTTATAATTCTAAAAGATTATATTATTAAACTAATATTTATATATATATTATATAATTAAATAATATAAAAATTATATGAATGATTAATATGTTGAAATAATATATTCAATGGTGATAATTGTGGTGATATGGTAGTGGATGAACAATATGTGTGGCATAATGAAATGGATGATGATGGTGATCATGATGTCCATAGTGGCCATCATGATGACCATGGTGATCAATATGACCCAAATGATGATGCCCATAATGTCCATGATGATGTCCATGATTATGGTGACCATAATGGTGTCCATATCCATGCTCATGATGATGACCATAGCCATAGTGATGCCCATGACCATAATGATGTCCCAAACCATAATGACCATTTCCATATAAATGGCCGCATTTGGTCACATCAATAATGGATAGTATAAGTGCCACAAAAACAAGTGATCCCTATGTTTCAAATGTTTAACGGTTTATAATTAAATAATATATATAAATATAAATTTCATAAATTAAATACTATTATAAAAACATTTTATTTTTTCTTACCAAAGAAACCATTTCTTTGTAATTCAAGTATGAAATTGTTTTATTTAAAAAATTGTTAGCTTTTATATATAAGCAAAAGTGTGTTTCAGTGCTAATTAATAATCAATATTAATGATAAAAATTTTAATAAATGAATGAATTTAATGTATTTATTGTTTTTTTTAATTTTTAGGACCATAATAATAAACTATTGTCTTAATAGACAGATAATGAAAGTGAAGCACTTATTTTGTGTCGGAATAAACAATACATTGTTTTTATTTATATATTTTTTTGTAGTGATCTGTCTTTCAAAACAAACAATAATTAAAAATAATAATAAGTGTGAACTTGAGGACAATTAGTATCTAAAAATTTTTGATTAAACTTAAAATTAAGTCACATTTTTATAATTTAGATTTAATTTACCTGTTAGACATTACTTAATACTATGTTACAAAAATATATTTTTTAAATTTAAGGATAAGTTATAAATTATGTTATGAAATGATGAACAAAAGATTTTGATTTTTAAAACTTAATTTTTTTAACAATGTTATCTATAAAATAAATTATTTAATAAATAAAATGTTTAATTACAAATATTTTTAAGCAATAATTTTAATTTACTATTTAATGGATTGTATATATATTTTTTATTTGTTATATAAAATTTATTTAATTAATAAATTATTTATAAGTAGTCGTTATTATTTTGTCACAATTATTTAATAGTAAATAAAAATATTAATTATTTACAATTTATTTAATGATTTATTTTATAAATTGATTGTTACAATTGCTTATATTTATTTAATGAAAATGTTTACAATATGCATACAGTATTTATTCAACAAAATTTTTATTAAATAAGCAAAATATAATAGATTATAAAAATACAATATGTCTTATTTATGTATTTTTTAAGTATATGTTATCTATCAATCTCTCAAAAATTGTTATTTTTATAACAAAAATGCTTAAAATATTACAAAAATAATATTTTAATTATATTTTGCCAATTTTTTTTATTTATTTAATTTTTTTTCATTTATTAAAAATGCATTTTTATTTTAAAACAAATTTATTTAATTAGTGACATGAATTTAATATTACAATTTGATGTTTTAGCTATCATAGTCATATAAAACTGATATCTAAATTTTATAATAATGTATTTTCATATAAACAATGATGACATAATAACAATTTATTTAATTTTATACTAATAATAAAATCAAATATTTTCTTATTTGAATATTGTAGAAGTAATAATTAGCAATCTTATTATTAATTTAGATCATTTATCAAAAATTCGTTATATTATTTTATTACCAATATATTATTGAAAATAATAGTTAATTTTTATATCAGTCTTGTAAATACTCTATAAATTATAGACTATAATACAAAATAAGCTTAATATTAATCAATTTAATAACAAAATATTTCAAGGACTCAGTGAAACTAGTAATGTATTCAGTATTATAAAGGTTTCATTTTTTTAAAATAAAGAAAATATAAAATCATGAGACTTTTATAATCGTAGTGTTCATTAATATATCATATAAATTATTATATAAACTATAATATATATAAAATATTATAGATTTTCTATACTATGTTTTCAAAGCTAATAAAATAATGATAGAAACCTTAATTGTAAGCTTTAAAAAAAGTTCTAAACATATATTAAAGGGTGTGAATAATTTTTTTATCAAAGAAAACAAAATTTTTATTTTTTTAAGTACATCAACGCTTATCAATAGTTTATTTATTGAAAAAATTTACTGTATATAAAAAAACTTAAGTAACTCATTGAATACTAAATAGATTAAAATTAAAGGATCACTTTACTTATTGCAAGTAATTATACAATAGACTATGTTATTCCTACCCTAACCGCCTTTTTTATTATATTATTATTGATATATTGTTACATAACTAATAATAACTAATTTGGAATCGATTACATATTTTTTTGTGTATCATTTAATTCCCAATTACAGAATGTCTGCATTTTTTCATAATCTTGAAGATGAGTCTTGAAGGACATTCAAAGTGTATATAAATAAATGAACCGAAAAAATGATATTCAAAATTGTCTTAAATTTGCAAAACAAATAAACACTAAAAATTTGATTCAACAATGAAAGTCTTGGTGAGTGTACTTTATATCAAATGGTGAACTTAATGTAATTTTTGTTGTAAATGTACTAAAATATTAATTGAAACAATTATAGGCCGTAGTGTTGTTGTTGGCATTGGTGGCTATGGCCAGCGCTCAGTTTTACTATAGTTCACCTTATGTGGCAAATTATGGACAGCCATACGCCTATTCATCCCCTTATGCCTCTGTGCCAGCATATAGTAGCTATTATGGATCAGGCTATGCTTATCCTGGTACTTATATTTGTAAATTTAAGTAATATTTAATTATTTTTAATTATAAAATACAAATCACTTTTAAAGCTTACACCGGATACTCAACTTATCTCAAGAAATAGACTGTCGATTCCGGATCAATGAAAAAGTGCCTCATTTTTATAAAATTTTATTTTCAATTAATTTTTTAATGTATATTTTCAAAACAAATAACAATTTTTGTACGCGTACTATATAAATAAAATTTATTCATTATTATATTATTATGTATTTTATTATTTTGTAACTTTAAATGTTCCCTTCAAGTGATCTGTGTTTTCCTAACTTTTCGTTTAATTAATTGTTAAAAGTATTTCTAAATATCTATTCTAAGATATTTATTTTAATAATATAAAACCTAATAAATAATACAAAATTTAAATATTAAAATCTTTCCTTACACTCCATTATTCAGTCTATCATTCAGTCTATTACAGTGACTGATTAACTACTGACCGATTCAATGAATTTAGATATAAACACAATCTTTGAGATCAAATATCTCTATAACTATACCCTGAAATTTCATTAAATTTGTCAAAAATAAAGTATATATCTTAAGAAACTTTCAATAATTTTTTTCCCAAAAAATACTATAAAAAGTGAACTCCATTGGTCTCACAATATATTTAATATATTAATTTAAGAATTTTTAAGTATTTAAATATTTTAAAAAATAAATTACACATTCATATAAAATTTAGTTTGTCAACCTATCAATTAAATTTATAGAATTTGTACAATATTTAAAACAAATAAAATATATTATTTGTTTTAATAAAAATATAATAAAAAATATTTACGTATATTTGTAAAAAAAATAATTTAGTTATTTGATGTAAATATCTTTAAAAATGTATATATTTATAAGCTATTGATAAATAACAAACAAAGGGAATACCAGTTTTGTGTTATATTTCCCTTTTAATCTATACTTAATATTATCAACACATCAGTAGAGCCTTTATTTAATGAATATAATATATAACATATAAATAATAAATATATTAAAAATCAATTGCTATTTATTGTTATTTTATGTTTAAATATGTCCTTTTGTTGGTCTAATAATGTCCTAAATTTTTATTATTTGTACACACATTGTTAAAATTGGTTGTTATAAATACATGTAAAAATTGTAGTAATATTTAAAAAAATAGTATTTGTAAAGTGAAAGTGAGTAAAATTGAAAGCAAAACTATGAATTTGGTTTGTATTAATTTATTAATTTAAAATGTTTATTAAATGTTTAAATATTTATAATTATATTTTAATTAATTATAAAGACAATAGTTTTGTTTGTGTCACTGCTCTATATTTCGGGCACTTATTCTGCATTTTTATTCAAAACGGGTGGTAATCCTTATAGCAGTGGATATAATGGATATAACGGATATAATGGATATAATAGACCTGATAATCCCTATAACAACTATGGATATGGATATACAGGATTTTCAACTCTAAACAGACCCTATTATTCTTTTGGTAATTAATTTGTTATATAAAATTGTATATAATTTGTATGCCATACAAACAGGTACTAACTATGGTTCATACGGTTATCCACAAAACACATATGGAAGCTCTTTTGGGCCCAATTATGGGAGCAGTAGTATGTTTCCCTACAATAATCTTAATTATATGAACTCATATAATAGACCAAACATGTTTGGTCCCTATAATAGTCCAATTTATAAATCAAAATAAAATAATAATTATTTAATTTTTTCATTTACTATTTAAACAAAAATCTTATTTTTATACTAAAATAATTCTTATACATTTAAAATTATAATACTTATATATATATATTTTTAATAATTAGACATCAGTGACAAAATACAGCATTTATGTTATATAAATATAACTTTATTAGTAATAATTAAAAAATAAATACGAAATGACCCAAATATCAATATAATTCATGCGAGTATATCATTGTATCACATAATTTATTATAATCTAAAAATATAGATACAGTGCAAATATACAGTATTGTATCAATTCATAATATTATACAATTAATAAACATAGTATTTATTATTTGTTACAATTTTGTTTAATTATTTTGTATATTTTAAATCAATTACATTACATAAAATTGTTGATAAAATAAATTCTAAACTGTATTTACTTGTAATATTACAAATTATTATAAATGAATTTATTTAAATAATAATAAAATTGTTTTTTTTATAAAATAGATAACAAAGATTTCATAAAAAATTTTACAAAATGTTAAACATTTTAATAAAATCAATTTTACATAATTTGATTATTTTTGATACGATTATAATTTTTGTATATTAATTTCTTAACATACTTGTAAATAAGTTTTATGGATAGAATGTTATTTTTAACTCTAATATATTTAATATAATTACTATATTCATTTCATATTAATGATAAAATAAATAATTACAATAAAAATAAGTTATATAATAATTTATTATGCAGCTTTATTAATTAAGTAATAACAAAATTACAAATCATTTATATTAATTAATAAGTTTCATATATAAATAGAGTCCATAAAATGAAACAAACTGTTATTTTCAAATAGCTTTCAAAATTGTCAAAAAACAATGATGTTTTGTAAGGTAGTTATTAAAGTATTGTTTAAAGTAATTTTAATCAATAATTTTAAATTAAATTATTTATATAGCTTTATATATCAATAATTTTAATAATTATTATGTTATCAAACATTGTTATTGGTTACGATTTTTATGGACCTTATGATCATATTAGCGGTCGAATGGCATTCAATGAGGGATTATTATTGCGAGGAAATCCAATGGGACAGTACTGGGCTTTTGGCACTACTATTGAACATCCATTTCCCTATTATCCATTTGCTCCCTATTTTGCTTTACAATATTTATATGATAATTATATATATAATTAACTTAATCATTAACAGCAAGATAAGTTTTTAATTAATTTATAGAAATAATCTAATAATTAGATCATAATTGTACTGTATATTTGATAAATAGGTAATAATTCTATTATTAATAATTAATAAAATAATATTCAAACAAACTATTGTTTACTAAATGATTGAATGACAAAGCGTTTACAGAATTAAATGAAATCATATAAAAAGTGATTTTGACTGACATTAATATAAGTTGTGATACTTTTTTGTAATCTACTAAATGACCAATTTTTAGTTTTATAATTATATATAACCTACTGTATTGGAAATAATAACAATGAAATTATTGACAATTTTGGTGAGATTTCAAATATGTATATAATTTGTAGTTTTAATTGTAAATAATTTATAATTTTATTTATATTAGTGTATATTTAAGACAATATCTATAATATCAGCGCAAACCTATGGATTTACCCCTTATTATGGATTAGGAATAAACCCATTTACGAGGTATTGCAACATACTTTCAATAAATGTAATCTCATTATTACAAATAACATATATTTAGTCCATATTATGGATATGGTTTATCATTAACTGGATATGGAGGTTATGGAGGCTATGGAGGCTATGGAGGCTATGGTTATGGGGGTATGTGATATAGCATTTTTATACCCGTATAATACTGTAAAATATTGTTAATTGTAAAGATTTTTCATTAAATGTATTTATTTTTATGTATTATGTATGCTATGAAATACATTTTCTATACATAAAATTTTTAGTTTACATTAGCATTGTATTAACAAATATGTCATTTACTATACTTTAAATATTTTATTTTGTATTGTGTTTTAGGTTATTATGGAAGATATCCTAATTATGGTTATGGAAGTTATCCTTATTACTCAAGAGCCGATAATTTAAAAAATAATAAATAAAAAATAATTTTTAAAACAGTTATCAATTATAAATCTAAAGATTTATTTAATAATATCTATGTTTTACTTTCAATACTGAATTACAACTGAATTTTTGATACACATTTTATAGTAAACTTATTTATTAATTTAATTATTGTCTCAAAGTTAAATAGATATAAAATAATTACAATATTTAACATAATACTAAATAATTAAAAGATTAAAAATAATTTTAATAAAATTACATTTTATGTAAATATTATTAAACAGTTTGACTCAAATGATTTTTGTTTTAATAAGTTATAATTTATGAGTAAATCATTAGTAAATCAATAGTCAATTTTGGCATTTTATTCAAATTTTTAAGATTTAGATATATATTAGTACTTTAAGTGAAATATATTAATAATATTAATTAATCTATAATATTATATAATCATAAATAATATTTTTTTATCAATTGATATTATTATTATTATATTAATATTATTGTTGAATCTGCTCATCTCTGTATTTAAAAATTTTAATGTTTTTAATCATATTTATTATATAAAATTATGTTAAATAAAAATATTTTTTAACAATAATTTATATTATATTGTACTAATTAATTAATTAGTGTAATCTATTTACAAGTTGATAATAGCAAAAAATGTATTAAATATCAGATTACTGTACAGTACTATACAATGAATTGGGCGCCACTTATATAACCGTTTTATATAAGGATTTACTCTAACTTATGGTCTATAACTTGTGATTATTTTTATTTTACAGTAAATACACATTCAATATGTGATGTATACTATATATTGATGTATATATTGAATGTGTATTTACTGTAAAATAAAAATAATCACAAGTTATAGACCATAAGTTAGAGTAAATCCTAATATAAAACGGTTATATAAGTGGCGCCCAATTCATACACTTTGATAGTGAAGGACAATGTGTTGCGTGATTTGGCATTAATTTTGTAGTAATTTTAGGCCACTTTTATATAGCAGTACTCATGAGTTATATAATATGTGTACAAAACTGACACAAATGGATCAGTTATTAGTCATGACTGTCACTCAATACTAATGCCAATGCAAATGCCAATCAATAATCTATTTAATAGAGGTTTGAATTTCATTGGCATTTATGGCATTTATTTTTATAATTAATTACTTTTTTAAAAAAAGATTTTTATAATTTATTCTTCGTTTACTTCATAAAGATTTTTTAATAATAAATGGGTTTATCTTTTCTTAATTTTTAGATAAACAATCTTTAATTAAAAAATGCAAATTTAATGATATAGAATGATATAAATTATAAAACTATAGGAAATTAAGGATATATTATGTCAAAACAATTTTGTAATGTATTTTTTAAAATAATATATATTAATGTATATATACCGGTATATTGATATTATTAACATTATATTAGAAGTATTTATTGCTTTATTTAGAAAGAAATCATTATTTTATTTGCTATGATTTTTCATATAAAATAGTGAATTTAATAAATTGATTTTTAGAGGTAATTAATTAAAATTAAATAAAACAGCAAATTTTCTGCTACATCAACGATGAAATAATTTATTTAAAACTTTAAATTTTGAAATTTTATACAAAATCAAATTTTGAACAAAAATAATCATTAAACTAAACAACAAATGTATTGATGTTTGAATCAATACATGTATTCAAATGTCAATTTGTAATCAAATCATTTATTTCTTGAGGAGATAGGAGTAAGTGTCATACGGCGAGGCATAGGCACTGGTATATGAAACGGGTGAGACATAACTTCTAACAACGGGAGCGGTGGCCACATATGAGGAAACATATGGAGAAACATATGGGGAAACATATGAGGAGACATATGGGGACGACACGTAAGATCGGGAAACAACAGGAGCCGAATAATAACTAATAAATTGATTAACAAAATATTGGTTAAAAATAATTAATTTTTATATCAAAATATCAATCAATACCCGGAATATCCAACATAAGGTGAGAGGATACCGGCGCTCACGCATGCGATGAGACCCAATGCAACAATGAGTGCCTGAAAATAAATAGTTAATTTTAAATTAAAGTTTCAGATATTTTAATCAATTAAAATATTATAACTTACGATGGCTTTCATTTTCGGAAGATTTTGTGAAATTAGTTTTCTTTTAAACAAATAATCGTAAAAAAGCAAATTATGAGAAGCTGTGAAAAAAGTGTCTCTTTATATAATTACGATTTGAAGGACATCATAGACACCTATAAGTGATGTCCATTTAGAGAGATAATCAAAGCAATCACAACATATATCGGCGTACTCTTCATCCACACAACACATACACACCCATCGCATCACATCTCATCCGATATCGCCTTCAGCTGTTGTCAGCCTTGAATTCAATATAAAAATTTGCTCTAAAATATTGTTTCAAGTATTCAATTATTTCTCTCTCTCTCTCTCTCTCTCTCTCTCTCTCTCTCTCTCTTTATTTATTTATTTATTTAAAAATTAATATTTGATAAAAATTAATGATTTATAATCACATTTTTAATATTATAAAAATATTAAGAAAAGTACGACAGTTGCCCATAGATGTCAAGTTTGACTTCAGTAATGGATTCCCTTTTCAATGAATTTCAGTCATTGATTTGCAATTCATTTCTCTATTTCCTATTGTACTGTAGTTTCACATCTTAATACTCCACAACTATTAACATAAGATTTAATATTCAATTTATAGCATTGATATTATTGATATTTATTGAGAAATGCATCTAAAATATTGGGAATTTTGACGTTTGAAGGATGGCTTAAATCTTACAATGATTAAGAAATCACTTTATGTTATAATACCTAATAACAACATCCAATTATTCAGTTTATAAATTTTAAACTTGAAAACAAAATCAAAATTATTTTTTTTTTAAATTTATATAAAAAAATATTAAAATCTAATTTCAACATAACGAATTATAACTAAAAAAAAATACTAAAAAATAAATTATTTGTAAGCAGTTTTTTGCATAAACCATTAAAATCAGTTAAATCAGACAGTTCTCAGTTGTCATAAATTTTATTTGAGATCAACAATAATAATATACTTTACAATAATTTACTAATATGTTATTATAAATTATCAAAAACGTTAATTTTATAATATTAATAGTGATTTGTATCAATTGATAGGTCAATGAACACAGTAACATAATGAACAATTTAAAAAGTCAAATGTTATGTTAAAAATTTATAAAATTAATTTTATTTTTTTAAATTAGTAATTCCTCTATTTTTGGGACAGGTATGCAACATATAAGCATAATTTTCTTTTTCTAATAATAATTGTTGAAAATATTTCTCGTAAAACATCACAGATCTATCTAAATGGCAAAATGTTTTAATAATACTATAGAATTAAATAACTAAAATACTTAATTGCGATAATGAAAAATTCAGGTAAGTTTTATAACATATATTAAACATTATAAGATTCAAACATCTTTTGATGACTTGAAATGACCAAAAAATATTTTGTTTCATTAAAAAATAATAAAATAGTTGATATTTATTAAATTAATTTATATACAGAAAATATTACAATAAACAATCAATCTTTTTTATGTGTTAAAAATACTTTATAAATAATATATATTTGTATTTATAAATATGGTTAGTCCTATTAATTATATATTTATTCACCATTATATATGAAAATAGTCAATTTATTATTTTGAAATTATTTTCAACAATTTGGTGAACATTTTGCCTTAATTTTTATTAATTTTATATTTTTGTTTATAATTACCAAATATATTGATATTATTGTACAGTATTTATATTTTAATTAACAATACCTTAACTTACCTTTAAATGAACGCAAACCGTAAACTATGATATAGTTATCTAAATGACTAAAAACTCATTTTTTTCAAAATTAGTCGTTATTGACGATTATATAAACTCGTCATTCAATCAAACCATTAATATTTAATGACTATTAATTAGACATTATATGTGTCTGTGTTTATAACATATAAAACGAGATTTAATATTATTAATAATATAAACGGCTAATAAATATTAGGAAATTACGGTAATTAAAATATTAATAATTAAACACAACCAGTAATATTAAGTTTTATCACTTAAATCTATGAATCTATAACTTATAAAAAATTAATTATTAAAATAATTATATATAATTGATCGCAATTATTGGTAATCTCATCGATGTCCTCATTAAATATGTCAACAAATTGTTCACAATCTTCTTAGGTATAACTTTTATACACACATATTATAGACCTGTTGATAGGGTAGTCCTAAAACAGTATTGACTAGAAATTAAATTTCAAATGAAAACAATAGGTTTCTATGACCTATTACCTGACATTATAGGGCTTTCTTTGTGCGAATCTATGGTAATTTAATAGTAAATATAATTGATATGAAATTTGCATTATATAGCAATACTTATCAATTATTATACAAAAAAAATTATTATATTCTAAATTTAGTAGAAAATAAACTATAAAAAAATCACAAATTGTGTAAATCCAATAATTTGTCGAAATTTTAAGTCCTGTAAAATAGGTATACAAAAGATATATAAAATAATTTTCAAATCACATTTAATTTTATTTTTAAAATGATTTTATTTATTTCATACTTAAAGTTATATTGTGACCAACAGTAGTGATCGACAAAATAATTTAAATGGAGATAAAAGCCTATTATAATGGGGATCAAAATAAAATTTATTTAATTGGCTTTTATTATTAAATAAATATATTCTCAAATGGGGTTAATTTGAATCAATTATTACCACTTTCTTATAAGTTCTTGATTACATCACAACAGCATCATTACAATCAATCAATCATTCATTAAAAATACAAATCATTTGTATTTTTGTTGACATAATCGATAGTCCATTACATGATTGTCAGACAAAACCTAACAAATAGCGCAATGAAATGAACGATAATTTATTTACAAAATTAATTGCTTTAGTTGTCTGTACAATAAATATATAGTTTTAAACGATTAATAGTACAATCAATATAATAACAAACTCTAGGTTTCAAATAACTTTTTTTTTGGATTCAAAACACGTCTTTAAAGTCCACAAAACTTATTCAATAGTCAGATGAAAACAACAGAATTATGTTTCTTATGTTTCAATTAAACTGTAAAATAAATTATAATTTACTCCAAATTAAACTGTTTTAAGAGTCGGAACCAAAATAACTCACTTCTGTTATCACATCTTATCGGTAATAAATGGATGAGTGAGTGCTTGTGTTATAGACAAACGTTTGCTCGGATCTAACATAAGGATCTTTTCTAACAAATCTTTCAATTGTGTAACCTTTCTGAGCTCTGTATCATTCAATGTCTGACCGGCCATTAATTCGGTATTTAAATCGCGAATTGGCTGTATGTTTGATATAACGACAATTTTCTCCTAAATTAAACAAAAAAAAGTATATAAGTTATAAGTTATGACAGATAAGTGAATATAAAGTCAAACGATTTACTTTTTCAGTGACTTTGTCGACCTCTTGATAGAGGAAATTACAGTTATGGTCGAAGTGTTGGTCCTTAAAGCGTCCTCTTCTCACAAATTTGTTATTCATTCTTCCCTTGAGGTCCATAAAAAATTTAAGCATTTGATTATTTGATTTACCGGAAAACATAATTTTTCCACAATATAACTCATACAAAGTACAGCCCACAGACCACAAATCGATACTAAAGTCATATGGCTGTCCCAATACTACAACAAAACAATTGCATTAATACAATATTAGTCAATCAATATAATTACTCACTTAATTCAGGTGCTCTATAGAAACGGCTCACTAAATATGGAGTTATGTCACAGTCATTAGCATCAGAGGCCGAACCAAAATCGCATAATTTTAAACTTAATTTATTTTCATTTACCTAAAAATTAATAAATATATTTATATTACTGTATATATTAATAAAATAATAAAAATTATTTACCAAAATATTATCGGGTTTGATGTCTGCGTGCAAAATATTACATCTTTTTAATAATTTTAAAGCCATAAATAACTGATGACTATATGAACGAACAGCTTTTATATGCAGTCCGACATCCTTTCCATACTTTTTGAGAATTTCGCGCAAATTCATAGAAAGAGACTCAAAGACTAAACACAAATGATTTTTATGGTAAAAATGTCTAAACAAACGTAAACAATGATATTTGTCATCCGGATCCGTGTCATTCAATTTTTTCAGAAATTCCAACTCTTTGAGACCAGTTTTATGCATTATATCATTATTCCTAATGATCTTAACGGCAACGTCTTGTTGTGAACGAGCCTTATCTCGAGCGCGAACTACATTACTAAACACTCCCTGACCTGTATAACCATATACTGAATATCGGCCGTCAAGTATTTCACCAATTCTTATACCTTTATATCAAAATTAAAATGTATTTTAATAACAATGATTGGTATTTAAGAAAACAATACATACGATAATATCCTTCGGCGTCATCCCAGTTGTCATTGAGGGACGGATTGTCGACACCAGATGTTTTGAAGTGGTTTTGTTCGGACGGAGAATTATAATCATCACAATAGACATCTAAATCAGCAAACATGTCGACCTGTTTTCTTTTAGGTTCCACTTTAACATCACTTGACGGATCCAAATCAGTATCATTTTGCAACTGTTCTTCTAATTCTTTATGTTTTGATATCTCGTCGAAGGCTTCAAGTCGTGAGTCTTCGTCAGCAATACTTAGAGAAAGTTTGTCTGAAGTGTCCGTCTCTTCTTTTGTCGGCGAGTTTTGATACGAAGAAAAACCTGAATTTGATGTTTCATTAAATTCATTTGATTTACCTAAAGATGAGCCCAATTTCTGCAATAACTCTTGCCTTTGTTTTCTTCGTCTTTCAATCTCTTGCTCTTCATTTTCATCTTCATTAATGTCTACGTCATACAAATTATTTGATTCATCAGAAGTCGAGTCATCATTGGTTTTGTCTCCAAATGACTCGTTTGTATATTTGTCATAATGTCTTGAACCGGACTTTTTTACATTTCTATCGTAACCTCTTTGGTGACGATCTCTCTCTCTTTCGCGATCTCTTTCTCGATCTCTACTTCTTATGCGTTCATCCCGTTCTCTGTCTCGATCGCGACTTCGTCTTAAATTTCGATCCCTATCTCTAAGCAGTCTATCCCTATCGCGTTCTCTCTCTTTATCTCTATCTCTGTCGTGATTAAGTGGTGATCGAGTTTTTCTACTATTATGGTGTCTTCTATTTCTGTTACCATCTTTATCTTCATGAGATCTATCAAATCGATTGATTCTATCAAATCTATTTCTGTCACATTTATCTGGAGTCTGCCGCCTCTGTCGTTCATAAGAACGACTTCTGCTTCTTCTACTATGATGTCTATCAACGGAATGTCTTTTATTTTCATTGAGGTTTAGATTATCACTTGATTTAGATTTAAGAGTAGATTTCTCTCTAAAGCTATTATTAGTGGTTTCTCTATCACTTCGACTGTCTTTCGTTTTCAAAATTTCTTTTGAAACAATTTTCGTTTTATTTTCTGTTTTCAAAGATTTTTCATCATTTTTCAAGTGTTTATCACTTTTACTCAAATCAGTCGTTGATTTTCTTTTTCTTTCACTTATTTCCAAAAGAGGTATTTCTTTAGTGACTTTCGATTCATTTAATTTCTTGTCCTTTAATTTTGACTCTTTATTAAAACCATTCATTCGCTGACCATTTGTATCATTTTCTTCATCGTTTCTGGTCTTCAAATGACTAGACTTTGAATCGTCGACACAAATGTCTTGTTTTAGTTCCTCTTGTCTAAGCTTTTCTTCTAATATTTTCTTTTGTTTAATTAGTTCACGTAATTCTTCGTCCTCTTTGGCCACCAATGGGTCCATATCTTTCTTATCCTTTTCTTTGTCTTTTTTATCTTTTTTCGATTTCTTTGAATGTTTTGAATGTTTGTTTTGATGACTGGATTCATCTTTTTTATGTTTCTTATGTTTACTTTTGTGTGACTTCTTGTGATTACCACTATTGTGACCGACATTCACGTCCATAGTCACCAACTTGTCTTCGGCGGTCAATTGTTCATCACTGGGTCGGATAAAAGACATTTATTAAATAAGTCATATGTTATGCTGGATGTGATAATCAATATTTACGGCACAAACCTGTGTCTCAATTGGTGGTAATCTTCGTGTTTGTCATCACTTCTGTCACCTGAAGTGTCATACCTTTTGTCCGACATTTTTGTCGACAAAACAAAACACTCGAAAACTGACAATTTGTTTGACATCATTCATAAACAACGTAACGTCTAAACAAATATCATTGAATTTACATTTTTTATGACAACCCTTACATATATTGTATAAATGAATAGATATTTTGATATTAATTTTGTTAATATTTTAAACATTTTATTGATTGCATTCATATTTATCATTATTTTTTACATTTATCGAAATATAACGATATATAAAATTTAAAACCTTTTAATAAATAAATGCCGTTTTGTTAGAAATTTGTTAAATTAACACTATTTACATTCAAATATATTTTCAACTATAAATTTCAAGAAAAAAATCGTAAAATATAACAAAAAATAAAATTAGTTTTTACTTTAAATCTAATAATTAATAAATTTTATACAATAAAACTCATGCCGTTTAAAAAATGATAAATTCTGGCACCACTTATGATCAAATGAGTCATTTGTTTAGTTAATTCTTCATAAGCAAAGAAGTAGTTGATTGTGGTCTGAGTTCAAGTTCTTTGAAGAATCGGCGACAGAAGACGATTCCAATGGATGGCGGCTTATCAATGGATTTGAGTGCCTCCTGATCTTTGGGTGACATCGACTCAAATGCGCGACGATATTCGCGATCAAATGCAGCTATAAATATATCATTTGATTAGTAAATTACCAGTAAATAAAATATTGTAAAATTTAACAATTATTACTATTATTGATATTTTCTCGACCCAATGCCACAAATGATAGAAATAATAAGTCTCGATAAATACTATGTTGTCTTATATTACTTTTCTTGGCATTCAATTTTAATCGTTCAGTAATCAGTAATTTCATTGGTGTCGCCAAATCATTGCATTGAATTGAATTAATAATTTGTTTCATAAGACTTCGAGTTAGTTGTCCCGGTTTGCGCTCATCGGTGACCAATGCGTGAACCAATGGTGATTCAAATGCTAAAAATTGACATAAAATAAAATAACACTTTTAGTTGACTGCAATTATTATTATTATAAAAACTGTGATTTATCTCACATGTCTCGAGCCATAGTTTGTGTAAAGAACTACTTCCAATCTCTTCATGAAGTCTATCATTATCCCACATACAAAGCACCGATACTTTTTGATAATCCGTAAGTTTAAAGTTGTCGATATTATTTGTCTATAAAATACACAAGTATTGAGATTAATAAATTGTCAACAATTAAACTGTTATATATTTGTTGATGATATACATTATTTTTATTAAATGTATTGGAATACAGGCAAAGCACGGGTAGATGTGTCGGGAGATTAATCCGTTTGAAATACCAAATTAAGTTCCAATAAATAATGGGATGTTCGTCAACAAACTCGGGTTTGGCCAGACATAAGTCTCCCTCATTATTCAATACATTCTCAATTTCTTTGCGTAAAACTAATGGACTTAAATAAGGAACAGTTATCGGTTCAAATGTTTCGACATTTTTAGCTAATTTTGATGACTGTCTTTCATTATTATTAATACAACTGTTGTTTTCTTCATTAAATGAAGAGTCAATCTCATCAATACTTTCTAAAGTTTTATTTGAATCTTCAGATCTAATGTATAAATATAATCAAAATATTAATGAAAATTATTTGTTGTATTCAATAAAGTAAATTAAAAAACTTACTTTTGTAAATCATTTTTTATATCAAATGAGTGATTTTTCAAGTCCTAAATAAAAATTATTATAATTTAATATTAGTATTACCGGTTAGTATAATTCTCATATGTTTGATCAGATAATATGACCTCAATAATCAAGTGATAACCGATCACAACGGTAATTAAAAAATACTAATTATTAGTCAGATTATTTATATTTAAATTTTCAACTCTTGAAATTCAAATCAATTATATTATTATATATATGAAATATTGTTACAATAAATTTGAGGTCAGAGTATTAATAGACAAATTGTTTTTAATAAAAAATAATTTTTTATGTGTGACTTACTTGAAGTATGATTGTAAGTAATGGTACAAACTTTGAACTACAAAAAGTACAGTTAGTATTAAGATTAGAGTCATCAGGAGTCCATCCCTCCATTATTTCTTCATCATAAATGATAGCATGACATGTATAACATCGAGAACAAGAAGTCATAACTATTTCCATAACAATTTCAATATTTGTTTCTAAAGATTTTGGTTCTAAAGAAGTTGTATAATGTTTGTCCAAAAGTTCAAAAAGTGGTGAAGTATTGGAATTAATGCCAAAACCGGTAAAATTTCTGCCAAGAGATCCGTCTCGAGAACGTTCACTCACTTCATCCTCTGAGGCAAAACTATTTCTTCTCATATCAAATGAGTTATTACTCGAACAGTCGTCGTCATCGAAAACCAAATTTGATGGAAACTTTTCGGCCAATTGACTCGCCCATTGAGATAACAAGTTAGCAGTTCCAGTGGCCACTCCTGTCACAACTCCTGAAGCATTGGTTGAATTAATGATTTTCGATGGCGATGAGGTCACAGATGATGTTGAAGCCAATGACGATTTTAAATCACTAAAACGATTAGCCATATTGTTTGCCGCAGATTTGATTGTTGAATAAACATATTCAGAATGTTTATTAGTGGTCAGTCTATTAGTCCACTGAGCGCTCAAATTTAATAATGAATTTTCTCTACTGCTGTCATCTTCGGTCACAATTTCATCTTTACTTCCAAATGAAACACTTTCTTGACTTTCAAGTTTGATTGTATTATCAAAACTATTATTAGTGTCTTTAATATCATTTAATTTTGATGACAAAACTGGAGGTAAAGTTGCCGATCGGATCATATTTTTCGACCGGGAGTTCGATCCTGAGTTTGATTTTTGTGAATCACGTCTAAAAAGAGCACCAAATTTGTTGATAGCCTTTTCAGAAGTACTGTAATTTGATTCATGAAATGTTGAACTTCGGGTAATAGTTGTTTTAGGAGACGACGATTTGGCAAAACGACTGGCCAATCGAAAACTGGATCTTAAAGTTGAGGCCACTTTACCGTCAGATGCAAACAACTCCATATTCATTAAGGCATCTTTTAATGGACTAAACGCAGAATTTAATCCATCTTTAGTGTCTTTAGTATCCTTAATAACTTTAACATTATTTGTCTTTGAATTATCTAATGATTTATCTAAGCTTTTTGTGGAATCAATAGCTTCAGAGCTCTTAAAATTAATTTTACTGTCCTTTAAAGTGACGGATGAATCTTCTAATGACTGAATGTCTAACTCTTGTGATTCAATTAATTTAGAATGAGTTAAGTTGTGTTTCCAATTCTTCATAACCTCTACTTCACCATCGATCTCATCACATGCATCGTCATCTCCTTCTTCAGGATCTTCTGTACATCGAGTAAGACCTCCAATAGTTTTAAATGAATTAACTGTCGAATTATTTTTATTGGTATTAAGTGATAATTTTTTATTTTCGTCTTCGTTTTGTTGAAACTGTTGTCTCAACTCCTTTAATGTTTCGGATCTAAGCTTTTGAAGAATCTTTTCGTCGTTTCCAAAGCTATATGACCTTAAGTATGGTTTCGGTGAACAAGATTTCAGAGAAATTACATTTGTGTCTAAATTTGGCTTTAAATTTAGATCTTCGTGTTCGGCACTCTTATGCCGTCGTCTTAAATTATAATCATTACAAATGATATTTTTGTCGCCAAACTTTGAGTAATCAGTTGTCATAAGAAGACCGGCCGCACTGTCGAAGTCATGCAAACAATTCATTGGAGAACTCGATTGACGAACAATACTTCGCGTCCTTTCTCTAAAAGAATCAAAATCTTTGAGATCTTTGATCAATCGATTTGCAGAATTTGATTCTGAATTAATTGAATCAGTATTAGTCACATAACCATTATCTGAAAAACTTTTCACTGAATTTGATTTAATTTCATTTAAGTTTGGATCAACTTTTATGGCTTTAATTTTAGTATTTTGTCTGAACTGAGCCACACCTACGATAACGTTCCTTAGTTTGTTCCACATGAGTGATGCAGTTGTGTCGCCAGTCGGCCATTTGCTCTCGAGAACTGCTTTATTATAGTAGCCGTAAGTGATTGCATTTGGGGTTATTTTTTGAGCTTTCATTTCAAACAATACTTTGACTGCTAAAATGGGTTCACTATAAATACCGCACAATAACATCATAACCCGATAGCAGACCTCATCGGACGGATGAAAGCCGAGTGATTGCATCCGCAAAAGGACTTGAAAAGCAATACTTAATGGTTTAGGTTTTGATAAATGATTTGCTTTGACATAAGCGGGTAAGTGATGAAACCATAGACTATAGCAATAGCTTAAGAGGCACTTAGACCATGTCATCGGTGAATCAGCGTGTCTTCGGGCAACCTTTTGTGCACTTCTTATCTCTTGTTTAGTTCGCTTAGACATTGGACTCGACGGTCCAATCAACGATGAATTCTCTGAGAGACCGATTTCGCTATCATTTACAAGAGAACCGATTCGTGATAATGTGTGTAATGTTGGATGTTTATGAAACTTTTGTGGATCAAATGGACCAAATTCGCTATATGTAAATTCATCGTCAGACGTCATGGGTTCTGGTGGTGGTATAAAAACTGTTTGATCATTATGTATGTAATCACCAAAATCTAGTAAACGCAGTGAACTCGAGTCCACGGAATCGCTTAAAGAATCGAGTTTTTCTGAGCACTCGTCAAAAAAAGCAAGACTTATGTTTTTGTCGGAAACAAAAGATCGCTCTTCAATAAAACGGGTAAACATCTGAGTCTTCATCATTAAAGTATAATATTTTTGGTAATTTTTGTCACGAGATTTAATAAAGCCTTGCAAATCAAATAGAGAACTGGGATCAGTTGCACCCACTGTTGGCGCCCGAGTTATGGGCAATAAATATGAGCGAAAATTTTTAAGAATAGTTGCCATAAACTTAATGAAAGCCTCCTGTATTTCCAATTCAATTTGTCTCTCAATCTTTTTAGTTCTCAAATTATCTCCAAATACACTATTTTTTGTTTTATTTGTCGCATTATAAGAGCCATTAGTGGAAGACATTGGATGCAAAAGACGTTCAAAAAGTTTTTCAAGAGTTGACTTTAAAACTCTGGTCGGCTTTTTCGGCATTAGTTTAGGATTAAACTGACGCTTACTTTCAGACAAATAAATAGAGTTAGTGTCCAAATCAATTGATGCCACGTCTGTCGGGGGCTCAAAGTAATCAAAATATCGTGAATCGACTCCAACGATGAAAGGGAGCGGAGCGTTGAGAACATCGGACAGACCTAATGGACACATAGGTATGTAAGGGCACTGCCAATGGAACGGAAATATCATTGTAACCACTGCTTCGGCAACACTGGTCAGCACATCGGGTCGTAATGAATGTAACAAAATTTTTTGTTCAGTTAATGCAAATAGTAATACGTGAAGACAGTTTTCTGGACCCAAATTTCGCAACATTTGTGTAAAGGAGGCACCCGTTAGGGCTAAAGGCATATATTCTGGTGGTTGTGAAATAAGAACAGTCTCTTCGGGATTCATTCCTAATTGAACCAAAATTTTTGGTCTATTAGGTAATGGAAAGGGTATCTCAAGCATAAAATTAGAAATATATCTTTCAATTGGTATTTTTTGAGGTATAGTGGATGAGACTACAAATGTTTTATATAAGAATAATAGAAATCTTTCAAAAGTTTCAAAGAATGGCCATTGACTCAGAATACTAATTGATTTGATTCTATGCAATGATTTTGTTTGTTTGTCTTCTTCTGTAACATAAGTCAAATGTTCTGATTCTTTGTCACTAAGATTATGATCGCTAAGACTTTCATAGAAAGTAACGGCCGCTCCGTAAACCTTTTCACCCGCTTCTGAGGTCAATACATATGTTGAAAATATTGGTTTAGGCAATTGGGCTCTTTTTGGCCAACACTCTACAGTAGCACCCATTGGAAAACAAAATAATGACACCGATTCCGGTAAGGGATAGTGAGGATAATCATCTAATGGAAATCGCCCTATAATTGATGGCTTATAGCATAGTAAAGGTGGTCTATTCATTGACTTCTTGTAACATATAAACACATCTGAACCAACCATTCCCTAAATAATATATATTTTATATTTATTAAATATTATATAATTTATGTCATAAAATAATTTATATATTTTATAACCATTCTATAATAAACTCATTAATTAAAAATAAATTATTTCAAATAAATAGAGAAATATATTTAGATACATGTGTTAAACATACAGTATTTTGTTTGTTATCTTAAAAGACAAATACAATACTTGTAATCAAATAATGTTAACATTAAAATGCTAACTGTTATCATAAAAACATAGAAATTTTAAGTGTCGGTATTGTCAATGAAAATAATTTTTTATGGTTAATAAATTGGCGATTAATATATTTAATAATAAATTATTAATAAATAATAAAAATTAATTGAAATAATTGAGTAAATATAAAGACTTACTTTATTGAGATTCTTATTGATGAGACAGAAAGCATGTGGTGGTGACTCTCCTTTATTTGCTAATATGACACATAAGTCGGTAACGACTAACTGATTGCAGGGGGCATTGTCTCGGGCCCTCCTGTAGGTGAGGAAAGTACGTGAACCGCTGTTATTAACATTAGCCTGTTGTCCATAAAATGTCTTTTCGACGATTTCGCTGTCAGACATAACCCTTTCCTTTCCTTCATAAAGCACTCCGATGTCAACCAGTGGTGGTTTATCTCTGCCTCGTTTAAAGCAAATGTAAACACTTGGACTCCGCAGACTTCCATGATTTAGGTCCGCAGGAAAACCTAATGGTGTCGACTCTAAGCACGTGTATCCGTGGGGTACCGACTCGTTTGCACTCCGAATAATGACTGTAATGTCGGTAATGGGCGCTGAAGACGTCTGCACTGACTTTGGTATTGATAGCCGTTCTTGACTTAGACTCTCATCAAACGGTACACACCTTTCATCCGAAATACCGGACACAACAAAGTAATCGGCGATCCGTTTGTCATCCATTTCATTATATTTTTGTCTTCAATAAGTTACTAATTTCTGCAAATTGTTTATAAAACTTTCATTTAATAACAAAATCATTAAAATAACAATTTTAACTAAAAATATAATTTAAACTTTTAAATAATAATATCATATTTAATATGATTTGTTTATCAATCGATATATTTTTAATATATTTAATTTCATAACATATTTACAGTAAAACAAACAAAAAATAATATGAAATACAAGACATTTGTGACAATATAGACAACAAAACCCTATGAATGTGTTGTCATTAAAAATAGTGATAATTGTCATCAAATGTCACACAAGTGTCACACATATAGTGTATAACTTGATTGCAAACGCTTACCATTAAGTCTATTGTTTTGCTATTAGTGTCAAAGTGTGTGACCATTGCATGTCATAAGTGGTCATTCAATTGTATTTGTTGTCAACCATTGTGTTGACCACAACATTGCCATCGATTCACTAAACAGTCATTAAATAACAAGTTATAAACTATAAGACAATTATTGTTTATATGTAATCAATGCTATTATACTGTAATAGTCTATTAATACGAGTATTATAACAACATATGCGCACTCTATACACATATACTGTATATTTATTACTCATTTTTGTTAGATATGTAACTCCAGTCTCCCGTTTGACTCGGGATCCGAGTGTCCGAACAGTTATACTAATATAAATAGTAATCATTTTGATATAAATATCACATTATATTACCGGTAATATCAAACCAATGTTTTTCAGATTTTCACTGTATATGACTTTTGTATAAGTGTTTGGTCAGAGAAGTGGTCCATCAAAAAAAAAATGACTTTCACTTATAAATATTTATTATTATAAGTTTAATCATAGGCTCATAGATTTTTCATGTGTGTATTTATTAGGTAATTATCAATTTTGTTACAAATATTACAAATCATAATACATGTATATATATATATGGCACTGATTTACAACTTTTAACGGGTCCAGCAATTTGTAATTTTTAAATAAACACTTATATATTAATGTTATTATTGAGTTGAGATATACAGTACAGCTATAGTTGTCTATAAATTTATATTTGATAAAAATTTCAGAGTTTCTTAATTAGTATTATATAATATAAGCAAATATATTGGGCTATAGATTGTTAAAAGTTTTATATCTAATTTATTTTTTAAAATTTATATTTATTAATATCACTGTATGACCCACACATATATCTAATGTATAATATTTTAGCCCCTTTTCCATTGTTTGTCAGATGATAATTAAATTCATTGTAATATTATAATTATGTCATGTATTTAAAGTTAAGGAAATTATTACTCACATGAAAAATATTTTTTAAAACATTAATTGCTAATAATGATAATAAAAATATTAATAAGTGATTAATATTTTAAAATATTTTAAATATGATATTAAAATTTGATATAAGTTTAATTATAAAAATTTTAATAATATTAATATACAATTATTTGTTTACTAAAAAGTTTTGTTAAGTAATTACTGTATATAAACATAAAATTTTTGAAATTTTAATCCATCATTCAAACACTTATTAATGATTTAAGGTATAGTAAAGATTAATATTATAAACTATTTTTCAGAATTTATAAATTAAAATAAATAAAGACAGAACTTTCTTGTATGGCCCACACCGGAGGCGGGTATGGAGTATAGGTTAATAGTGTTTGGTGTCTAGTATACACATGTAAAATATGGGGGGGGGGTCGCAAATCAAAGATTAAAAAGTTATTTGTATTTAAAGTTTAAAATTATTAGAATATATTTATATAATATTATAATTATATAATAATTTATATTAACTTTAGGCCTATTATGTGGTGTAGAATTCACTTTTTATGACATGAGTAATATTTAATACATTGTTTTAATAATATATTAAAAAGATAAGTTAGTTATGATATGTTAAACTAATGGTGTCCAGTAGGCCGATAGGTCTGTTAGATTAAATTCAGTGGTTTGTTAGGTTAGGTTTGATCGTTGAGTTAGTATTACATAGAATACTATTATAAATTTAAGTTAAAACAATAGATATCTTTTTAACCTTTGATTTGCGACACCCTATATTTTATATATGTATACTATGTAGACACTATCTACCTATACCCCCATACCCGCCTACGTCGCTGGCCATACAAGAAAGTGAAGCCTAAATAAAATTAAAAAATAATAATTATGATAAATATTTGTACTCAGATTTTTTAAATATACTATAATAAGTTTTTACTTATTAAATATATAAAGTATTCCGGTCTTTATATTTGTTTATATTTGAATACAATTTATTTAAAACTTTAAAAACATTATTACTATTTACTTATAAATAAGATATAATAATTTTGGTTGTTGATATAAATTATTTTTGTTGCATATAGATAAAATGTAGTCAATAAATATAGTCTAAACAATAGGAAAAAAACAATAAAATTAGCATGCTTATATTTAAAATATAACCTTCAATTCATGTGATAAGTTCAATGTAATTATCATTATTTTTTGTGATCAATCATCGCATCAACAAAAGTGTTTTTGCAATAATAATACATTTTTTTAAGTAATTAATATAATATATAATTTGGTGTTTTATTATCAATTTTTATGCAGTATATAAAACAACACAAATTTTCATTTATTGATAAAATATCGTCCAATTATAAAGATTGATGTTTATGTGATATATAAATAATTTGTTATAAAAATCTAATTAATTTAAATATTAATGTTTTAAAAAAAACTTCATAACATTAGCTATTCTTTAGTAATCATAACTGTTTCATAAAGAGATAGTTTGCAAACATTAAAGTTATCAAAATTCACTTAAAATATTTGTATAGTGTTTGTTGTGAAACAAGTTTTACTACACAATAAGCTATTATTTATGGAAATAATAAGTATAAGAATAAGCAATCTTTGTATTCAATGATAATTCAAAATTTGTGTTAATATAATATTAAGTTATTTTACTGTAATATTAGATGTTTTTTAACTTTTAACTTATAAACTAATATTCATTAGAGGTTTAAATGCGAGCAAACATTGAATCTCATTAATAGTGATTGACAGTACTGTCTCATTGGACAGTATGCCAGACACGACTATCCGTCCCCTGTGGGCAATACTTTTGTAATCTTTTTTACTAAACATTTGCTAATGTATTGACCAAAATATGGCTGTTTTGCAAGTATTGTCCATCCCATCAAAACTTATCTAACAGTTGGTCACCTATTGGCTTATCATAGCTATAGATGCAAACTGTTGTGCATATGTTGTTATATTTGATTAATATTATATAGTATTTAATAAGTTTGGCATCAATTCAATGCTCTCACAGTTGTGTTATGTTTGTGTCGGTTTGAGAGACAAACTAATTATAAGTTAGAGTACACTATAGTAATGATATGACTGTTAGGTATGTCTGAGTTAATGCATATACAGTGCTATTGTATGTGTTGTTCAGTGAAAACTATAGTCAATGCATAATAACATGGAGTGAACAGAGAGTACATTGAGTTTGCAGTGAAAACATAGCTATTGATTGAATTGAATGAATGAATGATTGAATGAGAGTCAAGACAACAACAACAGACAACAACTCTTGATTTATTTGATCCAATTGACCAAACATTGTCTCATTTATGTGATTATTGTATATATAGTGGTAACCAGTTGTCACCACTTAACCAAATGGCAACAACACAGACACATAGCAGAGACCGACGAAATGGCTCAATGAAGATAAGACTGACCAGTAAGTGATGGACGACTCAGTTATTTAAAGATAATATAAGATTAATATTAATTGTTTGACTACTCGTTGATTATGTAGTTTTATGCGCCAAAAATCTGGTCAAACGTGACTTCTTTAGTAAGTATTTTACCATTTATTACCATTTATTTTCATATATCATATATCTATTGAAAGTTAATAATTATATTATTATTTTATTAATAAATGTGTCAATAAATTAATGTATTATTTATTATAAATTTATCACAATTTTATTGTCAATAATAGCAATCATTGAATCATAATTTTGTTAATAAAATTATAAGTGATTTCAATGTCAATCATTAACTTTTATGCTATAAATGAATTTATTTACAAATCATTGCATAAAATTTATACTTATTTTATGACTTTTATTACAATAAATGATTTTTATTGTCAATCTATAGGTCTTCCCGACCCCTTCTGTAAGATTTGTGTGGACGGTTCGGGTCAGTGCCACTCAACCGAAGCATCAAAAGATACGTTGAGTCCCAAGTGGAACAAACACTATGATCTGTAAGACAACAATTGATTGATTTTAAGACATTTGTTTAACTATTTTTATTCAATAAATAGATACATTACAAGAACAGATTCAGTGACAATAAGTATATGGAATCAGAAGAAAATTCACAAGAAAGCCGGCGCAGGATTTTTAGGATGTGTTAAGATTATGCCAAATGACATACAAAGTCTTAAAGATACCGGATGTATGTCTTTGTCTTTTATTCTGTTAATTGTTGATAATTAAATATTTTAGTTATTTTCTAATTATTTATATTATAATTTTCATAATTTTCTAAAACAGATCAACGGTTAGATTTGCATAAATTTCGTGAAGAAGATCAAGATATAGTTAGGGGTCAGTTAGTGATAAGCTTACTCTCGAGAGACGGGAGTCGATCCAGTAGTGGTCGCCTTCAAAATGTAGTCATTTCTGATTCGGGAAATTCCAATAATTCTCAGAATTGTCTTCTCAATGATGATCTGCCCGAAGGATGGTCTGAATGTCGAACTTCTTTAGGAAGAGTCTATTATATGAATCACGAAACTAGAACTACTCAATGGGAACGACCCAACACTAGTGCCTATACATCTTCTCGGAGGAATAATCATAATTCAGAACAAAATAGTGGTACAAATGGTTCAACGAGTGCTTCAGGTTCTCAAAATGCAAGTGATATACCAGCTGTGAGACCACATGGACGCCGATCAACGCGACATCGAAATTATTTGGCCAGAAATCACTTACATGAAGCCGTGTTGAGCGCATCAAACTCTCATCAAAATCGGACACAAAATCTGAATACAAATCAACCAGAATTACGTGTAAACAATGATTACTCAAATGCCAGTGATTTGCCCGAAGGATATGAAATGAGACAAACATCTCAAGTATGCATTGATTTTATTACTTAAAATTTAAAAAGAGATTTATAATAATATTTAATATAATATAATGTATTTAAAGATTAAATTAATTTTAAAATTATGTTTTGTGTAAAACATTAAAACAATTGTTTAACCCATAAGACTACCGCAATTAAAACAATGATACTAATTATTGGTAAAACTTATTGAATCTGTAGTATCAAAATGTTTTATGCTGTTATTCAAACAATTGCAAAGCAAAATAATTTTATTAATCAGTTGTTTCAAATATTTACACATTTTTTAGCTTGATAAATTATTTTATATAATGGTATACATGATAGTAAATTTTAAAAAATAGTGATAGTTTAACAATGTATTTAAAATTTATATAAGAATGTATTTACCGGTAATAAAAAATAGCATTTAAAAGATTTTATTATTGTACAGTAAGTATTATTAAAATTATGAATATTTAGATTTTATACAGTAATTAAAGTATATTTTTAGTTATTTATATATTAACAGGTTTTTAATTATATATTTCCGACTATTATTATCTGAATAATTTACACTATTATTATTTTTTCTAAAATTTATAAGAACTGACTTATAATAATTATTTTATCATTTTTATTGATTATTTCGTAGATATTATATTAAATGAAATTAATAGATTGTCTAATAATAGTAAATTATTGTTTAACCTGATTTTTAAATGTTTTTAATGATAAATTAGGGTCAGGTATATTTCTATCATATGGAGACAGCAGTGTCCACTTGGCACGACCCGCGTGTACCCCGAGAATTGTTACAACAAGGTATCAATTTAGATGAATTGATAGGACCACTACATAATGGTTGGGAAGTAAGACAAACTCAATCGGGTCGTCAATATTATGTGGATCACAACAACAGGACCACACAGTTTACTGATCCACGACTTGTAGTCAACTCAGTGATGCTCCAAAATTTATTAAAGTATGGATCGAAATAAAGTAATAATATTTCTTATAATAAAATTATTTTTATTATTTAGGATTCGCTCGAACCGTAATAATAATGTTAAAGAGGATAACAAGAAAATTAGTCACAATATTAGCAATAATAATATAAACGATTTGCTAAGCAGTTCTCAAATACAACGACGAAATTTGGTTCAAAAGATGAGTGCCTTAAGACAAGAACTGCAAGCATTTCAACCCCAATCGGGTCACTGTCGGCTGGAAGTGTCGAGACAAGACATCTTTGAGGAATCTTATAGAGCTATACTCAAAATGAGGCCAAAAGATCTGCGCAAAAGACTTATGATTAAATTCAGAGGAGAAGAAGGTCTCGATTATGGGGGCGTCGCTCGTGAATGGCTTTACTTATTATCACATGAAATGCTTAATCCATATTACGGTCTCTTTCAATACACCAGAGATGATATTTATACGCTTCAAATCAATCCGGATTCAGCTATAAATCCGGTTTGTTATATATAACATTATTTGATAAATAGATTTACAATAATTTTGTATTTTAGGAACATTTATCGTATTTTCATTTTGTTGGTCGAATCATTGGTTTGGCTGTATTTCACGGACATTATATCGATGGAGGATTTACACTACCTTTTTATAAAATGTTATTAAATAAACCGATCACTTTAGATGATATTGAATCAGTGGATCCAGAGTTACATAGAAGTCTTTGTTGGATGTTGTAAGTGATACTTGATTTAGTGATAATTACCGTTAATGATATACTGTAGTAAATACGATAATTTTGATATTTTTAATTACAGAGAAAATGACATAACAAACGTATTTGATATGACATTTGCTGTAAATCACGATTCATTTGGTGAGCTTCAGGTTCACGAACTGAAGCCGAATGGAAGGGATATTATGGTAACTGAAGAGAATAAGAAAGAATACGTCAAACTTTATGTCAATTTTCGGTTTACTCACGGAATTGAACACCAGTTTCAAGCCTTACATAAAGGATTTTGTGAACTCATTCCGCAACATCTTCTCAATCAATTTGATGAGAAAGAACTTGAAGTATATTAATAATCAGTTATGTAATGAACGATATTATATGAATTATTTTTTTATAAATAGCTTGTTATCGGAGGATTAGGAAAGATAGATCTCGACGACTGGAAGGCAAATACACGGCTAAAACATTGTAATTCTGAGTCAAATATTGTTAAATGGTTTTGGAGAGCTGTCGAGGAATATAGTGAAGAGAGAAGAGCTCGTCTCTTACAGTTTGTAACTGGAAGTTCAAGAGTACCCCTTCAAGGTTTGTTAAAAGTTATAAACGATTTTTATATTTTAACCGTAAAGACGGTTTCGTATGGTTTACCGATAGTTTATATTAACAAATTATTAATGAAATGTCAATATAATAAAAATATTTAATTGATTTTTATAGGCTTTAAGGCTCTACAGGGGTCAACAGGAGCTGCTGGTCCGCGACATTTTACAATACATTTGATAGACACGGATACCGTTAATTTGCCTAAAGCTCACACATGTTTTAATCGTATTGATATTCCTCCGTATGAATCATATGAGAAACTTTACGAGAAATTAACGCAAGCTATTGAAGAAACGTGTGGTTTTGCTGTTGAATAACAACCCTTTATTCACATCACTTCAGTGCCTAAATCTACTGACAAATTGTTTTCAAAAATCGATTACTTTTTTCATTGTTATAAACAGTTTGTACGGTAAATGTTTCTCAAATTTATTTCTTTTAAATCTGTGATCTATTATTATAATTAAGGGAAAGGTATTGATTTTAAATTTGTTGACTTTTTTAAAAAAAAACTTTACAAAATATTCTTATAAATGGATATACATCTTATAATGAATTCTTGTATTTCTTACATTTTAAACATTAATTTAATAGTAATATTAATATTTAGGCAAATTTTTTAAACAAAACATTTACTATATATCATGACAAACAAATTATATAAAATATTTAATATATATTAGGACTAATGACAAAATTTATTATTATATTAGAAGCTCATAAATATTATACACTATAAGAGTTTGATATATCTGATAGCAGTCAAACAAAATATCATCAAATTTTTCTCAATTAAGTTTGCCATTAATGCCAACAGTTGTAAGCTATTCACGATTTATAATATTATTTGAAAATGTAATATCATATCATATATCAAATTAACTCATATATTCATTTTATTGTATATAGCTTGCATTTATGCCATTTTTGTTATTATATATATTGTATATAATGTGATATTTTAAACAAAATATCCCATTAATTAATTGTTGGTAAATAAAAAAGTTTTACAAATATTTAAATTTGAATTTTACATTACATTATAAGTTATAACTTATAACAGACAACACAATCAAATGTAACGTTATATACGAATAAATAAATGTATGATTTGTTTGCAATGTTTCCAATAATAATGTAAAGTATTTATTGTCTGTTTTGTTGTATGTATTGAACACGTGTTTCAATCAATGCATTCAATTAATAACTGAATTAATATTATAAACACTTTAAACATGTATTTAATGTATTACTTGAATGACGACAACAAACGGGTGTACACTATGTCTAAAGTGGATCCCGAAGGAAGACCTACACTGTCAGCACATCCAGGTTTGTCATCAAATAATAATAAAATGATTAAACAATTGACTAAATTATTTCCATGATTTCAATTACAGCCCGTTTCTCACCCGAAGACAAGTACTCGAGAGAGAGGATTACAATTAAGCGAAGATTTGGTTTACTTCCCACACAACAGACACAACAACCCGTTTAATATCATTTGACAAATACTTTAGATTTATTAAATTCTGACTAATTTTATAATAATTGAATTGATATCATATATCATATACTTATCATTATTTATAATTATATTTCAAATAAGATTTTTATTTCGAGTAAATACCAAAAATGTCTGAATTTCCCGATTTAGGCCAACAGTGCTATCAATGCAAGAGATTAGGTATATATTGATTGATTGATTATTACAAATATTATGTAATGACAAACACATGTTTTAATTTTGTTAAACAGATTTTTTACCATTGATTTGTCTTTCTTGTAAAGAAGTCTTTTGGTATGTCTTATCAATTTAATAAAGATTTTCTCTGATTAACAAATTTTTTGATTTTCTTTAATTTCTAATGAAAGCAAAGAACACTATTCAGTGGTGACTCACAGTTGTCCAAAGTATGACACAAAAGAAGTGAAACCCGTAGCCACTGGTGGTCACCGAACTATATTAGGAAAGTGTTGTTATTGTGTTGAGTCAGTGCCCGACACGGAACTGGTCTTATGTGACAAATGTAATGATAAACATTGTTTAGCTCATCGTTACTATGATTCACACAAATGCAAACACAATACTACCGCTAATGTTAAGTCAAATGTAATACAATTTGTCAACAAATCTACCATAAGTTCAACACCGCCTCAAATAAAGGGCACTAAAAATGAAGGTTTGGCCCGAAGAGTAGCTCTTATGAAACTCAAACAAACAGCTTCGGGACAGACATCGATTCCAGTGACCGAACGATTGTACTTCAAAATGCGATATCAAAAGAGCCAACAAATCCAAGAGTTTGATATTAAAGACATATTTGTGTCTAATGAGTGGTCAATTGGCAAATGTATTGACTGGTTGTCAACACATTTTGGTTTAATTAATAATAATAACAATCCATTGGAACCAAAGTTAGTTCTGTCGTCTGATATTAATAATTATGAATCGTTTCCTACGTCTTCATCACTGAAACAATTAGAAAGTGAAGGATTCGTTCAAAACGGTGATACACTATGTCTTAAATATGTTAATTGATATGAATTACTCAATAAATTTCTTTGAATAAGTTTTATAAATTATGATTTGTATTTTATTTAATAACTTAACATTCAATTCAATGTTAATTATTGTTAAATTAGTTTTTATTGTTACAAAAGTTAAATATTTACAACATTTATTGAAAATGTTATCATAACTTGAAAATCCTATCCATAAGAACCCATTTTTCTCCCGGTTTGGCAAATGGTAGGGCTTTCTGGAAGTTCGACATAAGTTCTTCCCATTCCTTTACTTTAGGATTATTTGAATCCATTTGTGATTTCTTATCAAATGAAAAGTTGTCTTCAGTTTCCATAATCATAAACATTCTGTCATTTATCCGATATATTTCCAGATCTCTTATACCGGAATCACTAATGCTTTTCTTGATCTCCGGCCATACATTTCGATGATATCTTTCATATTCTGCTATAATCTTTGGATCATCTTTTAGATCCAGTGTTAAACAATATCTCTTCATATTTAAAACAATAAACTAATATTCAACTTCTGTATAAAATACTTGTAATATAATAACTGATAAACAAAATTGTTTTTATTTTAATATTATTAAAATATATTACAATAAAAGTAATGAATATTTTATAAAATGGGAGTTATTTCAAAACACTAGAAAACATGACCAAGGTTATTAGTTATTACTAATTAGTTATTTATAGTTTTTGTTAATTTTTTTAATTACTCATATTTTTTTAATTATTTAATTGATTGAAAAATAAATAATACATTTGTTTATAAAATAATTAATATATTGAAGAAATGTCACTAAAATAGCAATAAATTAAACATTACTTTACATATCATATGTCTTAATACCTGACATACAGTGTATTGAATATTATTGACTGTTATGTCAAACAAATATAAACAACAAAACAATGAATTATTTGTAGAAATCATTGACTCATTCAGTGATCAATTGATTAGACAAACAAATGAATGAATAAAACGACGATTTTTGTGACTATTGTTTGATTGAATGACAGCAAAGATGTCCAAATCATATGAAGACCAACTGATACGTAAGTTTTATGAGATAATCATTTGATTAATTCATCAAATTTGGTGATATCTTTGTAGGCGAAGTCAATGAAAATGTTTTGAAACGTTTCGGTCGTTTTGTTGATCACTTTAACCACGAATTGGCGACAATTCATAATTTAAATGTCAAACAAATCAAATCTTCAATTGAAGTGCCATTTGATTGTCCGTCAATTGATTGTAATGATGTGAAAGAGAGGACAGATCTGATTGAATTACTTCAGACTTGTGGTAATATGCAGTTGAATAAAGTTGTCTTAGTTTTTGGTCGACTCACTCAAGAGATGCAATATTTGGCGCAAACCGGTTCCCAACGTTTCTGTGATCAACTGGTTCTTTACGGCGAACCAATTACCAGTGATATTAATAATGAAGACATGTCTTCAATCGCCAAACTCTTACCTTTACTTCACGATCTCTCTTCATTTGTTAATCATTGTCTAAATGTTGTGTCAAATGTTGTCCAACAGATCAATGGATTAATTAATATATCAAATATTCCGACAAAGAAAGGTTTGTCTAACAATTATAAGGAACTGATACCAGACTTGAGTTCAAATCTTAGATTTGATGCAGTTTTTGATGCCATATGTGAATTGGGAGTGACTTTAATTAATTTGGATGATATTATTACTAATCAAATGAATTTGAAACTTGATTTTGTTAATTATAAGCGTATTATTGAATTAGTTTCGGCTAATTCAGACAAATTTGATGTCAAAAATGATATCATGAAAGTCAAGACATTGTTTAAGTTAATAGATAAGATTGAGAAGCAGCTCATTGATGGCGATGGTATCTTCAAAACATTTATTGATGCCATGGCTAATGATGAAAGTATTGCTAAAAATAGTCAAATGGCTGAACAATTTGCTAATTATATTAGATTTAATTGTTCCGATATGGAAGTATCACCCGAACTGATTTTAGACAACAAATTTTTAGGATTGAATGCCTTTTTTGTTATTTATGTTTGGATTTTCAAAAAAGAAGACAAAAGATTATATAAAATGCTAACTGATTGTCAAAAGAAAATTGGGATCAATTTATGTCATTTAAGAGGCAATTGTTGTGTAATACCAGATAAGTTTGTGGCCAACCATTTACCGCGATCTATGTTTGACAAGAAATTGTTGGAGACTTTTAATAGTCAACGCGAGTTGTTTTTAAAACAAAATTTCGATCGTGAAGTCAAACAAATTAACCTCAAAGTCACTAATTGGTTGGTCCGCTTTGAACAAGACATCAGCGGTACAACTGATCTCAACACAAACCTTATTGAAGTTTTAACAAAACAACAAAAAGTCATTGAAGAAGGTCTTGAAAATGTGAGGATATTAACTAATCTTATAAAGAATTGTATATCACTTCATCTACAAAACGGTCGACCGATGGCTAAACAAGACTTACTGGCCATTTGTAAAGCCATTTGTATTGTTAAAGGCATTCAATTAACATTTTATCATAAAAAGGGTCATTTAATTAATATTTTAGGACATTTGGCTCAATATATTTGTTGTGTTATCTTAAAAATGTTAAGTAATGTTAAAACACGACTTATGGCAGACGTGAAGAAATACTCGGAAAAGAAATTAGATTTGTTGTCGGCTGTCATTCTGACCTCTAATTGTCTTAACGGTCCGATTCTTACCGAACAACGAAGGATTTTGATTTCAATTTGTTTGGCTTTTATATCATTCACTCTCAGCGCTGAAGAGTTGACAAAAATATTAACTTTAACTAAAAAACTTGAATTATTTACAAAAGTTCATTCATTAATGAATCAGTGGTCTAATTGTGATTTCTTATACTTTAATAGAGCCGTTTTGGGCGTCTATTTCATTGACTTTTTTGAAAATGATTCCTCAAATGTTAATGAATTGAGACATTTTTTCAATGCCTTAACCGATTCATTGACATTAATTAATAAATGCATTGATGAAGAAAAGCGTCAAATTTTATTAAAACAATTTGATTGTGAAATAAATGAAATTTTTGTCAATGAATTTCTAGATAAGATTTGTACCGAATTTGAGACCGAATTGCGACTACAGATTCATTCAGATCTTCAGCTCGACGATCAAAATCCATTCAAAAGAAATTTATATGATTTTAGTGCACTGTTTGCTGCGGAACCCATTTATTTCAACAATAAATTATTATCAATTAAGAACTACGTTGAAGAATATCTTAATGAAATGGCATATAATTTGACGACAATAGCACTTCACGATTGGAAAACCTATGAATCGATGTTAAATTTGGCCAAAACTAAGTATGGGTTTGAGTTTGTGAGGTCACAACTGCCCACTCAAACACTGGAACAGGGATTGGATGTGTTGGAGATTACCCGCAATATTCATGTTTTTGTTTCGCGATATTTATATAATCTAAACAATCAAATGTTTATTGAAAAGTCATCCAATAATAAACATTTAAATGTTTTACTCATCAGACATGTGGCCAACTCTATACAGACTCACGGTTTTGGTATAATTAATACTACAGTCAACTTCACGTATCTCTTCTTACGTAAAAAGTTTTACACATTTTCCCAATTTCTTTATGAAGAGCACATCAAATCGCGACTGATTAAAGATTTACGACATTTTCGTGAATCAAATGCTATTAAGTTTGCATTTGAAAAGGCAGACAAATTGGTTAAAGGTATTCGCAAATTAGGACTAACTCCCGATGGTATGTCTTATTTGGATCAATTCAGACAAGTCATTAGTCAAATTGGAAATGTCTTAGGATTTGTTCGAATGTTAAGAAGTGGTGCACTTCATTGCAGTTCCAATTCAGTCAACTTTGTACCCGATTTGGATGACTTGACTGAAGTTTCATTTCACGCGATGACTTCAGAAGAGAATTTAAGTGCCGATACGGTGACGGCAGCACACAATTTGGACTCAATTCTGGTCACTTTGAATCGAAACTTTACCGAATCAACAGATTATTTCAAGTTATTAGTTGATGTATTTGTTCAGATAATTCGCGATCCAAAGAATTATCACTTAAAAAACTTTTATGTAATACTTCCGGCTTTGACTTATAATTTTGTTGAGAATTTAATTATAAGCAAAGAGAAGATGACTCGCAAGAACAAAGTGGGCGCCGCCTTCACTGATGATGGCTTTGCAATGGGTGTCGCGTATATCCTTAAACTTCTTAATCAATTCAATGATTTCGATTCACTTCATTGGTTTAGTTCTGTGTCCGACAAAATTAAGGCTGAGATCAATGAAGCCAACAAACAAAATCAAATCAATGCCAACAGTGACGTCAAGTTAACACAAACCACTAGTTTAACAATTAAAAGGTTGGAAAACCTTCAGAAGGAGTTTGACCTCTTGGAGTACAGTCTTACCAGTTCTCGGATCCTCTTTAAGGCAACTCCTGAATCAGTCAACTAATTATCATAAAAATGTTAATATATTTTTATATTTATTATCTAATAATTTAAAATATAACTATAAATTTATATATTAATAATTTAACATAATAAATTTTTTAAAACAATCATTCAAATTATTTAAGTAATTAAAAACAGATTAACTGATTAATTATATAATAGATTCATAAAAATAAAATACGGTAAGCTTAAATATAGTATATAAAAAATTAATTTCTATATTTAAACTATATTATCAGTAAGTATTTATATAAATTACTTATACAAACGAGAAATAATACTGTATAAAGTATATTATATTATATCAGATCCAAAGATAAAATATGTAAAAATTAATTATAACAATTTGGCAAATAGTGATTATATTTAAAAATAAGAGAAAATACTGATTAAAAGTTAAAAAATATTGAATTTATAAATTGATAATTTAGTTATCAATTTCCATCATTTTAAAGATTTCATTAGTTTGTTGAGTGACTCTAACAAAAGTAGTACGTATAGGTAGTTCCTTAAGTTTTGAGGCACCGGTATAAGTACAGGCAGATCGTAGACCACCTAAGACATCAAGAATAGTGAACTCGACATCCCCTCTATAGGGCACTTCTACTGTCTTGCCCTCAGAAGCACGATATTCAGCGACCCCTCCGTGATGTTTGTTCATAGCTGTCTCAGAGCTCATACCATAAAACTGTTTAACTTTCTTACCATTCGGTTTGACCACAATTTCACCGCCGCACTGGTCGTGACCCGAGAGCATTCCTCCTAACATAACAAAGTCGGCTCCGGCACCAAACGCTTTACAGATATCTCCCGGACAGGTACAGCCACCATCCGAGATTATATGGCCTCCCAATCCGTGAGCCGCATCCATACATTCAAGAACTGCTGACAATTGTGGATAACCGACACCAGTCTTCTTGCGAGTAGTACAGACAGATCCCGGACCAATGCCTACTTTGATGATGTCAGCGCCCGCCAGAATCAGCTCTTCAACCATTTCACCCGTTACTACATTTCCAGCCATTATTGTATGATTTGGAAATAGATTGCGGACCTGTTTGACGAACTCAACGAAATGTTCTGAATACCCGTTGGCCACATCCAGACAAATGTATTTTATTTCCGCAATATTCTGAAGAATTTGTGATAATTTATCCAAATCTTGTTGACCGATACCCGAACTTACGGCCACATTCTGTGTTCAATAAAATACTAATTATAATATTGATATCAATTGATTACCAAAATATCATTTACAGTTAAAACCGATGGATTATTAGCCGCGAAATCCATCCACTCTTGCAATGAATAATGTTTATGTATTGTCGTAAAACAGGTGTGTTTGTTAAGAGCCAATGCCATCTCAAACGTACCAACGGTGTCCATATTGGCCGCTATTATTGGTATACCCGTGTATTCCTGACCAGAGTTACGAAAATGATATTTTCGAGTCAACTCAACCTGTATTTAGTGATACCAAAGGCATCAATACATGAGATACTAAATGCTTAACAAATTGCTTATCTATACTTCAGATCTACTCTTAAGTGTTGATCTTCTGGGTCTTAATAAGACATCTTTGAAGTCTAATTTGACGCCTTTCTCGATGCGTGGCATGTCTTCAAATCAGTCAATTAATTCAAATACAATATACTATTAATTTCAATGAAATGCAAACAATATTTATATATCAATGAATATTCATTTAACTATTCCTTCAAATATTGAATTCAATGTAAATCCCAGACAAATGTTATTTAAATAACTTTGAGATATATTTATAGCAAAATAATGACTAAAAAATATAATATAATTTTTATAACAATATAAAAGATCAAATAACTATTAGATCAGTGAAAATATGGCACAAAATGAGAAAAAAATTGTGATAAAATTTATTAAATTATACTTTAAAATCACGTTTTATCAAATCACTGCTACTATTCATGTAATACTGTAAATGTGTATTGAATTTCAATAACAAAATCATTTGACACTATATTAGACGCTCTCTATTGAAAGTCATTGTAAACATAATTCTGTAATATTCTGTATATTCACGAACTCCTGAAAGGAGTCCGTATATGCATTCTGTCGGTCTGTCGGTCTGTCGGTCTGTCGGTCTGTCGGTCTGTCGGTCTGTCGGTCTGTCGGTCTGTCGGTCTGTCGGTCTGTCGGTCTGTCGGTCTGTCGGTCTGTCGGTCTGTCGGTCTGTCGGTCTGTCGGTCTGTCGGTCTGTCGGTCTGTCTGTCCAATATAGGTTAGTGGTTCGAATCCAGACTCTGCTACAATTTTTTTTTTTTTTTTGAGCTATGAGCTATGGGTTAAGTATTGAAATTTTGATATTTCATCAGGAACATGGAGAAAATGGCGTCTAAAAATTAAAAAAATATATTTTTTGATTTTTAAATTTAGATTTGTATAAAGCATCAAAAATGAAGTATAAGAAATCTGCATTTAAATTTTTATCTCTTCAAGAACTACGAGAAAATGACAGCTAAATTTTTAATTTTATCATACTGAATCATTTGATACCCCACATGATTATAGTTGATAATTTTTTTATTCTGAAGCATTTGTTATCCAACATGTCTATAGTTGGGTTTATTTTGTAATATTGAATTATTTAATACATTGTATGACAATAGTTGAGTTATTTTAGTATTCTGAACTATTTATATTTCACATTACTATAGTTGATTTTATTTTGTCATACTGAATTTAATTTTTAATTAGGATTTAGGAGTTCGTATGGAAATGCTTTCTAGCATTCTCAACTGGTTTTTACATTCATTTGTGTTATAAATTATTATGTATATATGTATATATGTATATGTATATATTATGTATTATACTATATAATATATAGTATTTTGAATATTATAACTTATAATATTCAAAATACTATATATTATATAGTATAATACATAATATATACATATACATACATAATATATATACATAATATATATACATAATATATATACATAATATTATATATAATTTTAGTTATAAAAACAGCATTTAAGATCAGAATAAATAATAGCAATGATAATTAAATTTTATTATTTGTCATCAAAATTAATTTTATTTATTTCATTTTCATCATATTGAAAATCCTAATAATATTTTGAATATGATTTTATACTATATATTATCAGGGTTAAACAAAAAAGTAGGGTTGGATATCGCCAAATGATCCCTCTCTAAGATCGAGATTTTCGGATTTGAATACAAAGACTTTTTGACTAAATGGAAAAAATTGTGGCTAAAAAACGAGAAAAAAGACCAAATTTTTTGTTGTTAAAGTTATTATGCTTTTAAAATTTATATCAATCTAATTATTGCTTAAAAATAAGTAAAGTAGTTAAAATCACGTTAAAATTAATCTAAAAATAACTATTATTTTATTTAAAATATTCAGCTAAAAAATTAAAAATTATCTATTTGTTGAAAAGACAAAAATCATATAACAATTTAAATAAAAGTTAAATAAAGTTAGTAAAACAAAATATACTTATATGATAAAGTCTTTATTAATAATTTTTAAAATATTAGTTTAAAAATTTGAAAATATTTTCAATTTTATAATTACTTCAACTAAAACTTTAATAAAAAATAAGTTAAATAATTAGTATTCAGTGAATATTTATATAAAAATAACATTTAAAAATATGTACCTACAAACTTAAAAATTAATTATTCTTTAAAAAATCAATTATATTAAAAATTATTAAAATATTAAAAATAACTCATAGTTTATCATTAATGTATTTATCAACTATTTTTAAATTTTAAGTACATGATTATTTTATTTTTTAGTTAAAATTTATTTTTATAATTTGTTTTTATGTTGTTTTTAAATTTTGAAAATTTGTGTAATTTTGGGAAAATTTCCTATTATCCTTGGAATATATATATATGGGAATTTTATGGACTTACGTGGGAATATTCGGGAATTTTATGGACTTACGTGGGAATATTCGGGAATTTTATGGACTTACGTGGGAATATTCGGGAATTTTATGGACTTACGTGGGAATATTCGAGAATTTTCTCTTGACCTCTCCCTTGATTTTAGTTTTTTGAAATAATTTCCGTTTAAAAATGCAATAAAAGCTTACATCTCACCCTAGACCCCCCCCTCTAAAATCCAAAATCATGCTTAACCCTGATATATCATAACTTAAGATTCCTAAGTATATATAAAATATATAATAATTATGTATACATTAGAGCTATATTATAATAGTATTAAATTTAATACTATAGTACTATAATGTATATAATGTATGATTTTGTGTAATCATGTAATCATCTCTACGGAAGTCATGTGTTGACATTAGTTTCATTTGAAATCAGATACTATTATAACTTATATCATAACTATTAATAATAAACATAAAGATTATTATAATAAGCTATTATTTTTAATATTTCATATAATTTTATTTGTATTTAAACAATTTATATAAAAAATTTATGCTAAAACTCAAAACATATGATAATTTATAGTTTTAAGATTAATAAATTATAATTCATAGGAATAAATATTATTATCATTATTTTATATTAACAAATAACTTTAAAGGTTAATAAAATTTTATACATTAAAACAAACAAAATCGATAAATTATTATAAATATGATATGATATTAACAATTATTAACAATTATTTAAAATATTTACTTTATTTCTAAACACACATTAATTTATTCATAAGTTTAATATTCATTAATAAGTTATTCATTTATTCTTCAATTGATTCTATCATTTAATTGCTATTTTATAATAATAAATATTTTAATAATGTATTGTATTATAAATAAGTAAAATAACTAATCTATTGAATAAATTGTTAATATAATAGATTGTAATTATAATTGAAAGTTTCAATTTTCAAACAAAACTGCAAACAATAGATATGTAAATATTATACAGTATTATAAGTCCATCTGTTGTTTTGATAATAAAAATACTGTATTTAAAAAATATGAGACAATATAATGTTTTTAATACTAAAAATTAATTATAAATTATAATACGATATCATCATATGATTCACTATTTGTTAAACACTAAAAAATAATATACAATGTGTACAGTACTGTATAATACAGTGAAAATATTTATATAACAAAAAATATTAAAATTAATAGATTGTACTGTATTTTAATCATTTAATAATCATATTATATATTATGTAATATTTGTATTCATAGCTTAACATTGACTTTGAAATATAATTTTTGTTTTGTTTTTTTGAATTACTGTACTATTAATAGATTGAAATCATAACAACAAATGTCTTAAATATAACGTAATATCAAATGATTAACAATTGATAGCATTATTGTTATCGCAAATCATTTGTCTAACTAAACAAGTGATACATATTGTGATTAAATGTCACAAAACAAGACAACTATGAAATCATTTAGTAGTTGTGTTGCCATTGAAGTCATTCATCTGTTTGATCACCGAAAAGACAGTCTTAAAGTGTTAGACAAAATACATATTAATTTGAATGAATTAAAAGATAAATCCGATGAAACAGTTATTCAAAAGATTGGCAAAGATTTGTTGAGTAAAGTGATTGTCAAATGTCTGGAGAAATGTTTGCGAGAGTTGTCGGACAACATTGGTTTGCGTATCAATTCATTGAAGTTGGAAACCAATTCACCAATTGATAAGACATCAAGTCTTCGCCATTATTACGAAGAGTGTGGACTCTTTAAGTTTGGTGGATGTCTTCAGTTTGAATATTATGGCACAAGAAAAACGGGAAGAGCTTTGATAAAGAAGTTTTGGACTCAATTTTGCGAAAATAATTGCTTTAGAAATACTAACATTTCATTGATTGACGAAAACTATGAAACCATTAAATTCTTATCAAATATAAACCGATTGATACCACGGATTACGTTTGAAATAAAAAGTTTCAGTTTTGGGACAATCATTGATTTGACTAACTTTGTTGAGCACTACAATAGTGAGAGCTGTGGTAAGTCATTGAAAGTGGCGAAAGGAAACAATGATTTGATAACAGACTTTCAAACGGATCACAACAGTATGAAACTGAAGTTCAGACTCACGAGTGGTGGCAAAGACAAACATTTGACTAGTATTCGCTATAAACTCGAGTACGACTATAAACAGATCAATTCAATGATTGTTTCAATTGATAACCAAGTTATGAAAGTTTACTTTACATTAACTAATCCACCGATACTTTACAAACTATACGAAGACACGATGACTCCCGAAGAGAAAGTAGAATATCATAGTTCTAAGCAGTGGTCCGACAAAAGAAAGCCTTTTTACAAACGAAAACAATTCAAAATAGTTGAGTCAGATATTGGTGTTCATTCGGATGATGTCCAGAATCACCACAATTGGATTCGTGACAATTGTTTTGGTGACTGTGAGCCGCAAATCATTGGTAAATGCAATGTCTTAATGATTGAAATACCTTTGATTGTTAATGAAAACAAATTGAAAGATAACTATCGAGACTTAGCCGATCCCTATTGTCTTCTTTATCTAATGAAACGATTTGCAAGAATTCCTGTTTATATATCACGTATGGAAAGACAAGTTTTAAATGAAATTGATTTGAAAACTAAATTATATTTGAAATTATCAAAGAATTTAAGTTCAGAAGAAAGATTTTCTGTTGAATATGCTTTTCAGGCATTGTTTTCGCATACATTTCAATCTTCAGACGAACTTCGATTGAATAATCAATTAAAAGAATTTCTTGATTTAATATTACAATTATTAAATGATTTAAATTGCAGTCAAAAAGTTAATATTAAAGCAATGGAAGAAACCTTATTTGAAATGTTGGCCGTAAGTGAAAGAAAAAGCATTTATCGTACAATCAATGCATTGAAAAAGATTTTTCAAGAATATCAACAAATGAATGAAACGATTGAAAAGGAAAAAGTAGTTAATTTGAATTCATTTCATACGGAACTCGAAAACATCAGACGTTGTATTTTAACGCCGACTCGTCTTTTAATACTTCCACCGCAACCGACTCTCACGAGTCGGTTCATTGTCAATGCAAAAGCCGATTATGCCATAAGACTATCAATACGTGAAGACACTTTAGAATCACTGCAATTTACAGTTCAGTCTCAGAGACATTTCCTTCCGCTACAAAAGAAAGCCATTTCTGATTTTCTTAAGAGAACTATAAAAACCCCGATTGAAGATAGCATTAGAATCGGTGACAGATATTTCAAATTTTTAGGAAGTTCTTCAAGTTCTCTACGAGACGCCGGAATGATTCTCTACGCCAAAGATCCTGACGGAACAACTGCTCAATTGATTAGAGAAAACATCGGCGAAATGTCACACATTAGGAAAAATGTGGCCAAATATGTGGCCCGACTCGGACTTGCATTCTCTCAGGTTATGAAACATATTATTGTGAATCCAAATTCAAATGAAACCGAAGTTATTAATGATATTGAAGGAGATTTTAAAGTGGATGAAAATGGAGATAAATTAGACGAAAAATACAACTTTAGTGATGGAATTGGAAGGGTTTCGATAGATATTATGAAAGAGGTTTACAAAGAATTGCCAAACGAATGTACAAATAAGCCGTCAGCGATGCAAATCCGTTACGGAGGCTGTAAAGGGATGCTTGTATTGGATCCTAAACTTAAAGGAAGGAAAATACTATTTAGAGAAAGTATGCAAAAGTATAAATCCGATGCCAAAGAATTGGGTATTATAAAGCTATCACTTCCACGATCACTATATCTTAATCGACCGTTTATCACAATTCTGGAACAATTGGGCGTCGAGTCAAATATTTTTCTTAAGATGTTAATGAAAGATCTCAAAGGTTTGTCAAATGCAATGATATGTGAGTGTGCGGCCACTCCTTTACTTCGATCGCATTCAACTTTGGGTATTCCTTACACCAAACTCTTGAAATATGGAATCCCTTTCTTATCGGAACCAATATTCAGACAAATCGTCGATTCTGTGATTAATCACAGAATTGTTGAATTGAAAAGAAAGGCCAGAATTAAAGTACCGATGAATAGCGGTCGCACTGTGTTTGGAGTTCTCGATGAAACATCAACTCTTGAATATGGACAGGTGTTTGTCCAATTATCTGAAGTGGATGAGGACAATATGCCACAGGATAAGACATTTATATTGAAAGAAAAGATTATGGTCACAAAGTTTCCTTGTCTACATCCGGGTGACGTCCGAAAATTTGAAGCCATAGATGTCCCGGAGTTACATCACATAAAAGATTGCATTGTTTTCCCTCAGAAAGGCAGTCGTCCGCATCCGGATGAGATGGCAGGCAGTGATTTGGATGGCGATGAATACGCTGTTATTTGGCAATCAAATCTTATTTTTGAAAATGAAAACAATAAACCGATGATATTTCCCACAACAAAAGCTAAAGAATTACACAAAGAAGCCGATGTATCGGATATTCTCGACTTTTATTGTGATTATATTATCTGCAATAATGTCGGTGTTCTGGCAAACGCTCACTTAGCTAATGCAGATCTCAAAGATAAGGGTATCTTTGATGATATTTGCATGAAATTAGGTTTGTTTAATCAAAATCGTAGTTATTTATTAACTGATTACTTGTAATTAAAAATATTTATTTAGCGCATAAATATGCCGTTTCACTTGATTTTGCCAAAACTGGACAAACTGAAGAACTTGAAACGTAAGTAATATTTAGTTTTTAAAATTTGCAAATTTATCGGTAAATTATTTTAATTTATTCATAGGAAAGAAAGGCCTAAATTATATCCCGATTTTATGGAAAAGTTTGCACAAAAGCGAAGCTATTTGTCGAATAAAACATTGGGACAGATCTATAGATATTGCGATCGGTATTTTAATTTTATATTAATCTAATTATTGTAATTTTGTATTACAATTTATAACTATTATATTTATATATATTTTTTTAGTTATAGTTTGGGAATCTATTCAAACAGAAATTTAGAAATAAAAGCTGAACCCAACCCTACTTTTATATTAGAAGGTTATTATTTTTATATATTTTGTTATTAAAATTTTGATTAATATCTATATTTTTATATCTATAGGTTGGCAAAGATATGAAGAATCGGCAAAAAATGCTTATCAGACTTACAAACTAAAAGTAATGTTTTTATTGAATCGCTTCGGACTCGATAACGAAGCAACTCTTCTAAGTGGAACTTTCAGCAAAACTACCAAATATATGACCGGAAGAAATGAAACCAATGATGTCCACGAGTTGCTCGAGAATATGATTAATAAATTATTTATTGAATTTAAAGATAGATTTAATTTTGAATCAACAAATGACAACGACTCTGAAGATGAACGAAGATTAAGAGCCAGTGCCTGGTATGTCGTTCCCTTCAATGCTGACGTTGGTATTAACGAAAGATATTTTGGATTCTCGTGGACTATCACTGAAGAATTATGTAAATTACACAAAGATAACGACAAATTTAATGTTAATAAAGTAGATCACAAATGCATTCATTTGATGACTAATTTTATTGACAAATATTTTTACGATAACTATATATATCGAGATCCAGTTATTGACAATTCAATCACTGATGTAGAAAAAAGACGACTAATAGAAATGAGAAGTAGACTCGAGTCGGCAGAAGTTGTATTGAGAGCTTGGCTCGAAAGACAGGACCACTTGTTTTTCAAAAGAAATATCAAAAAGAAGTTAATTTCATCGACAGATTATGTCATTTCAGATATGGATCGCAAACTCAGAAGAAAGTTCACACAAATGAGATGTTTAGAGATGGAAATTGCAACTAAATGTCTCACTAAACCACTTAAGACTTCGGGTCAACTAATTATGACTTTCTTTAAGGAAGCCGTAGACGAGTGGCTCAATATTGATAATAACAGACGAATAGTAGACACGCCTTTAATAAAGTTTGGTTTCAGTGCACTCATGACTTTATATCATTTCTTTAAAACTCGAGAAATAAGTCATATAATAGATTTAAGACCGAAATTTACAATTTCATTACAATCTCCTGTAAGAGAATTATCTTTTTTTATATCACTTGATATACCAATGCCTAGAAAATCACAGCAAAATAAAGACGAAAAGATAAAACCAAAATCTTCAGCAGAAAGTAAACTGGAATTTGCAATAAATAAAAGACAAGAACAGAGAATTGAGTTAATGAAGAAATACGTGGAATATATGGTCGTTAATTCGGATCAGTTTATAGAGAAGTTGAAGTTTATCAGTGGTGCCATTGAAATATATCTTGAGCCGTATCCGCTTAAAACTAAACGGGTTCAACATTACTATTTGTTGACAGCTTCGGGAACTGTTTGGTCACTACAGACGATCAAAAATTTCATAAGTCATCCGTCTTTCTTTAATACAGTTGTCAATCATGACATTCCGTGGAAACGAAAAAATCTCTTTTACAAAGGAGATCCAGCGCTTGAAAGTATTGCAGAAATAAAGTCTTAAAATATTAACACAATTTTTATCGATTATTATTACATTTATAATATCAGAAATATTGTCAATTAGGATAAGACTATAATTGTTAAAGAACTCAAATATTTTATTTAATAAAAATCATTAAATTTAAATTATTTTATAATGTATTCATATACAGTATGTTTAACTGTATAATTGTATTACAATATTAATAGTCAAATAAATAAATGATTGTTAAACATTACAGTACTGTTTATATCTTTTATTGTATTTTGTTTAGTAATACTGTATTATAAAATCATCTATTAATATAAATGCTGTAATAATAATATCATTAATAATCAATTTCGTAAAGCAAATAAAAATTTGCAAACCATAGGCAAACTTAGATGATATCAATAATAATAAATAAAACATTTTTAAAGACATGAAAATCCTTTTTGTTATAATTTTTATTCTTACAATAAGTTTTTTAAATTACTACTTATTTATAATTATAGAAATATACGATATATTTCAGTAGATAATTAAATTTCAATCAATAAAAATAAACTAAAAAAATAATTAAATCAGTTTAGCATAATATACTGTATGTTAAAAATAAGTATATTATTATAGAATTTAACTGTATTTTACATTTAGAGTGACATTAATTTATTTGATTTATTTTTATCATCACTACTGTAATGTACTGTATATACAATATTTTCACTCCCAATGAATGATATTTTTGTGTTTTTCATTCAAACATTGTTTGAATTACACAACTGTTGTGCTTAAAAATTACACAAACAGTTGTCTTTATTTTTAGTTTTTTATATATACTGTATTAACTATACCGTTAACCTAACTTAACTAAATAACTTCAAAATAATTTTAAAAAGTATTTACTCTAATAATCACTTTAAAAATTTATATGAAAAATAAACATAACTTAATTGGCAATAATGACTAATTGATAAGTTTATGTGCTTTTATTAGTATAACTTTATAAATTCTATGTTTAAAACTTTTATAACATATTTTTTCAATAACAGTTCAACAATTTTAAATCTCTTATGTAATAAACTTAAAATTTATTATTTTATTTCAAATGTGTTTTGTTGTCTCACAATACAAGTTTTATTTATACAATACATTGTGATAACATATCGATAATAACCATAATTATAATACTCGATATTCAAGTGCTTATTACTGCATAAATTTTAACTAAAAAAATAATATATTTAGTAAAAACTGTTTAATAAGTATTATATAATCAATGATTATGGAAGTAATTGAAGAGAGATTGCATCCAAAACCACTAATTGTAAAACAAAGAGTTATTTACAACAAGAGATTAAGTGCAGAGAGTTTGCAATTAAGTCAAGTCTATTACTTGCCGTGGATTTTGAGTGTCATTATAGCGATTGTAATAATAGTTTACAACTATTACTTCATTGAAACCGAGTGCTGGAGTGATGGCTGCAAAAGAGCTACACTATTGGTATCACTTATGCTATGTTTGGCCACAATTATCGTCTTAAGCATAGTATTTGTTATAACATGTGTTTCCGATACCAACACATCTATAACCAGAAGCCGTTTCGTGACAACAAGTTTTGTCATAATAACACTGTTATCAGTACTCAATCTAATACTGGCTTTACTTATATTTATGCAAAAGTCTTGTTATTATAGCTCTAAAGTGTCGACTGATAGGATCGTCGGTCGAAATTTTGTCTACACTTTAATAGCTAAATACGACCTCAAGTTTTCTGGTATTTTTCATCTCATGGTATCTGTCCTCTCGTTTTTTGTGGCCATGGCTTTTGCTATCATTAAAAATAACTACAAATATGTCAAACAAATTAATTTTAATATTGAATAATGATTACTGAATACAACACTATTTCTGTAATAAAAAGTGTAATTTTTAGTTCAATTATTGCAAAAAAATTTATAACAATTAACTATTACCGATAATGAAACATATGTATTAATAGAGTTAGTTATAGAGATGAGTAAAAACATATTTCTAATAAATATTATTAAGAAATTTCACAGAAAAGTCACTACTAGATGGGATTTGAACTCAGTTCCTTCAACCCCAGCAGTCAGCTATCCTATTAAATCTACGATTTCTTAGTAATTTTAGTTATTTGATATGATAAATAATTTTATTGAAAATTGCAATTTTAAATTGTAGAAATTACTATTATTAAACTTTTATTGAATTTTATTATTTTATTTACTTTATTTTAGTGAAAATCAATTTATATAATTTTACTATTGATGGAAACCTAAGCGAAATTACAGTATACAATATATTGTTTCATTATTATCATCAAATTAATATTTTTTCGATATTTTAATAGATTTAGATTTTTATATTATATAATATTTAATTTGTGGTTTGTGTACAACAAACAAAAATTACATTTTGAAAGTATTATACTTATATTTACAGTAAGTTATAATTAAATGCATTTTATGATAATCTTATAATATATCATACAATAAATGTTTATAATGTTATTATGTATTATAATTTAGTATTATAAAATTTTGTTTTTAATAAGTAAATCATAGCTTATAATACTGTATAAGATAGCATATACAATAAACGTGTATATTAAAATTGAACGTTTTTAAATATTATTGGATAATTAAAAAAAGTGATTTATTAATAAGTGTTATTATGAATTGTTTAAAGTATACTATTATTTTCAATAATTTATTTAATAGATACAATACTTAACAATGATATATTGCCGATTCATAAAAATTTTATGGTTTATATAATATTTTTCTAATATACTGTATATATATACCGGTATAATATACTGTAAAGTTTATATACGGTAATGTGATATAATTTTAAAGAAAATTATTATTTTTTGATTTAAAGCCAAACAAATTTTGAATCAAATCTAAAAATATTTGTCAAGCAATTTCTTTATTTTATAGATTATTTATAATTTGTTTTTATTAAATTAAGCTAATATAATGAATTTTTAAATTTTGAGTTTTTTAAACCGTAAAAATAAAAATAATAATTTTTATTTTAATAAAGAATTTAAATTTAGAAATAGTTATTTCGATTTATGTTTTAACTGCAAATTATATCAATATTAACACATATAGTAAATGTATTGTACAGCATATAAACGTATCATTAATATTAAGTTATCGTTATATTTTAAATAAATAAAGTTAATAAGAAATTATTAATTAAATTATTTAATCATAAGTTGTAAAATTATATTTTCAAAATATTAATAGTCGAGAATAAACATTAATTGTGTTATTGATATTTTAAAAATGTTTACAAATTGCAATTCATGCCATTGAAACATTGCATATAATTATTTTAGATCACTAACTAATACCTGTATATGTTTTATTATAATTAGATATATTAATAATTTAGTTATTGTTATCAGATTGAAATATTCATATACTTTTATATTAAAAAATAGTTGATAATCAATTTAATAAAATATAATAATGATTGAATTATTAAATACTGTTAAATATTAAGAAAATAATAATAATCAAAATCATTGAAATTAATAAATTTAAAAAATACATTTTAATAACCATTAATTGATAATATTATTAATATATTAATAATTTAAACTTAAATCTCAATTGATTAGTACAGTAATGTGAAAAACAAGTTTTCTGACATTTTTTTGAAGTCATAACTTAAAGTACAATAACACTAAAGTGAAAGCAAATATAAGAATGTTAGGAATGGCAGGTAAATGGTATGGTATGGGAGGTATGGTATGACAGGTATGCATGCATTGGACTTATACTGTATATAATATGTATAAACAGTGCATCAGTTTTGTTGGGTCTCTTTGTTCAGTTGTTTCCATGACATACACTTACACTACAATATAATACACTATAATATCAAATAACAAATACATTTGAAAACAGTGGCGAAGTTTGTTGTCACGAGTTTTAGTCGACACTTGCAATGAATAGTAATTAATACACATTTTTAATGTAAACTTATTTTTATTTATTAACTATAAAATTTAACCACAAAATGTTATTAATTGTTAATTATAATGAAAAGATACAACAATTTTTAAACTTTTTATAAAAAAGTTTAGTTTTGTTTGAGTTGTGGTCGCAAACAATTAGAAAATGTCTAAAAAAACTAATAATAAATTTGACAGAAGTTGTAGTCATTTGAGTGAAAGAGAAGTTCAAATCAAATACAAAATGTTTGAAAGATTATCACAAAAAGGATTTCTCCAATCAATGCAACAACAGATGAGAAGAGCCATTAATCAAGAATTGGGACAATCGAGAGAAACAAATGATTTCATTGAAAGAGAAGTTCAAACCGAAGACAATGGGATATCGATTAAGGAAACAAATGACTTAAAGTGGGACTCTTTGGCTAAAGTGTCTTCAATTGCCAATTGGGAGAAACAATTGCGATATGAGTTGCAAATCGATAAAGAGATTCAAATGCGAGAACTCGAGAGACAAAGGGAACGACTTCTGACTGAATCCAGAGAACTACAAGAAAGAGATAAAAGTTTGAGAATTAAATTAGACGCGCGAGAGAAGAGAGTCAGACAGCGGGAAGAAGAACTTAATACATCTCTTCAAGAACTTAACGACAAGTTGGACGAAGTGACCGCCAAAGAACACACCATCGATACTATTGTTAACGAAAAAATCAAAAATGAATTAAAAGATGAAATCGAAAAATTAAAGAAAAAGTTTAATGAATTGGAAATAAATAAAATTGAATTAAATAAACGAGAAAACAAAGTGAAAGAAGTGGAACAAAGACTTTACTCTCAGGTGAAGATTGTTAAGGAAAAAATTGATAACAAAAAACTCTTAGATATGGAGTTAATTAAAACTCGTAAAGATCTAGAAATTGCACGAAAAGAAAATGAATTAATGAAGGAAAGGGTGGACAGTATGGATGACTACCAGATGACTAAATTTGAAAACAAATCACTAAAGAATGAGTTAAATATTGTCAAAGAAAGTCTAGAAAATAAATTGACTGAATTTGAGACCGAAAAACAAAAGTTTGAGAAATTGATTAAAGAAAGAGACGAAAAGGTATTAAAATTAACAATTGATTTGAGGAAATGTGAACAACAAATACTTTTAATGAAACAAAAGCATCAAGGTGATATTGACCAATTTGATAATAAACTCATACAATTAGATAACCAATTCAAACAATCCAAACTCGTTACCAAACAATTACAATACAAGTAATTATGATATTATTTTTTATTTTTTATTAGGATTTTATATTTTTTGATTACCGGTATTTGAAATTTTTATCGAAATTTGAATATTTTTGATATAAACAATAGTATTTCAAATTTTAATCAATATACTGTAGAAATAATATGATTTGTATATTAAATACACATTTATTTATAAACTATAATTTATTGTTTCAGAAACCAATTGTTATCAAAACAAGTGTTAGAATCAAGAAATGAAAGACAACAGTCCGTTAAAATCGATGATATTATACATAATAACAATATTATTAATAATAACGAAAATGAAATGAATGGCCATAACTATGGCTGTTATATATGTGATGAAAGTGTTAAAGCATTAGAAGAAACTTCATTTGACTTTATGTTAACTCAAAGAATAAGCTCAGAAATGAATGACTGGTTTAGTGGACAACAAAATATAAATTTACAAACATTGAAGACCAATGTCTCCACTCCTCCTCATCATAAAAACGAAGTGCCATTCAATGACAATAGTCAAGCCATACAAAGTCATAATCACAAGACTTGTGCCAAACATACTGTCAAAGACAACTCTAATATCGGTAATTCATTGCAAACAAGTGATGACAAAGACATTAAAAGTATATATAATGAAAACAATAACACTTTAAAATATAGTATCAGTAATGTTAATAATAATAATAATAAAGAAAAAGTAGAAAAAAGTACACAAAATAAAGTTAACGACAATAATATATCAAATTCAGAAGTCAATGATTGGTAAAATACATTTAACATTTGACACATAAGATAATAATAGATTACATTATTTACAATAAATTTATATACTTGTATTTGTATTATTATTATACTGTATATATATATATATATATATATATATTGTATATACAGCATACCCTTATATATAAATGTCAAATAATATCAAGTATTATCCAAAACTAATTATATTAATTGTGATTAGTGTTAATATCCTTTACATCTAAATGAGACTCAATAGTCTCCAAAGCGTTCTTAAGAACCGATGAAACGAGAAGTAAATTTTGTTGTCTTTCAGCCTTTAATTCCTGTTTATAAAAACCAATTAATTTATATTTAAATTTATTTGTTTTATTTTATAATTACATTTCGTTGTTGTTTTAAAATATTTTGAATAGTTAGAGCCGACACTTCTCCTTCTTTAGCATTATTTACATTATTAGTCTTTGGAGACAATGAATCGCCGGAATCAATGATTGAATCGTTTGTATTCACAACTCTAGTCTCTAAAGATGTAAGTCTTTGTTCCAATCGATCCATCGCTGATGTAATAGTTGATTGAAATTTATTAACCGTTTCAGTTAAGGTCGTTATCAATGCTTCTTGAGTTTGAGGAGAATTAATAGCCAATTGTCGCGATTGTGACTGTAATTCACGAATTTGTGTATCTTTTTGAAGCAATTGCTGTTGTAATAAAGCTTTTTGTGTTTGTAATGTCTTCACGTCTTGTTCTAAGCGATTCATTCGCATATGATTCGTGTCATTTGTGCCGTTATGACCACTACTTATCGTTTCTGACATTATTTTTGACGATCTGTTGGCTAATGAACTATTGGCCGTCGATTCGCGTGAAAAGCTTGGTTTCAATGCATTAGTGCTTAGAGTAGATTCACGGCTTGTGGTCAACAATGAGATATCGGGTAAATCTCTCTGTTTAGGTATGGCTCCCATATCTCTATGGTTCGGACGCATCACTACATTATGTCGCGATTGATTCGATATCACCGACTGTTGGTTCATATGATTTGATGGTTCGTCATGTGATGATTGACTCGAGTCAACCCTCAAGAGGTCTAATTGCGAGACAATCGGTTAATAATGATATTTACAAGTCATGTGTGTTAACAAACCGGGAAATACCCAATTGGGTGGTCCGCCCATCGCCTGAACACTTTCTGGCGCCTCATCTTCTGGACCCTCAAAGTCACCGAAGTCGTCGTCTTCTGTGGCGTCCGTCGGCTATCGGATGGACATTAAGTTCAGACAATTGTTGTTAACATTCATTCATTACATCAAATTCACTCACTTTTGATTGGTTTCTATCATTTGAACTCATTTTTTAATCACTTGTTATTCAAAATTAAATAACAAATCAATTATTCAATCAATGAATGAGTGTTTCAACCAATTATGACATCAATTAATCACTGAATCACTAATTGATTGAATATTTTTGTCTAAAATTGATTGTAAACTAACATAAACTCCAAATGCATTCAATCTATGTATTCATGTAATCATTCATTCAATGCATAACACAATGCAAGCGATCACTGAATACTGCTTTTGTACGCAAACTTATGTCTAAATATCATATAAATTACGTTTGAATGAAATAAAAACATTATTATAATATAATAATAAATGGTTAACTCATTTGTATTATAAAGTCATTTATTTTGAAAAAGGGTTTACTATTTTATTGACGTTATTTATGATTACAATTTATACTATAAGTGTGTAAATAATAACAACAAATAATTGTCAAACATTTGGTTTATTATTATTATTGATAAACATATCGTCTATTATAACAACAAATATAATGAATAAATTGATAAAAATTTTGATTATAATAATTGATTAGAGATTTAGTGTCAAACCATTCAAATGATTGAATATATTCTTTGATTTATTAAATATATCGACAAAACTATTAACTAATCACTGAATTCTGTGATTCTGTTGTTAAGAATATTTTCTTTGGAAGTGATTCTTATGATTAAAACAAATCTATTGTTTATGATATGTATTGTCAGCGGATTTCTGCTAACTCTTCAACTGATATGTCTTCAGATACTCGTCCGAAAGGTATTAATATTAATGACTTTATTAATGACAATAATTGTGATTTTAATCACTGAATTTAGGGTCAAATTGAAGTCAAGTCTTCGTGGGTATGGAACCGATGAAAGTATTGTTTGATTACTGAAATTAATAAATTATTTTGATATCTTAGTCCCTCTTAGATGTGGTCACATTCAACGCTCACCATAACTCCATCCCATTGTTTATCATTGATAGTGAAATCTTGAAGAATATTTCGATGAAAAGTCATGACTTGACTCGTAATACGTATTGCAATATCTTGTGTTCGGACCGACCGATCATACATTTGGCCACTTTGTCACAGTTTGCCACACAATTACTCGTCGACCGATTTATAAATGCCGTCAAAGCCAAAGGTTATACAGTATTACAGTTCAAAGAATTGGATCCAATAGTTAATCATTTAGACATTGAGGTCCACATTTTGACGCATCTGATTATCATTGATGAGAGCGTTAACTTTGAAAAGACAACTCATGTCATACATATCGCTGTATTTTACGAAAGACTTCAATCGACCAATTGGTGGCACGGATTGCTTAATCTTAATGATGACCAAAAAAGATTACTTCATCGACAAGGAGTTAAAAAATCTCACTTTAAAGTGTCACTTAATAATGCCATTTATGACAAGTATTGACTAATAATTAAATAATTATCATATTATTTATTATATTTATTAATTTATTAATTTATATCATAATAGAGTTGAAATAATAAGGACAACAATCGATGGTTTGTATTTGCATTTACCGAATCCAATGAATAATTTTATGCAAAAACCAGAAGACGTGGAGTTTATAGAATGCAACAAAAGTCAGGCAAACATTTTCCGTGAGAAATACGGTCGCGAAGACAATGAAGAAGCAAATAATTTTCGAATTAAAGCAACTCTTTTACTGACAAAAGTTAAACATATTTTAGATGAACTATCGGTTCCATTTTGGTTGAGCAGTGGAACAGCTCTCGGATATTACAGACAATGCGATTTCATTACATACAGTCAAGACGTCGATATTGGCATTTGGATCTATGACTATAAGCCTGAATTAATCGATGCTTTTTCCATCAATGACTTGCTTTTGATTCACAGATTTGGTGAAATTGGTGACAGTTTTGAATTGTCATTTCTGGACAAAGACATCAAATTAGACATTTTCTTTTTCTATAAACAAGAAGATCATGTTTGGAACGGTGGAACTCAGGCTAAAACCGGCAATAAATACAAATATATTTTTCCTGATTTTCAACTTTGTTGGACTGAATTAATCAATTTAAAAGTTCGTATACCGTGTCAAACGTTGACTTATATTGAGGCCAATTATGGTCGCAATTGGTTTGAGCCAATTAAAGAGTGGGACTGGAAGTCTAGTCCACCAAATGTTGAGCCCAATGGTCAGTGGCCACCAGACAAATGGAAAGATGTCATTCAATTACTTCCTATTCCTGGATTCTAATCATTATTAATTTAATAATCATTTTTGTATATTCAATAATTTATACTTATTTTTATATTTTATTATTTATTATAATTTATATAAAATAAAAATTCATATTTAGATTTTTATCAATTAAAAAAAATATTTTATTTAAAAAATATTAATAATTTTGTAACTTTTTTAATGATAAAAAAATAATCTAATAAGATATATATATATTTTTTTGATATATGTAACATCAAATTATATAATTTTCTTATTATTTCTTAATTATATAATAATTATCAGCTCTTAACACAAATTTCTTTAATTATTATTATTTTGGCCAATAAAACAAATGGTTCGGATAATTATGAGCCGATTGATGGTTTGGTTGGGCACTCAAGTCGTATGTTTCTAATGAGTGGTTTATTGAATAGCATTGAGTGCTCTGAGAGGGTGGTGGAGGTGGGGGTGGACTTAGGGTTGACATTGCATTAAAACTGGTGATTGAATTGCTTAGAGATGAAAGTGTTGCTAATGAAGAATAGTTCATAAAATTTCTATTATTTGTGTCAACCATTAAATTATAATTTTGTTTATGGTTTGGATTTGCATCCAATTGTGTTAAGTTATTGTTTGAGTTATTTTTGTTGCCATTTATTGGACTAATTAGTTGATTATCACTCGAATTAATTAGTGTTTGACAGCTCTTCTTCTGTGTTTTCCTTAGTTTCTCTTCACGTCTCCATTTGGCTCTTCTATTAGAAAACCAGACCTGAATTCTCGGTTCGGGTAAACATATTTTGTCGGCCAGTTTTTCCCGAGCAAATACATCGGGATAGTGAGTCCGCTCAAACTCTGTGCACAATATCCATACAAATTTAATTTATTATTTAATTTTTAATACCTGTATATTCATTTCAATTTATATTATATGCAATTTTTTATCAATTTTTATTTGTAATTACTAAATATTAAAACTAAATATTAAGAAAAAATATGCAAAATATAACAAATAATTTGATAACCAATAGTCAAAATGCAGTGAATAAATAATATAGTGATGAAACTAATGTTATAATATTAATATATTGTAATATACTGTATGTTGTATTAATACTATAGCTGTTGAATATATGAAATGACAATATATACAGAAATATAATATTTTTAAATTAAAATTTTATAATTTAAAATGAAATACCGTTTTCAAGAGCTTTGATTTGTTGGTCAGAAAAAGCAGTTCTGTTTCGTTGAAGACGTCGTTTAAGTCGAAGTCTAATCTGAGAATCGTCTTCAACGGTACCATCAGATGAATAGTTATTCTCAGAGCTAACATCACATGTAAGCCGATGTTGAGGCCGAAGACAGTCTTGAATTGCAATCATTTTAGAGATTAATAAGATATATGATTACATGAATTAAAATAATATACAATTTTTTAATAGCCTTAGGATTACTTCGTATTAATTATAATTAAAATTCAGTTAAAAGTTAGGCCTTTTATTTTGAAAAATGTCATATTATATGAAATTTACTAAAAGATAAAGTACTAACAAATTCACGCAAACAACTATACAATTATATGTTTGTAATGCCGTCAATAACTAAGATACTGTTCCGACCGATACATACTATTAATACTAAATATTATAAAGTAATAGTCATTTGATTGACTCGAAGGCATAAAAATATAACTAAATATTTGTTTTGAAGTCAAATATAAAAATATTAATAAATCTATAGTATATGTTACCTATCAATGGTGTCTTAATTGAAAAAATTGCATGACTTTTAATGACAATCGCTGTGATATTATACGCACGTAATACTCATTAAAATATAATAATTGTCATCGAAATTGTTGTTTAAATCATAAATTGATAATTTTAATTGTTTGTATTTAATGAAAATTTTGCAAAACAATTGATATTTGTTAAATGATATTTTTAATAATAAAAAATAAATATAACAGATTGAAATTTTAAGTAAGTTTACTTATAATTAACAAATATTTGACACATAATTAAAAATAAATTGTATAAAGTTAAAATTTTAGAAAATAATTATTATAAAATATTTTTTATGATTATATAATAAAAACTTGTATTTTAATTTTTATATCATAAAATAATGATATATTTTGCTTAGAAATTAAATATCTTAACTAAAATAATGTATTAAATATAATATGTATGATATACTTTACTGTAATACAGTATAATATAAATTTACAGTTTATATGGTATAGGCTATACCGTATAAATATTTTAAACAATTAACCATTTAAACAGTTTTTATTTAAACCAACTAATTATTAAACACAGTTTATAAACATTTATTATAAACTGATTATTTATATTTTTGAGTATAAATTTAGCTAACATTTTAAAAAAATGTTAGACAAAATTTATAGTAAAATTTAGAAAAATATCTAATAATAAGTTATGATAAGTAAAATTAACATATTTTAATAAGTAATCTGAAATATTACATTTCTTACTTGTAATTGTCAATAATAATTGTAATATATTTCACAAGTTTTATAGAATTTATAGGAGTTATAGAAATAAAATAAATCTTTTAACAAATCAATACTTTGGTTATACATTTGCAATGCATTATAGGTTGAAATGGGCGTTAAAATGGTGGTGACTGATCCGCAGACCTTTCGCAGACCCCATTTATCTCGAGAACCGATGGTCTGACGACAAAATGATCAAAAGTAATCTTGTAGATATTAGTAAAACTAAGTTGCACATCATGGTCCCGATCGGATCGGATCACCCGTTCCCGTTATATAGCCGAAAAACTGGTTATTTTTAACAAATTTTCTCTGCAGACCCCTATTATTTCGGTAACCGATAATTGGACAACAAAATGGCCAACATATATTTTGTAGATATTAGTAAAACTAAGTTGCACATCATAGTCCCGGTCGGATCGGTTAACCCGTTCCCGAAATATACCCGAAAAACTGGTTATTTTTAACAAATTATGTCCGCAGACCCCTATTATTTCGGGAACCAATGACTATACAAAAAAATGACTAATAGTAAAAATGTAGAAAATAATTATATAAAGTTGCTCGTATTAGTTTCGGTCAGATAGCTATAGCCGTTTTCGAGATATATCCGATTAAGTTTTTAATATATTTAAAATATATATTTATATAAGCTATGTCCGCAGACCCCTATTATTTCAGGAACCAATGACTAGACAAAAAAATGACCAATAGATAACTTGTACATATTAACAATATAAAGTTGCACATGTTGACTTTGGTCTGATCCGACTACCCGTTCTCGAGTTATACCCGAAAAACGGGTTTTTTTTAAACAAATTAAGTCCGCAGACCCCTATTATTTCGGCAATCGATGAATGGACAACAAAATAACCAACAGTAGACTTGTAGATTTTTAAAATATAAACTTGCACATCTTTGTCCCGACCGTATCGGTAATCCCGTTCCCGAGATATACCCGAAAAACCGGGGTTTTTTAAAACATTTTTCGGGTATATCTCGGAAACGTGTAGATAGATCCGACCGGAACTAATACGTGCAACTTTAAATTTTTATTTTTTACATGTTTACTGTTGGCCATTTTGTTGTAAAATGACCGGTTCCCGAAATAATAGGGGTCTGCGGTCTTAATTTGTTTAAAAAACCCGTTTTTCGGATATAACTCGGGAACGGGTAGTCGGATCAGACCAAAGTCAACATGTGCAACTTTATATTGTTAATATGTACAAGTTATCTATTGGTCATTTTTTTGTCCAGTCATTGGTTCCTGAAATAATAGGGGTCTGCGGACATAGCTTATATAAATATATATTTTAAATATATTAAAAACTTAATCGGATATATCTCGAAAACGGCTATAGCTATCTGACCGAAACTAATACGAGCAACTTTATATAATTATTTTCTACATTTTTACTATTAGTCATTTTTTTGTATAGTCATTGGTTCCCGAAATAATAGGGGTCTGCGGACATAATTTGTTAAAAATAACCCGTTTTTCGGGTATATCTCGAGAACGGGACAACTGATCCGGTCGGGACCATGATGTGCAACTTAGTTTTACTAATATCTACAAGATTACTTTTGATCATTTTGTCGTCAGACCATCGGTTCTCGAGATAAATGGGGTCTGCGAAAGGTCTGCGGATCAGTCACCACCCGTTAAAATAGTTAAATGAAAGATAACGATCCCATTTGCGGTCGTTTTGTATTAGATTTTATGATAACATATAACAAGATATAAGACTATAAAATAACATTAAATTATCGAAATTGTTACTATAATAACACTTTTTTAATTAATATTAAAAACTATAATATTGAAAATAATATTTTATATTTGAAAGTTTATTTATTATTATAAAGTAATTTATAGTATATTCAATTAAAATAATAAATTTTATTTGCATTCATATTGATTTAAATCTATAATTTAATTACAGAAATCTTCATATTTTACTAAACTTAATAATAAATTTTAGTTTCATAATTAATTATAAAATGTATATTTTCAATAATTTTACGTTAAATTAATACAGTGTCATAGCATTGATTTCAACAATTGATTCAATAATTTCAACGATTGAGATCATGAATTCAACGGTGAGATAAACAATTCAACGAATGTATTATTCAAATCAACTCATATATAGAGTATCACAAACTGTACATAAAATCTTATTGTTTGCATTTTAGACTTAAATGTTTTTGTATTGTTTTTTCTTGAAATACAGTAAATGTTTATTTAATTTAACCACAAAATGATTGCTTTACAAGAAGTAGATATTAACTCTTGTAAAACATTGATAATAAATATTTGTTTAAAATATTACTATATATGAGTTGATTTGAATAATACATTCGTTGAATTGTTTATCTCACCGTTGAATTCATGATCTCAATCGTTGAAATTATTGAATCAATTGTTGAAATCAATGCTATGACACTGTAATGTAAATTTATAATATGTTATATCAACAATAATTTTTAATGATAATGATCTTAATATCAATTTTTACAACATATGATAAACACGATTATTGACATAAGTTTGTAATTAAATTATTGATATAATTTAAATAAAAACATTTTAAAATATATATATAATTAAATAAAAGAAGAAAACAAAATCTGTTGATCTATTTGTGAAAAGCTATAGAAATATTGTGAATGAAGTTTAGCGTTAAACACAAGGATTGAAAATATTAGAAATGTTTAACAATTGAAAGACAGGTCAGTGAGAGTGAGAGGGGGTTACTATTATAAACACTTGTATTGGCTATGAGTGTAGTAAATGACAATAATTGTTACTTTTGGTGTCGAGAAATAGTTTGCAAAACAGTATGACTTAAATGACAATACTGTAGTATTTTTTCATTCATAGAGTCAAATGTTAGTAAAATTGAACAAACATTTTGAATATTTGTAGCAAACAATGCAATTCAATCACTTCAACACTTTTAAAGACTATCAGAAAAATTCACTCTAAAGAAGCATTTATTTGAATATAGTTAGTGAACATTGCATTCAATCAGTTGTATTGAATGCAATAGAAAAGTAAAACTATTGTAAAAATATGATATCTATATATAAATACCTTTATGTGAATTGTCGCTCACATTCTTCACATTATCGACACAATTAGGTGCGGGTAGTGTATGATTGGCACTAACTGTTAGATCATTATTGCAATTGTTATTTTTTGGCAATTGTTGAGAATGAGGTGAATGAGATTGTGGTGATGATGATGATGGTGATGGTGTGGTTGAATGATACCATTGATAGGAGTGATTGGATGAAATCATCCGGAATCTGTCGTTTATATCGTTGTTCGCACAGTTAGTCAGCTCTCTGTGTGATGTCTGTGATGAATGTGTATCATAAACTGTATGTGAGACCAAATTTCTTAATACTCTGTTTATTGATGAGACCTAAAGATAATGGTATTAAAGGAAGTATTAATAAATGCAAAAACTTGTAAAAAGATTGCTCAGTCTGTGTGCAGATGCGCGCCGGCCTTCTAGAGGTATCTCTGTTTTTAGGCTCAATTCCTCCCAATCCTCTGACCGACCAGTTTTTCAATGCATGCCATGGCTTTGCATTGCAATCAATGAAAAGAGTGTTTTTGACATAAGAAACCTCTTTTGAAATGTTGACGTTTTGACACAATCACTGACAACTAGACTCATGAGAAAATGTATGACTACAGCACAACTCATAACACTGACTACTGTCCCCTAACTATAGGAACCGCTAAGAATATAATATATTCTTAAATCTATCGCATTCTTCTATATTCACATTATATACCAAACTATTTAAATTAAAAATTTCAAATTACCAAAAATTTAATCATATTTCGATATCTAATATTGAATTTTAAAAATTCAATTATTGATATACTGTACTTATTCTCTTAAGTAATAGTTTTATTAAAGTTTATTAAATTTAATGTCATTTAGCATTGATATAATATTTGTATATTTTATATATTAATAGCAATGATATATACAATTATGTTTAAAATAAATACAATCAATAATAACAAGGACACAAAAAATGCTTACACTAGGAATGGTATCATTATTGCAAACTCCATGAGCGAGTAGCCTATCCCTGATTTCCCAGGCAAATATTGAGGGACACTCGCGTTTGTATTGTGTTATGGTTTGAACGACTTGAGTGGTAGCAACTCGTGGTTTACTGCCTCCGATAGCTCTGGGCTTTATAGATCCCGTTTCATAATATCGACCCAATATTTTGGAAACACAACCGTTTGATATTTGAAGCATTCGTGAGATATCACACGGACGGACACCACTGTGCGCCAGATCTATGATCTTTTGACGGATATAGTCAGGTAATGGTCTACCATTTACATACACTCCACCCAATTGATTGACACCACTTTGACCTATATTTGCATAATTTTGTTTAATTATCTTTTTAATTAAAAACAAATCTAATTGCAATTTGAGAAAAAATATTTAAATGATACAAACCTTTATTATGCATTTCCACAAAAAGTTTATTATTTTCAATTCTCACCCTAAATATGATATATTATCTGTAATAACAAAATTATTTTTAAATGATTAAAAAATTGACAAAATTCTCTCATTACTTACAAATATAATTAGAAAATATTAAATGATTTATAAAACTTTTAATTGATTGCAATGTCTCTCATCTCTCTTTAAGTGTCTTTAAAGCTGTCATTCGTTAAAATGATAAATACAAAGCATTTGACATATTTTTTAATGCAATTATTATAACATTATTAACTAAATTGTGAATACAAAACTTAGAAATAATAAAATGTTAAGCTTTTTGGTTCAATCAGTCCATCAAAAATATATTAAAAGCAATAAATAAAAACAGAAATAGTAATAAAAATTAGAAACAATAAATCGGATTAAAAGTGATATTTGAATAGATTTGGTATTAATGAAAATGAGTTGCATTTTATTGAATAATAATAAAGTCGGTGAAGACATTTTGGACAGTTGTTTTGATAGATTAATATACTTTTAATGGCAATGCAATTGTTATACAATATACAGTAAAGCTTACGTAAGTCAATGGGACTTATAATCAAATATATGAATGCATTTACATATTGATATATCTGAAAGTCGTGATCATTATATGTCAGATCACTTCAAAGTCCTGGTGTCCGACAAAACAGCCGTAACTTATAATCTTCTGATGAGGTCTTAAGTATTTGGCTCTTATAATACATTTAACGATAACATGAAGACACACACAACTGGAGGGGACTCCAGGGCTTCTTCAATAAGTAATATCATAATCGCTTGAAGGAAATGATATTTGTTTTTATTTTTATTTATTATATAAATATTTTATTTTATTTAAATTTAACGTCAAAATGATCGCAAAAAAGACACAAAGTTAATATGCTATTGAAAAGTAATTCTAATAATAAATAAGATTTTTTTTGAAAACTAATCAAAAACAAAGGTCTGATATGTTAAACGATTAAGTGATATCTCTCTTTATTTTTTTGATATTCATGTCCTTAGATTTTTGTCAAATTCAAAATATATACAATATTTTTGTATATAATATTATTGGGAAAAAATATTTCAAGAGGTGGTCGCATCTCTTGTGATTAGTTTATTTGACAGCTCATCACTCAGCTAACAGTGCGGCCATCCCTTCAACAGTTGACAACTCAAAGTCAATTAAATTTAGTCGGCATTTACTTTACATATGGTTTGAATCGTTTGAATTTCTTTGTCCTAATCAGAGACCAAATTTTAGTTTTCAAATTATTTTAATATAAAGTACTGTAGTATTTTTTATTAATATTTGTAAGTTATTATATAGAAATTATAGTGTTTCACCATTTAATTTCAAAGTATTTCAAAACTATTTAAATTATAAGCAAATTTATTTAAAGGTAACATTTTCTCTTTTATAACATTTAAATGTAACAAATTTATTTTTTTTAATGTTGAATCAATAGTATTTATTATATTTTACTTTTGAAAACAATTATGCTTTGTATTGCATTACATTGAAATACTTAAAAAATTAAATATGACTAATGTATTCTAAATTATTAATTGTATTATTTTGTTAATACTGTAAAATTTTTAGTCACATTGTGAATATATTTATAATTATGAAAACCCGGGGTTTAATATGTTTAAACCGTTTAAAACAAAACATAAGTAACAAAAATATTATTTATTTATTTTACATAAGTAATTATGGTTTAATTATATTTATATCTTTTACTATTATTATTTTTATTAGCAGATTCTATATATATATATTTTTTAGTAAAATCCAACTTTTATTATAAATATTTAAAAGTTATTTAGTTGTTTATTTCATAAGTAAATAATTAATATGTTTAACAATATGCAAACAATAAATTAGGAATAAAAACTATATTAACTAACTAAAAAAATAACTATTTCTAGTATGGTTTAATAGAAAAAAGTATTGGATAATATACAATTTATTATAATCCTAGTAGTCTAATAGTTTTTAAAAAATATAAGTAGTAATTAATTTTGTCACTTTAATTTTTTATAATAAATGTATATTTAAGATATTTTATAATTAATATACTGTAAATATTATATACTATATAAATTATATATACTGTATATCAGTATATAACTTAGATTGAATCCAATTTATAATTAATATTATGTCCAATTTAAGTCAAATATTTTCAATAACATGTATGTTTGGTTGAGTATTGAAATAAATACTAAAAAGTTATTGTTGTAAAGCAAACCATGAAATACAACAGTTGTCTCTAAAAAGGAGACAGTTTTTGATGAAAAGGTAACGCAATATAAGCTTTGAGCCTATTGTCTGATACAGGAGTGTATGTCCATTGAATATTTTAAGACATACTCAAACTATAGTATACATACCGTGCTATATATATACACACTATTATATACTCAATATTCAGTATAATAGGTATTAAACACAATAGAGAGACACACACTCATAGATAATTGTATTGCATATCTGCTTCTGGACAGACCTATTCTGAACGCCGACTCATTTAACGATAAGGATTACCACAAATGCACTCATATTTTGAATACCAATTTTTGATATACAATATATGGTTTATAAAATTTCTATCCTAAAGCTCACAATAGGTTTAAATTAATCTGAAACTTATAATCAGTAATTTTGTTAAAATGCATTTTGAATATATATTTATCAAATATACTATTGAATATGTATATTATATATAGTATTGTATAAACTTATGTTTGTTTTTTATTCAAAACTTTTGAATATAAATATCAATAACAAAATACAAATATTGCATATATTTTAAATTTTTTAATAAATATTTAGACAAATTTTATATAATAGCGTGCATAACTAATTAATGATTAGCAATTATTTTTAACATTACAACATATTAATTTCAGAAATCATACACTTAATATTATCTATAAAGTTTAGAGTATATCTTTAATGTATAATATAATAATATATATATATATATATTCTTAAATCCATAAATTAATGATTAATAATTATTAATTATCAACAAAAAATACTATCGTACAAATTGTGACACATCTTATATTTGATTGCATGCAATAATTAAAAACTAATGAATTGGAAAATCTTATTTTAAAATAAATATTATATAAAAATAATATTAGTTTAATTTTTAAATGTTTTTTCATTATTAGAATTTGTGATAATTAATTCACGCAATACTAGAATATGTTATAATTTGATGAATTATACATAAGTTATTGAATAAATTAAAATATTTATTCAAATAATAATAATAGTTGAGATTTAGTAAAATAATTTATAACTATAAGTGTAGCACAAAAATAAATAAATAAATAAATATTGAATCTTACCTTAAAATGTTGAAAAATGAAGAAAAATCCGTTTTAAGTAAATCTGTATTCATTTTATGTGATTATTTAGGAAAAAAGTACAGCACAGGTATTATTATTATTTAATACACTATGAGAAGCACACAATAAGCTTAAGCCGTCCCACAACTCGCCAATAAAGGGATTCTATAGATCTGGCGGCCAATGCTTTAGAGACGCCCTAACAGTTCATTGGGCACCGGTATGTGTTAAATGAATGCATCAAATATTTATCATACAGTACTGTATATTCAAATTTTATTTTATTTATTAATATGATATATACTTTAATATTATTTTATATTTAAATTTTGATTCAGTATTTTATAATAAATAAGAATAAAAAAATTAAATTATAATATTATAAGTAATAAATAAGTTTATTAATATTAAAGTAAATTTAATTAAATTATTCGTAATGTCAATCAATATAAGATATTTTTAAAAATTAAATACATTATCAAATTAGTTTAAAATAATAAATATTCTAATTATTATAAGAATAGAAATAAATTTTATAAATGTTTGTTTTTTGTTTTTAAAATATTGAATATTGTTTTGTAGATTGATATTTAAATAAAAAATCAAAATATCATATGAGATAACAGTTTAAACAAATATATATATATTATATACTACAAGTTAATGGTGAATTGAAAATGCTAACTATAGTTAGTAATACTGTCTTTGATTGACTCGTTAATTGAATATCTTATAGATATAAACCTTATAGAGTCTGTACTATACTATACTAACTACATGTATACTACTTTAACTACTATAATAACATTTCACTAATTTTTATCTTAAGTTTATTTAATGTAATGTAGTCTCAGTTAAATCAATAGGTAATCTTTGATTTAAATCATCACTATTTTACTAAACATCTACTGTATTAAGTGTCTCAAAGAAATATCCCCTCAGTTTTAAGATTTACTTATTTACTGATTAATAATACATAGACTATGGTTTATAGCCTGAGGGTTAACAATAAAATAAAGCCTATATCACAAAATATTTTATAAACGTGATTATTGTCTTAAATTTATCAATGGCTAAAATATTCAAACAAATTCAATATAATTTTAATTTATTTAACATAATTTAATATAATGTAAACTTAATATTATCTAATATTCTTATTGAAATAATTAATTAGAAATATTATTATAGACAACCAATTTATTTAATTGTACCAGTACCAATTGGACTTAATACAAATTATATATATATATTTGTTATATTTTAATAATTTATACGATATATTTCTAACATAATACTGTATATTGTATATAAATTATAAAATATTTTTTTATTTAAATATATTAAAATATATCTTTTTATATTTAATAAAATAATTTTTATAGTTAAATTACACAAATCTTGTAAATCACGATTTAATATTTATAAAATACATAAATTTATATATAATGATAACTTATGAGTTTTGTTTGTAATAATTATTGCCAATAACTCCTATATTATGCATATTATCAGGTTTTCAAATATAAACTACTTATATTAATATATATTTTTTACTAATAATATTTCTAATTATTTCTAATAAGATCGAGAAATTGGGATTTTACCACACTTTTTGACCAAATTGGAAAAATTGTGGTTTAAAAAAGAGGAGAGGTGACCCCCCCTTAAAATTTCGGCGCCGAAAATTTTTTTAAGTTTATAAAAATTTTAATTTTAGTTGATACTATTTTAGTAAGTGTTTTTATGTTTTTAAAATTTATATGAATCTAATTATTGATTAATAATAAGTAAAATAGTTAAAATAACGTTAAAACTCATCAAAAAATAACATTATTTTAATTAAAATATTAAACTAAAAAATTAAAAATTAAAAATTACCTATTTGTTGAAAAGAGTAATCATATTACAATTTAAATATAAGTTTAAGATAGTTTAAGAAGTTAATAAAACAATAAATACTTATATTATAAGGTTTTTATTAATAATTTTAAAAATTTTAACTAAAAAATAAAAAAAAAATTAATTTTATAATTAATATAACTAAAACTTTAACGAACATTGAGTTAAATAATTAGTATTCAGTCAGTATTTGTATAAAAATAACATTTAAAAAATAAAAATATATAACTAAACTATAAACATTAAGTATTATTTAAAAAATTAATTATGTTAAGTTAAAAATTATTAAAATACTAAAAATAACTCATAGTGTATCATTAATGCTTTTATCAACTATTTTTAAATCTTAAATACATTATTTTATTTTTTGTTAAACTAAGTTTTTGTTAATTTTTAAAAATTTTTTATATTTTTGGAAATTTTACCTATTTTCCTGGGAATTTATACGGGAACTTATGGATACTTTATGGAATTTACATGGGAATATTTGGGAATTTAAGGAATTTGTATGGAATTTTCTCTTGACATTCCCCTTGATTTTGGATTTTTGAAAAAAATTGCCATTTAAAAATGCAATAAAAGTCTATACCCCCCAAGATTTTTCGAGAATTTTGCAGATTTCACCCCAGTCTATCCCCCCCTAAAATCCAAAACCTTGCTTAACCCTGATGTATAATACAGTATATCCTTTATGATTAGACTAAAAAATAGTAAAGTTTTTTATTTCAATAATTGATAGCTCGATTTCAATTAAAAGTTTAAAAATACATTTAATATGCCCTTTGAAAAAATTATTAGTTTATATAATATTTAATAAAAATTATGAAAAATCTAAAATTAAAGTTTAATTATTTATTTAATTGATTACAGTATACAGGTATGTAATACCGGTATTATATTCAATACTATTATTAATATACAGTATTTAATACAATACATGTAGTATTGTGTAAATCAATTGAAAGTCACGTAATTTGTTATTAATATTAAAATCAATGCATTCATACATTTAATATTAATATAACTTATTATATAAATAGTGTTTGTGTTGTGTTTGTAAAGAAAATCACAGATCATATGATAAAGCGATCACTTATTAAGTGACTGTCTATTAGTACTCAACTGTATATATGATATCACAGACGTATTAGCAGTTGAAGACTGATATCTCTCAAGACATCGCTTCCCAACCATATCTACCACTAAATGAATGGCCGCTTCATTGAACACAAACTCCAATTGTATGTCTTATCCATCGAAGACTCCATTCCTTATTGGCGTCACTGGTATTACAATACTTTAGTTATTAAATGCACCGATAGTTTGATTATTGTTTATTATAAAACTATCATTTAAGGTGGAACTGCTTCGGGAAAGTCAACAGTATGTGACCGCATAATGGAGCAATTGGGCGAAGACAGTGTGGCCAATCGGGAACGGCGAGTTGTCTGTATAGGACAGGACAGCTTTTACCGAGAATTGAGTCCCGATGAGAGGGCGCAGGCATTCCGCGGTAACTTTGACTTCGACCACCCGTCGGCTTTCGATGAACATCTGATGCTTAATACACTGAAGGATGTACTCTATGGCAAAACAGTAAACATCAGTCAATACAACTTTAAAGAGCACACTGTGTTAGCCATCATTTGATACATTGATTTGCAATTTATTATTTAAATTATATTTTGTTGTTTAGCGGAGAAACCATACAAACGGTATATCCGGCGGATGTCGTACTCGTCGAAGGAATTCTTGTTTTTTATTTTCCAGAAATTCGGGATCTCTTTCATATGAAGCTCTTTGTTGATACAGATTCTGACACACGACTGTCAAGACGTGGTATTTAATCGATATTTAAGAAAATGATTTCAATTTATTTAAAAAAAAATGTTTTGTTTTTACAAGTTTTAAGAGATGTGAGAGAAAGAGGTCGTGATTTGGAAAACGTTTTAAATCAATACACAAAGTTTGTTAAACCAGCCTTTGAAGAGTTCTGCCAACCGGTCAGACATTTGGTTTTATATAATTACCGCAATATATTGACTTATTATTGATTTCATATTATAGACTAAGAAGTACGCCGATGTCATCATACCTCGTGGAGCTGATAATAATGGTATGATTCAAATGTATTGATTTTGATTTACATTAATTTAAAAATTAATGTCAAAAAAAGTTAATAATTTTTATTATTATAAACCCTATTACTGTATTATTGTTGACTGTTTTTATAAAAGATTACGATATCATTGATAACTATTGAAAAGGCAATCAACTATTGACAACTCAATGATTGAATTAATTATAGCTTTCTTTAGTAAATGATTTTATTTTTTAAGAGTTATTTTGTTTTGATTTTCAGTTGCAGTAGAATTGATAGTCAATCGCATTGAAAATCTGTTTCATTACTATTCGCTTCGGTTATCTAATAATGAAGAGGAGTCTAATAATGTGGTCTCAAATAATAACCATTGCGTCCTAAAAGCCGAAGAAAATGCCGTTTTATAGTCAGATCTATAGAGTATTAGTTTTTAAACAAATGTTTTGAGTTATTGATTCTCCATTAAGTTTATTAATTAACTCAATCAATGACCTTAAATGATCTAATTATATATTTTTTACTTTAATGAGTTTAATTTTATGTAAGATTTTTTAAATTATTATTTTAAAAGTATTATTTTTATACATTTTTAAAAACATATTGTATAAGTTTTTTATACCAAGTTTACATTTTTATTATTATAAATTACTGATATTTATACCGTAACATTTTAAATAATGATATTATTTTAAACGAATTTCTATTGTATGAATTAAAAATTAATAGTTATTTAAATAATTATAAATTAAACTAAAATGAGATTAAAATCATATTAAGATTGTTTTTTTTAACTTTTATTTGAATAGTTGCCATTGATTTGATCGTTCAGACAATTAAGGATTTGCTACAAAATCCAAGAGTCCGATCTTCGAGTCCATTATCACCGCCACCTAACTTAAGGGCACAAATGGATCAGTTAAGGAGGACTGCTGTCACCAGAAGTGTTTCAGTTGGCAGTTCATCGCGTCCACACTGAAGATGTCTAATGGACTTTTGACTGACAGATAAAATTTGTTATTATTTCTGACAATATTTTATTTCATTATTATATACAACACTCAGTATTTTTTATTTAAAACTGAAATTAATATCACATAATATTTTTTATAAATATTTAAAAATCATTATTATTATTATTACACTATAATATAATATCAAATGAAATTTGTCACTTATTACCGGTAAATATTATATTTAGTCATTTGAGATTAACGTAGTTATAAAGCGACAATTTATTGTTTGTGTTTTTGTAATTTTAAACGTTTTATTATTATTATTATTAACCAAAAATAAGTATTTTGTTAAATGATATAAATGTTTATTGTGTTTTATTTACATTTTTACTAATTAAATACATTAATATATTTGATGTCATTTATTAAACAACGAATTAATTGGCATTTCTTCGACCACTTCTTTGAGAAGTTGGAGTGCAATCACAGCTTTTTGAACGCATTGACTGTTTGGCTCTCTTTCTGTTATATCTTTTATATAAAATGATTATAAATTAATTTTAAATTAAAATTAGATTAATTTATCATATAATTGTCACCTTTAAGCCAGAGTTGCAGTTCAACTATTTGTAGTGACATATTATTGATGAGACAAACTGGAAGAACATTCATAAGAACCATACAAAAAGCAAATATAACGGCTTCCCTCACAAAACTAACAAAAAATTATATTAATAAACAATAATTAAAATAATTTCATAATATATCGAAAATTATCAAATAAATAGAAGAATTTGTCTAAAAATCAAAATAAATTACAAACATCTATGTATTGATATATATATATATATATATATATATATATATATAGTATATGAATATACAATACTTACACTTCTGAATGATATCTAAAAACAATTATGAATTCTAACAATTCTTTTGCCATTTGTGTAGATATCGGTGCAAACGAGACATTCTTGAGAATGAGTCCCAGAGTATAGACAAGTCTTCCTAAAACATAATCTTCGTCTTCTAGGAAATGAAATTTAACTTCATTTCCGTAAATATTTTTCATTAGCGGAAAAAAGAAATGTCCGGCAAATGGTATAAAACGATTGACAAATTCTTCTGAATTCTTACTCTTATGCGCTATAATTCTTGTCTTAGCCTCGACTCTCTTCTTAACGATATGAGTCCAGTGAATGTCAGCAACTGAGACATCATAATTAGGTAATGATATCTCTTTTAAATCACTTTTATTATTCATGTTTTGTTTGATATTAGTTGAAAGTTCAGTACTCGAAGATAAAAGAACTTCTAATGTATCTAATCTTTGGCGGATTGTATAGTTTGGTCCATAAAACTGTTGACAGAGATAAGTAGAAACAGATTTAGGCGAACAAACGCATAGAGATATCATTGCTCTTAATCTAAGACCAACAAAATCATTGATCGCATAATTGTCATCCAATCGGAACAGTATTTGTATGAAATCCAGTGAAACTTCTTCAACTAAATCACTATTTGTCCGAATTATTTGTTCGGCATTTTGTAAACATTTGATAAACCATTCAGTTTTCTCAGAGTCTAGAAGACCGTCCATACAGTCTCTCAAATATATGGGTTTGTTTTTATCTGCCAATAGTTTATCTTCTGATATATCATACGGAATGAGATCATCGTCTTCATCATCATCGCTGTCTAAATCATTATTTTTATTACCATTGTTACCATTATTAGCGTAATGTTTATCATAAGAGACATAATTATTTTCTTGACTTTCTTTGACATCATTTTTCGGTAAAATTTTTTGTTCCAACTTTTCTCTGTCCTTAACGTTACAATTATTCAGAAATAAGTCGTTTAAATGTCTTATTTCGTCATTTTCTTGGATTTCAAAATTAATTTCATTGTTTCCGCGATACAACACTGACATCAATGTTTGTCCGACAGTGAGACCAATATTGCGAAAGTCTGTCTGACTATTCCTCAGATGAGCTTCAATTCCATTCATAGTTAATCTTCTGAACGTATCTTCAAAATCACTAAAATCAATGGTTTTCATAAACCGCGAACCAATCATAAGAGCTCGCGAAAGATATAGATGTTGGGAATAACTTCTATACTTTATGGCACTCGAGTTACTCCAAGAGTTCAACACATTATTAAAAGCAACAAAAAATAATTTGTCAGAAGTTTGGCAAAGATATCCAAAAATATTAACCAAAATTTGGTCGTTTTTGAACTCATGGATCAATAAAAATTTATTTGTCAACAAAAATTTGATTTTAATATTTGTGTCAACACTTTTGCCAATAACCCAACCGATGGACAAATGATTTGAAACAAAAATGAAAACACTTTTTAGTAAGACTTCAATATATTGTGGTTTTTGTCCGATAATCACACGGTTTGCTAATCGCCTCCAAATAAAGTCATTATCGCAGTTGTCTATCATTTTAATCAACACTTCTTTGAAAACAATGTCTATATATCCTAATAAAGAGATTCGTCCCAAAAGTGATGATAAGAATTCAAGAGAAGAATCGACAGATTGACTGATATTTTGATAGACGTCTTCAATACATAAATAAATTGTTTTAACGATTGTCTTGAAATAAAAATTGCGCTCAAATTTGTGAGACTTATCTGTCTTCATATTGTTGGCCACAATATCTGGAAGTGTCACTAAAATGGTCTCTAATTTGGGACCAATTATGTTCAACTCGTCTACAGACCACATGCGACATGTCTTAAGCAACAATGACTTCAATGTTTGATCACAATAGACATATCTTGTCGTTAAAGATAACAATTTGTTTCGTTTATAACAGTCTTCCTTAATGTCGGCAAAACTGTTAACCAGAAGTACAAAGACTTTGAAATCAGAGCTCAAGAAGTGGCGATCAAAATCGTCTTCAGCAACACTGTCTGAAAAGGTATTGGCATTCAATTGATTAATTAGTTGATATAATTTGGACACCATTTGTGGTGAAGACTCTTCATTAGTGTTGTCACTCATGTCTCCAATCAATTGAATGTCAAGTTTTGATCCAAAAGTTGTCATTCATTGACACAAATGTTTACATATGTTGTAATCACGTGACTCTCATTTCTTTCATAATATTTTAATAAAATTTAAATTTACACAAACTTTACAATAATAATGCAATTATTGCATCAAATTATTTACTTAATTAACATTAATAACAATAGTTATCATTGAAAATGTGGATCAATAGTAAATTATAATATAAATATTGTTAATATTATCGATATTTTTATTTTAATGAATTAAGTAAAAAATATTTACATTTATTAAGTTTTGAATATACTATAAAATATACAATTTGTACATAAATTAATGGATATATATATATATTTAATAATTAGTATATTAAATATGAATTATTTAAATGTTTAACAATTAAATAAATCCTTTAACACTAACGACTCGTTTTTGTCGAGAGGTTTCAAATTAAATCCTTTCAACTCTTCTTTACCCTCCAATTGTCTCAATTGATCCACTTTTGGCTTTAGATCGTCTCTCAAATCATTGATTTGTTTATTCAGCTGATTGTGGTCTTCGGTAATCAAAGATTTGGCTGATTTAACACTAGTCTTGATAAATGAATTGCCAAAACATAACCACAGCTTATTTGACTAAATTTATTACAATAGATATAAACCAATGATTATTGTTATTTAAAAAACGGAAAAGAAATCTGTTTTGCGGTATTTAGGTATTATAATACAGTTAATTAAAAACTCAATGACTAAACCTCCCATACCTTCCTCACACTACACACCCCTTCCTAACCCTCCAAACCCACTCAACCTAACCTAAAAACATATTAATATATAAAATGTAATCATTTGAATGATTTTAATAATAAATATTTTATGGGAACTAATGTAGATTATATACAGCCAGTAGAAAATTATTTGCAACAAAACCCCACCCCACCCCACCCAACCACTTCCTAACCCACACTTACCCCAAACTAAATAATAATTAAGTAATAAAACAAACATTTTATATATCATATGTATAACTGCATAAAAATAATACTTTTTGCTGTCTGTCTATAAATTAATATACATTTAAGCCCTAAGTTTAGCTAAAAAACAATTATTAAGACAAACCTCGTGTTTGAAGTCTTCGTGTCGTTTCAAGACATTCAACGCTTCCCTATTGTTGTTAAGCTTAACATTTAAGTCAATTATCTCCTGTTTTGATCGCAATATATCTTCAGCCACTTCTTCTACTTTTTGTAATGCATTTAACACTTGATCCACATTACTGTCCATCTGATGATAGGTAATAATGTGTCTTAAGTTATGTAATGTCTTAATAATCAATTAGCTGTCAGTCATATGATATGTTTGAAGACAAATGCAATCAAAATATTAATAATTGAAAGCATGTGTTGTTGTTATGAGTTACTCAAAAACAACATAACAATTAACAAAAGGGTAATCAATGTAAACTCAAAGTCAATGCTTTGCTTTAAATTTGGGGAACAATTGGTATGACTTTGAGTAACAGATTTTGTTAATTATATGCTTATTAATGAAGAAGTGGTGCCAAAAGATGCCAGTTTTGGACATCAATTACAAGACATTGGATTGTCATTTAAGACAATTGGTAGACAAAGATAAAAGTTTAGTCAATGAAATACAGATCACTAACGATGGATGTGTTAAACAACTCAAGTATGCGACAAAAGATTGTGTCAAACAATTGATTTGCCGATCAAATGGTGACAATGATAATAATGGATCAATTGATGTGATCGATGGTAATAATGATGTTATTGTAAACCAATATGAGGGCGGATTCAAGATATGGGAGGGTTTATATGATATTATTAATTATTTTATTGATTATAAAACTCTTCAGCATTTCTCTGAATACCAAAATCTAAATGTTTTAGAAGTAAGTGATTGAAAAAATAATACAATTTTAATAAATGAAGAAATAATTAAATTTGTTGTAACAGTTGGGCTGTGGATCCGGTTTGGCGTCAATTTATTGCTCAAAAAAGTTGCCAAAAGCTAACTATTATTTACAAGATTTCAATGAAGATGTCATTAAATATTTCACAGCAATTAATGTATTACTCAACAGTCAAAACACAAACTGTGAACTAAAGTCTCAATTTAATCATTTGTGTGGCGATTGGTCTGCAATTGACACCGATATCGACAAATTAGGTCTTAAATTTGATTTGATTTTTACTTCTGAAACACTATATAATTGTGATAATTATGAAAAGTTATGCAAAATTTTCAAGACTGCTTTGTCTGCTTCGGGATCCGTTTACATTGCATCCAAATCTCATTATTTTGGATGCGGTGGCGGAAGCTTTAGTTTTATGGACTTTATTGATAGCCATAAATATTTTAATTGTCAAATAATTCACGAAATTGATAGTCCATTAATTAGACATATATTAAAGCTTTCGCGCAAATAGTTTATTTTTGATGTAAAAAATGAATTTTTATGACACTTAAGGATCACATTGTGGTATATCAATAAAAATACAATTAAAAACATATATATTTAAATATAGATATTTATCAGTATTTTATATGAACTAAACTATTTATAACATTATTGTTAATATTAATATAAAAATCTCAATTACCGTAAAAACAAATGTTTGGAACTGTTGTTAATTATAGATAAATTAAATAATATTCATTGTCTATTAAATACGACAAAGAGTTGCATCAATTTGTGTCAATTGAGGACATAATAACATAATCTTCTTTCGATACATTTGATGGCTAGAGATCGGGTTGTGTTCAAAATAAACAGTCTTCAAATTCTTCAAGTTTGACAGCACTTCTAAATCCTTCCAGTCATCAATTCCATTGTTATTACACCAAAACTCTTCCAACAGTTCCAAATGACCGATGTTGACCATCTTCTTGATCCGATTAGCGGCCACATCCAAAGTGGTCAGCTTTGTATTGTTGTCAAGACTTTCAATATCAGTGATTCCATTATTACTAATATATAATTGCTCTAAATTGTTGTTTTGATCCAATCCTTCAATTTTGATGATTCGGTTGCTTTGAATACTAAGTAATTCTAAACTCTTGAGTGACGACAAGTTTTCCAATTTTGTTATTTTGTTTTTGCCGAGAAAAAGGCTCTTCAAGTTTATTAATTTATCCACATTTTGGATGACTCTAATCCTATTAGATCCCAACTCCAAGAGTTCTAATGCCGTCAAATTCGATAGATTCTCAATTTGAGAGATTTTATTATTTATTAAAAACAATTTCTTTAAATTAACCAAATTCTCTAAATTCTCTATTTTTCGGATCCGATTGAATGATAAATCAAGAATTCTATGAAAAGATATGAAAGTTATTTAAAAAAATATGACTATAAATGGTAAGTAAACTGACTCTAAATTGACTAAAGAATCTAAATTCTCGATTCTTGTAATCTGATTGTCATATAACTCGAGTTCTCTAAGTGTCACCAATTGATTCAATCCTTCAATTTTCTTAATAAAGTTATTTCTAAGACCTAAAAACTCAGTCTTTGTCAACGTCGACAATATATCCATTGATTTTACTCGAGAGTGGTTTAACTCAACCTCTGTGGCGTCCAAATCCAAGTGGATCTCTTCATTGTCTTCATCTGACAACACAAATATGTAGTCAAATAATATTATATAAAACAAATTTCTATTAAATATTTGATTATCAATACCTGGATTATCACCGTTTTGGTTGATATCGTCATCTATGGCTATACTGTCTTCTGTTTAAATTAATTATATGATATATTATAATATATGATATAAATTGGATCAAATAATATGTCATTAAATATAAAATGATACCACTATTGTTGTCGTCCATCTGTTAATTAATTGGATTCAATATTAATTATAAATTTAACTTTTTATAAAATTAAATATTAACCAAACTTTTGATACAATATTACAAACAAAACAATTGATTCGCAGTTTGTTTACAATGTTTGACACAACTGTTCATCAAAAATGTCAAAACATTTTTAATTATTTATCAATTTGTTGTTTACTTTGACTTTTAATATTTATTTATATTTTGTTGTAAATAACAATTAGTTATTAATTAAAATTAATTTTACTTTTAGTTGTTTGCAATTATCTAATTAATGTTTGTGTAAAAATAAATTAATTAAAAAGTTTATTATTTAACTGTAAACGTGTTTTATTAGTCATTGTATAACATGTGATATAGCATTGCATAACAATAAGCAAATAATAGACGGATCCATATATTGATTGATAATCACTACAAATATGATAATTAATTGATTTGTTATCAATCACTATCTAATTGATCTCATTAACAATTGGATGGCTTCGAGAGGCACTACAGAAACAAACCAATTGAAGAACAATTTGGAGGATCAGTTGGATAGACTGGTCGCTCAATTGGCTGATCTCGAGGAATGCAAGTAATGTCTATTTATTGATGACAATCAACAACTTATATCTTATGATATATCTATTAGATTGTTATATATTTTACATTAATTGCTATATATATATCATATATTCAAACTGTTATTTTAGTCTTATTATACATAAATAGATCAATAGATAATAAAATAAAATTATTTAAATTAGAGGTGACTTAGACTCAGAGGAATATGAAGAGACAAAACGTGAGACATTGGAGCAGTTGGAAGAGTTTAGCCAATCGTTGTCTGCCATGAAGTCGGGAAATATGACACTAATCGATGAATTAAATCAAATGCAATTGGTTTGTATTGAAAATTAATTATAATAATTATTACAATATTTTGTATTACCGGTAATATACAGTAATTAATGAAATGTTATATTAATACACATTATGTATACTAAAACATATGAAAAGGCCATTCAAGCAGCTATTAGTCAAGCATTTTATACTCCAGAAGTTATTCGTATGTTTGCTAAGAGACAACCGGAACAGCTAAGGGTTAAGTTGGCTCAGGTATGTAGGCTTATAGTTTGGCCATCATTTTGATGGTTTCACTTTATTATTAGATTGAAAGGGACTCTAAAATTGCCAAATTATCACAACAAGTCTATACACAACAAAAAGTTGAGATTTTAATAGCATTAAGAAAATTAGGAGATATTTTGGATTCAAATGAAGAAAATTTCATAAAAAGTAATACAACCGATGCTCTCAAAGAGTTTGATAAAGTGGTTGACGAACAAAGTATTAATTAATATTTGTTATATAAATAAATGTTTAAATATATTTTAATTATTTTTTTGTCATTTAATTATAGTTAAAAACGAAGTAATTGCTTCTCAACTCAACAAAAACTGCTAAAACAGATATTTTCTATTAATTTAACGATTTTTTACTTAAAAATATTTTTCAATAATAATAATAATTTATTTGAATAACTTGTATAATGTATTATATTTTATTTCTAAAAATTTATCTAAAATATTAATTTTAAAAAATATTTTTAAAGCTTAAACTACAGTATAGTTTGCATGTTTTTTCATAAATTTTATTTTATCTAAAATCAATACATTTGATTGTACTGAAGGTTATATTAAATAAACTAATATTTATTATATAATTAATGAAAACTAATAAACTATAATTAATGATATTTTTATCATGTATTCAATAAAATTTGGCGACACTTAGAGACTGACTGTCTATTGATTTCTAAGATGTCATACGATATTATTGTCATTTATCTGTAATATATTTCACTACAAAATAGATAATAATTTATTTCAATCAAATTTGAGAATATACCGGTAATTATTAAATAATATGAAATTTAAAAATTATTAAAATTAATATTTACTATTTGACTTTTAAAAATATATAATTTACTAATTATTTAAAATAGTAAAGAAAACAATGAATGATAAAAAAATTTATTAAATTTTTGTTTATTTAATTAATAAAATTTTGTTTTCAAAAATCAATTTGTTATCTCAATCATTGAACAGTAATCACTGGATATCCCAATCAATTTATTGGACAGTTAGCTTATGACAAGGAATAGGCATATGTTTTATGATTTCAAAATTATTTTTAAGACCAAACTTATTAATATTTTAAATTATATTACAAACGTTTTTCAAGTCAACAATTTGTCAGTTAAATTTGAAAAAATATATAATTAGTTACAATTACTTATTGACTGAATTGAATAATTTATATAATACAAGAAGGTATGTATTGAATTTTAAACAAATTATTAATAGTACTAAACTTATATGTGATATGAATGATATAAAAAATAATTATAATAAAACTAACAAATATAGACTCTATAATATTGTAAAACGTGATTTTTTGAATATTACTAAATAATAAAAAATTATTTTATTTGATATGATTTAATTGAAAAAATACAATGATATAGTGCTCATGTTATATAAGTTTAATAAAATGATCATGTTACAACTGAGAGTTATTATATTTGAAAAACCATAATAGATATAACTAATTTTAACTATATAAAAATTAAATAATATTGAAAATTATTTCATTAATTTAAATACAATTTGTATAATCGCATAGTATTTTATTTAAGTTAACTTAATTGCTATCTAATTAAAACTTTACAAAGTTTATAGCTATAGTAATAGTATATTATGATATATTTATTGTATTAAATTTCATAACTAATAAATCATCTACAATACAATATATAAATTATATAATAACTAATTGTTAACTTATAAAAAGTTTATTACACAATACAGTATAATTGTATGTTTTTATGCAGAAACCACCTATAAATTCATTACGCTTATCGAAAATAGTGTTAATATAACTTATTTAAATTTTGAAATATTTTAAAAATTAATCAAAAAACATAATTATCCAATAACTATAATACAATATTAAAAATAACTATAAATAATTATAATATAAAAAAATTAAAATTTGAAAAATATTTGTAAAACTTGTCTATTAATTGAATGAATTAGCTATATGTGCCTTATATTTATTACTTGTATAATAATAATGTAATTATTGATAGTATTAATTGAATGACATTCAACACATTCAACACATGCCTATACTGTATAATACCAGTAATGTTCACAAAATTAGTATAATTTTTTTTGTACAATCGTTGGCTAATATCTGTAGAAATAATATAATTGTTTGTCAATGTATTTGATCAACAAAAGTGTTGACTGTTGGGCGGCTTAATGTAAGTAATATGAATACATCAGTGATATTGTGCTACAAATGTCTGTAAAACATGTCTTCATTGATATATTAAAAGACTATTTTATTCATAAATTTATTGTTTGTTTAAATTAATTTAATTTAATTTATAAAACATTTTTATCATATTATATATGTGTTTAGCACTCAATTTATTTGTAAATATATTTTAATTTATTACTCATTTCTTAATGTTATCGTAAAAGCACTGGTGTTTGACATAACCTCTTAAAAGAAGAAAACAGTGACAAGTGATCGGTATGTTTACCATTGATGTCGACAATTAAGACATATGTTATATAAAGATATGACTAATAATCAATTGACTGTTTTCTTGTAGAGATAATAGCAAAAGATTGAAATTTTTTGACATAATGTATGACCAGAACAGTGATAGTCATGTAATGAATGGTTTGCTTCACTCGGAGAGAGTGGCCATTCTTGACTGTGGAGCACAATATGGCAAATGTATTGACCGTCGGGTCCGCGAACTTAACGTCGAGTCACACATATTGCCGTTGAACACATCGGCACAAAAACTCATATCTGATGGATACAAGTATTCATACATTTATAACTACTTTTTGATTTGATTTTAAATGATATCTAAAATATGATAACATTTGATAATTAGAGCCATTATAATATCTGGAGGTCCCGGAAGTGTTTACGCCAACGATGCTCTACCCTATGATCCCGAACTTTTCAAGATAGGTCTACCAGTACTCGGCATCTGCTATGGTATGCAAATGCTTAATAAAGAGTTTGGAGGAACCGTTCATAGGAAAGACGCCCGTGAAGATGGACAGTTCACCATTAGTGTCGATAATACATCCCCACTATTTCTGTATTACTTTAACTGATATCTATTTTTTATATATACCGGTACAGTACTATTACCCTTAATTTTGTTAACCAGAAACATGGACTCATCCCAAGAGGCTCTCCTAACACACGGCGATTCGGTAAACCAAGTGGCAGATGGATTCAAAATTGTTGGAAAATCTAGTACTCTTGTTGTCGGTAAGTAATAATTAGTAAATACATATAACTATTAAATTTTTTAAATAATTTAAATAAAATTTGAATTCATTATTTGTATTAGCGATCGCTAACGAGAAACTCAGGTTATATGGAATGCAATTTCATCCCGAAGTAGATCTAACCACAAATGGCAAACAAATGTTAAAAAACTTTTTATATGATATAACTGGTCTGACCGGCAATTTTACGATGCATTCCCGTGAAATGGAATGTATTGAATATATCCGTAAAATTGTTGGAAATAATAAAGTCTTAGTAAGTATTAGTAAACATTGTATTTAATTTATCTGTTGATTACAATGTTATAATCTTTGTTACAATAGATGTTAGTCAGCGGTGGTGTCGACTCAACAGTTTGCGCGGCATTATTACATAAATCACTTAAAGAAGATCAAGTGATTGCTTATCACATCGATAATGGCTTTATGCGGAAAAATGAGAGTAAAGCTGTAGAAAAATCTTTAAGTGATATCGGACTCAAACTTAAAGGTATTTTATTGAATAAACTGAAGGAATGAAATAATTATTTTAGTATAATATGTATCGTATATTGAATTAGTGATCGACGCTTCGTATCAGTTTTATAACGCCGTTACCACTGTTTCCGTATCGAAAGCCGAACCAAATAGAAAGCGAACGACGAAAGTTCTTTGTCAGACAGCAGCGCCCGAAGAAAAGCGTCAAATAATTGGCGACACATTTGTTCGCATATCTGACGATATAATTAAAGAACTTAAGTTAAAACCCGATGAAGTACTCTTAGGTCAGGGAACTCTTAGACCCGATCTCATAGAGAGTGCCTCAGCATTGGCTTCAACTAATGCCGATGCGATTAAGACACATCATAACGACACTGAATTAGTCAGACAATTGAGAGAAAAAGGACGGGTCGTAGAGCCACTTAAAGACTTTCATAAAGATGAGGTCAGAATACTCGGCAAAGACCTAGGATTACCCTCAGAACTTGTACAAAGACATCCATTTCCCGGTCCGGGACTTGCCGTTCGTGTCATTTGCGCCGAAGAACCATTTATGGAGAAGGACTTCTCTGAAACGAGTGTTTTAGTGAAAGTTATCGTCAATTACTCGAATTCATTGCAACGGGTATTATTGATATCGATTTAATTACCAGTTTTTGTAAAATTAATGTATAATTATTTAATGATTTATATTAGAAACACGCTCTCATCAGTAAAGTTCAAAATGCCATCGAAGAAGAAGAACAAAAATTTTTAATAAAGTTTTCGGAAACATACAGTTTTACTGCAACGTTATTACCCATTAAAAGTGTTGGAGTTCAGGGAGATTGTCGCACTTACAGCTATGTGGTCGCTCTTTCTGAAGATCAAACAAAATCACATGAGAATGAGTCCACAAAATTTGAAGATCTGAATATTTTAGCTAAACTGATACCCAGGATATGCCATAATGTCAATAGAGTTTGCTATGTGTTTGGAGACTCCATTAAGTTTCCCGTTCAAGACGTTACGCAAACTTTTTTAACGCCTCACGTGTTATCCCAACTGAGAGAAGCCGATAGTATTGCCACAAAGACATTAATGACTAGTGGTTACGGAAGTGCTGTCTCTCAGATGCCTATTATTTTGATTCCAATACATTTTGATAGGGATGTTGTTTCCCGAAACCAATCGTGTCAGCGATCGGTAGTTATCAGGACTTTCATTACCGAAGACTTTATGACTGGTATAAAATTATAGTTTCTAAAAATCTTACTAATGTTTAAATGATTTTTGTTTTGTTTTATATCAAAGGTGTACCTGCAATACCTAACCGACACATACCTTTTGAGGTAATACAGTATATAACAAATTTTATTAATGTTTAGAGAATTTATGTTATTTTTTAAATATATATATATATATAGATTTTTAGACAAATGGCGATACAAATTGAAGCGATTAGCGGAATATCTCGAGTTTTGTATGACCTGACACCCAAACCTCCCGGAACTACTGAATGGGAATAATTGATAATCAATATATAATTTTGTCTAATTTTTTTTTTTTTTTTTTGATTATATTATGAACATTAAAGATATGCATTTTGAGTTGATTTTAGTAACAAAAAGTCTTAAATATTATTTTAAATTTTATATACTATTGAGAAATAAGTTATTTCTTAATGTTTAAATGTTTTTAATATATCTCTTTAAAAAGAAATTAAATTATTAAAAACTATAATAATATTTATAATTTAAATAAAAATAAATTATTTAGTTTGATATGAAAACAGTCGTTGAGCCACACGATTAATATGTGATTATTATAATAAAAATGACTGAATTTAGAGAAATATCCGCTATTGTTGTCAAATAACATCAAAATAAAAAACTAAAATTTTAACACTGGATAATAATATTTTTATAATATTCAAATTGCTATTTATTAATAATATCGTATTTTAATTGTTTATATTTATTAGATTGTTTATCAGCGTGTTATGAGTTTTCTATTGAATGCAATTTGTTAAATGAACCGGAAAATTGATATAATTATGAGATTTTTATACATAATTATGATATCGCAAAAATTTATATCAAGTGTAAATCTAAGCCGGATTTATTAGTTAGAAATTTAATATTTGTAACAATATTGTAACTTTCTATATGTTAATACTGTAATTTACAGTATATACGATACTGTATGTAATCACACTAATTATTAATCAATTATAGAATATAAACAAATTATAGTAATTTTATAGAATCCAAAAAATATATGAAATAATAATTTGTAAATTAATTTTATAACATTTATGACTAATTAAAACTTATAGACGCGGATAAATGTTAGTATAATTTTAATAGAAAATATGTTTTAAATGAATGAAAAACTAGATTAATAAAGATACTGTAGAATTAATATTTATACAATAGACTGCAAATTTATTTTTGATTTTCAAATAAAATAAAATGTACTGTATTTTTATAAAACAATTTAAGCTATTGAATAGTGTATAGTATACCAGACTTTTACATATGATTTTACCGATGTTTTATGTTTTATATATACTGTATATAATTTATCTATAGTTTATAAATTATTTATACCAACATATATTATTGACTTTCTATATTCTTTTTTAAAGTACCTAAATATGTATTAAAATTAATTATTAATAAAAAATAACTAAAAATATCTTAAAAAGTTATTGTTAATCTTATTTTATTAATTGAAATGTTTATAAAATAACATTTAAATAAACAGTTGTCTTTTATTGGTTTAAATTATTTTTATTTTGTAGAATTTTTTTAACAAATTTATAATAAATTCACTCATACAGTATTATTTAATATTTTATAGATAGATTTATAGATAGATGCAGTTTATAAAAAAAAATATTATAATTACTTTATTAAAAGTTTAATTTAAAAATTAATGTTTTTACATAGCATGACTATCAAGTCTTGTATTATAATATTTTGTAAATAATTAAATATAAAAATTCAAAATTGATAAAATAATGACTTTTGATTTTTAAATAGATGTACAGTTGAATAAACAAATAAAGTTTGGGATAATAAAAATTATTTTTATATATTAATTAATTTATAATTAATATTATTTATGTGATAATTGAATGAAGTAATTAATTGTAAAAATTGAATTATTAGAATCATTGCTAAATTATTTTTAATATAATATTGATTTCTTCATTTCCATTGTAAATATAATTGATTATTTATTTTGATTATTTGATATAAATAAAATTTAAATAATAAATACAACGATATATATTTTACATAGCATTTAATTTTAAATTAAATTACTTCTCAAACAATAATATATTTGTTGTAAAAATACTGTATATTGAATATACAAATGTATAATTTTAACATTTGGCTATTGGCTATTTTTATTTCTCAAAATCTCAAAATAAATATAAACGCTTTAATTTACAATTTATTGCTAATATTTATAAAGTTAATGTTATATATTTTAATTAAAATTATAGATATTATCTCAGTTTTTTGACAACAGAATGTTTAAAAGTCAACTAAATAATTGTTTTCATAAGTGTTATAAAAAGTGATTTAAAGGTTACAACTTTAATTATAATCTTTATTTTTGAGTACACACACACACACACATAGATACACACACACACACACACATACACACACACACATACACACACACACATACACACACACACATACACACACACACATACACTAAATAATTTATAATTTAATATTAATATTAACTAAATTAGCTGATATATAAAATATTGACTCTAAATTATGATAATTATAAAAATAATTACCATTTTTTAATCATTTGATATAAATGATAGTCATATTTCACTAAATATCTTATTTATTATTGATTGATTAAATATAAATAATACATCAATTTAATTTCAATACTCAGACTATTGTTGAATTTATTTTATTACTTTATTTATTTCTATTATTTAGTCTGTTTTTTTATTTAGTTTTGTTTTAGTTTATTTAGTAGACTTTTTTAAAATTTAGTAGAGATTTTTAAAAATAGTTTTTTATGAATCATAATATTGACTTCATTTTAATAAAATCATTTAAATAATTATTTATAATTTTTATAATCGCAAAACCATAAAAATATTTTTTGTGTATAAATCCTCAAATAGATTACCAAAGTCTTGTTTTTATTAAGAAATTTTTCTCTTAAAGTAAAGTATAAAATCGTTTTGTTTAAGATATAAGACTTTATCATTACATTTATAATTATTAATATTAATTGACATAAAATATTAATACAAAATATTATATTAAATATAATAAATACAATATATGTGTAACGCATGTGCTTTACCTCATATTTTCTAAGTATAGTTTTTATTAAGTATTTAAAGTATGCTTTCTCTCAAAGTTTTGTATTTTTGTTAACTTTAAAAGTTAAGCATAAGTACTGTCTTTATTAAGAAATTTTGCAAAAACTTAGAGAGAATGAGAAAACAGAGTATTAGGTCTTAAGCGGCAATAAAAAGTGGAAAAATAAATAATTGAATTAAAATTCAATACATTACTGATAAGTATTTAGTGGTGTTTATGTATAACTATGAGCTTTAAAGCTATGTTTGCCATAGAAAACAATGATCTGTCGATTGGATGAGAGGACAACTTTGCGAATAACAAAACATTATATATTTTTATTAGTTTTATTAATTTATTAATTAATAGATTAATTTAAATATAAAAGAAAACATTATTGATTTAATAATAGTTAAAAATTAAATATATTTTAGTGTTAAATCAATACAATACATTTAGATTGAATACTTTTAAAAAAATTTAAAATGTAATTTTACACTACATTTTAAATTAGCATTTTTAATGTTAGATCCAGGTTAAATAAATTTAGAAAAACTTTATTAAATTGTGTTAAAAATAAATTTTCTTCAATATATCAATATTATAATAATATTATATTATTAGTCTAATATTAAGTTAGGCAAAGATAACTATTTATATTAATCTTTCTTTCTTTTCAAACACAAATACATATATTTTGATATGTGCTTAAAAACTTGTTTTAAAATATATATAAATATAAGTTTTTATTTATTAATTTTATCACTTAAAATATCTATTTATTTATAATTTGGTATTATAAATAAAGCTTTACGATATTATATGCTAATAATAAAAATCTACTTTTAAAAAACAAATTATTAAATCTTAGAGTATAATAATATAAATATAGGGTTTAATAATTTCAAAGCATTTATATTTTAATTAATTAATTGAATATATTTTTACATAATATCAAAATTGCATAAAATCAATATTAAAAAATTAATAGTTTTAGTAAAAAGATATAAATACAACCTTTAATTTTAATTGATTGGAAAATTGATAAACACATCGATTATAAAATGATATAATGATATTTGATGATAAGTAAAATTATTTAGTTATAATTGTTGAATCATTTGTATTATTTCAGTCATTTATATATATATATATATATATATATATATATATATATATATATATATATATATATATATATATTTATAAATATTTATAAATTAGTATTTAATTTTTAAGTTTATATACACAAATATATATATATATTAATAGTAAAGCTTTATTATTAGTATTATTTTTGTATATATTTACTACTAGTTTCAATTGTTGTTAATTTTTTTACTTCAATAAAAAACTACATTAAAAATAAGGTCAAATGAAGGCATCGATTATTTTAATTAAATATTTAGAAATTTGTAATATATATAAACAGTAATTGACTGATAATTACTGATTATCTAACAATCGGTTTTCATATATGGGAACAAATGTATAATAAATTGTAAATGTATGGAATGCATGAATAAAAATAAAATTATTAGAAACAACACATAAATAAATGCCTTTATAATTGGCTACTGTTTTCATATATTAATATCATATTCAACAGCAATATAGCCTTCAAATAAATACAGGAATTATTTGAATCAATCAATGAATGAATGACCAGTTGTTGTGTAAAAATAATTGTTTACTCATTGATCCCTATCTTTCTATACAAAAGGTGGTGTCGTTCACTCTTTTAAACCTTTTTTAATATTTGAAAAACAAATTTTAAAATTGAAATTATAATTGATTTCAAACTTTATTACAATCTTTATTGTTGTGCTTCGTTTGACATAACTTTTCCTTAAATCACTTCTTTTTTAAAGCAAAAATAATAGTTATTTTGTGAAAATTGTGACTAAAATTGATCATTTGATAGATTTTATATCATAATATGAAACACTATTTTATATAAATATATATATATTTGAGACAATTTCAATCATTCATTGAATGTCTTGTTGTGTCAATTCATGATTGGTCTCTCAATTGGTTTTGTATTGCATTTGCTTTATTAAATAATATGTTTTTTTACTTATTATTCATTTACTATTTCATGTATTACAATGTTCTTTGATATATTAAATATTGATATAAATTTTATATAAATATCATATAGAAAACACATTATATAAAGTATGTACAGTATATCTTATATTATAACTAAAACTTACGGTATATATACCTGTTATATAATCTATCAAAATATTGTAATATACAATACTATAGTATAGCATATAAAATATATTAATAGATATGTACTGTATAATAGTTTTATGTTAGCAACAATTGAATAACCAGTATTTATGAATTTATGATAATCATGATTATTATATTTATTGAATACACAATTATCCAGCACTTGTGTGACAAACATTTTCACATTGAATACCTATAATTTATATAAAACACTATACATAAGCTATGATATAACGGTTTCAAATAGGAATGTATGGTTAAGACCGACCCTTAATCTACTTATAGTATATGAGCTAAACTAATATTTCCAGTTCTGCTTAAGTCATGATCTCATTGCTATTTTGGCTCAAATCTCTCAATTGATGTACAAATTGTATTGCATTACATACTATTGCTTTGAGAGAAATGCATTATATTTTGTGGGAATCACAACAAAAACTTGAAACACAATTTAATTGTGTGATCGCTATGATTGTGTAGTCACCAAAAAATTCATCATATATTGTGTGCCATTTATACATTGGTTTACCTAAACTACAATATATGAAAGTCCTGTTTAGGATAAAATTGATTTATTGTTAATAATTATTAATTGATATTCATATAAATGTTTTCTTTATAATTATTAAAATACTTTACATTATAATATTTAATATTTAGTTTTATGTGATTGATTTGACACTTTTTAATGACTTAAACAATTAATAAAGAAGAGCACCCAATGTATTGTGTGTCGTAACCAATGATCTGATACTTTATATCATTTTTTCAGTTATCATCACAAATGTGAAACATCTGTGGATTTTCTAAATTATTGTTTTTTCAAAATATCAAATAACATCAAATATGCATATTATTAGGAGAAGAAGTACTGGTAAGTTATTTGATGTATATTTTAATATTAAATATAATTTATAATATAATATAATATTTCATTATATAATTAATTAATTGTTTATGACATTTTAATTTAACACAATTTATAAAAACAAAGAGATAGCTTATAGATAATCGTATAAATTATTATTATTTTTTGGGAATATAAAAGTAAAAACTAATTTCTATAAAATATATCAAAAGTCTATATTGTTATCTGTAAGTCTATTAACGATACAATTATTAATTTTAATATTATCATATACAATATAATATGTTTTATCTAAATAAGTTACAAATATTTCACATTTTACATTAAAATTATAAGATTTTTAAAATAACAGATTGAGATTTATATTATTTATATCATAACATACTTAAGGATATATGTTGTGCTAATTTTAATTTTTGTGCAAATATTTTTAGTGATTATCAATAACCAAGAATTATGAACCAGTTTAACAATGATTACAATAAATTATATTTTTTTGTTGAATTGTTGCTAAAATAAGATATTATTAAAATAATTATTAATCTCAAATAATTGTTAATACAAAATAATCAATGATTTTAATGCTCAATAAGTTTATTTTAAAAATCTACTAAATTGATAAATATTTTATTAGTAATATAAATTAATATGTATATAAATTTAGTTTAATTTACAAATATATATTAGATTAATCTTTGACATAAAAAATATACAATATATTGTTGTATTATTGCATATAAATGAATTAAAATTTATAAAATGATTTTATATTTTTTTAAATGAAAAATTGCAAATTGATTTTATTGTTATTTAGAGTAGAAAATATTGTTTATATGTTATGAGGTACAGGTGTGCAGTTATTTTTATAGATGTATTATTTTTATAACTTAAAGGTTCAGAAATTATTTATACCTCAAAAACACTTTTGATTCTTAAATAATTATTATACAATAAATATTTGATTACAAACCTATATGTTATAATAAGTCCGTCAAAGACATATATATATATATTGTACACTAATTTCCAAAACTATCTGACAGTTTAATCATTGAATATCTAAAAAATTAATTAAAAAATTAATGCTATTTTTGGATTTCTAAAACCCATAGCCTATATGTAAACACAACTCTGTTTGCTATATTATATAACTTATATACCTTTATAAAGTTTATTCATTTGGTTTTAACTAAAATTATTGGACAATTAATTAAAAATTTATTGAATAGTTGACGGAAAAAAAGATTTCTTTATTTCTTGAAATATTTTAAAAGATGACATTATTAAAAAATTAATATAAATTTTAGATATAAACACTTTAATAAAAAAAAGTATTTTATTTAGTACTAAATAACTGGAACATAGACAAAAAGTAACTAAAAAATAAAAATGATAATTTTATAGTATATTGCTAATTATTGTAATTATAGTATATATATATATATATATATACCTGTATATATACAGTATATAATATACTGTATATATAAAATAAATTTAATTTAAAAATCATTTTCAAATGTATAGATTAGAAACAATACACTGTTCTCTCCAAACACTCATAAGAGAACATTAGATTGTTTTAAATTATTGTAATATAAGTTATATTGTGTTACATAAAAACTATTTCATTTTCATTTAACATTTTAAAACTTATTTAACATAAAATACATTATATTAAATATACTGTAGTATGAAATACTAATTATTGAAACATAATTTTATTTTAATATGAATATATAATTTAATTTTATAACTATTAATATCTAAATTTTAAAATTAATAAATACTGTATATTAGGTACTATAGTCTATAGATAATTATGTGCTAGAAATTTTGCATATTAATAATGATAACTTAAGCTTAACTATAGCTTAACTGATTAACTTATATTTAATTAAAATGTGTCTAAAAAGTAAATAAAGTTTATTAAAGCAGAGACAAGTTTGTCCTCATTTTTAAGATTACATTATATTTTTAAAAATATATTTATTTTATTATATACTATTCATTTTCATAATTTTTAGAAATAATAATTGAACAAAATTATACAAAGTTTATTATCATTTAATTTAAAAATACAATAAATGTCCGATTTTTAACTCAATGATATAATTATAATTTTCTATTGATTATTTCTATAATACTTTTATAATCATTTTATTATTAGAAAGCATTATTATTTGTATAAATCATTGAAATAAATATAAAGTAAAGTTAAATACAAATACTAAAAATAAATAAAAGCATTTTACCTAATAATATGAACAATTAAATACAGAGTTATGCCTTTTAGCTATTTATTATATAATTTAAATAAAATCAACAAAAGATATGGTTTTTATTTGTTTTTGATTGTAAATAGTATGAAGTGATTCAACAGTCCCCCCCCTCGGTGGGTGACCCCTTTCCCCCATCGGTCCAAACAACTACCCAAACACAGCAAACCTGTCTCGACCTTCATTTGTGGGCAAAATGAGCCCTTTTGGCGCATATTTTAATTGAGGATTAATTGAGTACAGCTTTTAATTATTGCCGATATTTAGTATATTATTTGAGAAGTTTGCAAACATTTGCTTCCGTGTCAACAAACAATTTAATGGTCACGCAATCACTCATATCTCTATAGATTTTATTATTTATAAATATATCCAAACTCTAAACCCCTATAATTTTACTGAAAAATAATAATTTTTGTATTATAATACTCATATTATATATTAAAACGTCTATTAATGCGTTATTATACTCTATTATTATTTTATTATTTTACTCTATAAATATATTATTGGTGTATATTTGTTATATAAAAAATCTAATTATTTATGTAATGAATGAATGATAAATATATAATAGGGAAGTGTTGAGTAATATTTATAATAAAAATTTGATATTATTTTTAGTATACTGTATTTGTATAAAAATTATATTAAATTAATATGTTTAATTTTTAATAAATATTTTTTAAATAGATATTAAGTTGTAGACATATGTTATTTGAATATATATTAAATATTTTTAAATAAATTATATTTCAGATATTAAAGTAAATAAACGAAATCCTATAGATTTACAACAGATTCTTACGATTTATAGTAAGTTTGTTATAATATGTTAACTAAAAGAAAAATTGTTTTAGTTTTTAAGGACATCATATTAAATGCTATAATGAAATAAAACAAGCATGCTAAATTTATTATAACAAATGAGTTTTTATGAAAAAATATAAAGACAATAGCAACGCAAATATTATATTTTTAAAAATATGCTATTATTTCAAAACCATTATTGAGATATAAACAAAATAATTATTTAATTAATGTAATATTTATTATAAACACTTTATGATATTAAAATAATCAAAATGCATAATAAAATAAAACTTAGTTTTTATTTGACGCACAAATGTATGGTAAATGCATTACAAATGAAATGTGAGAAGATTTTGCAATTAAAAAAATATATTAATATTTCATTAAAATAATAATCTATTGTTTAATGCAAAAAATGCAAATATTGATTTTTTTATACGTTAGAAGTGATTATATGCGGCAAATCTGTTAAATATTATGCAAATTTTTATATCTAGTGTTTATAAATAGTATATTTTATATAAAACTTATGATTATTGTTAATAAATAAGTTTTTCATGAGAAACAAACAAAACAAAACAAAATATATGTGTTTATAAATATTGTATATTACTTTTTGTATAATAATAACAACAGAGAAAAAACAATTTGTGTAAAACACAAAACTGTTTTAGTTATTATAATAGTTTAATAAAAACAATAAAAACAACATCAAAATAACAGCAAAACTAGAATTTTTAATTTAATGGATAATAATAATAATAATAATAATAATAGAAAAACAAGATTTATAAGAAGTGAATAATTATCACAAAATAATTTAAGTTTTGATAATAATATAAATTATGATTATTTATTGTATGTGTTATATGTTAGGCACTGAAATGCAAACCAGTGGACGACTAAAGCTGACCCGATTTCACTACAAGCAACGCAGCTTCGGTATGTTTGACACCGTTATGAAAAACTTATATTAATATTATTTATACATACTTTATACAGTATTAAGTTTATTAAGTATATACTGTACAATATATACAATATAAATTATACTGTACACACACATACACACAAACAATATTTAGCTTAAAAACAAGTCTAAGTATCACTTTATGTGTAGATTATTGTCAAACTTAATACTTAATATTGTATAATTAGCTAATAAATCAATAATAATTATTAAATTATAAATTTAAATTTAAAAAATGTTTTATATTAGGTTTTTAATAAACAAAGATACATTTACTATCTAGAAATTGTCAAATAACAAAATTTCTAATTATTCCTATTAAATGTTTATACAATTTCTTTGAAATCAAGTTTTTTATAGAAAATTTTAATTTACTATCAATTGATAATCGTTGACATGTATTAATTTTGTCAACTTTTAATTTATATATACAATTCAAAAGCAATAATGGATCCCATATATAGAAATTATTTTTTTTGTTATTTCTTTTAATTTTTTATTTTGTTTATCCATACATTTAAGACATCATTTTATAGGATAAACAACAATAGTAATGCATTTTTCACTTGTTATATGAACTTATTATATAACTGATAACTTATATGAGTTGTTATATAAACAATATTTATAATCAAAGTTTTTATACATTGAATCTTTTGAAACAGTGTAGTGATTGTTATCTAACCGCTCACTAACAGAGAGTAACTTTTGACTTACTTTAATAAATGATTTAAAAACACAATTTAATGAGATTTAATGCTAAAATCATATAAAAATTAATTCATTTCTATAACTTTAGTAACATAACAATAAGATATACTGTTGAAAACGATATTAATATCTTATATTAATGGGTAAATCAAATATCTTAACAATATATTTTAAACTTAATAATTTAAAACTGGATATCTATTTTATGAAACAATTTTCTTATATATTAAAACTGTATATAAAAATTAATGTGAGATTTAATCTAAAATCATAATAATATGGAGTAAAACAATGTTTTCTTAAGGCTAAACAAACATATATTCAATGAATATAAAATACAATATAATAAATTATAGTAAATGTTATTTAGATAACATTTGTCATAAATAATTTTTTTTTATTTTGTTTTAAGTATTATTATTATTAATTTAACATTTATTAGAAATAAAATAATCAAAAATAAAGATTTAATAAAAAATGAACTTTTGTTTAAAAAGACAAATAATGAGAACAAAGAGTTCAGTCGTTTATATTTTAATATAAATAAAATATACGAGAATTTGGGCCAAAATTTTATTATAATTAAATATATATTTTATATTTATTTATTATTATCTATTTTAATATAACTAAAAACAAGAAAAACTAAAACATTTTTTTCGAAAATTTCAATCCTTTGGCTCTTCGAGCGACTTGTTTTCGCTCCAATAGGTGTTTCTCCATCTCTTCCTTATTATTATTATTATAATTTTGTTTTTTGTTTTTCTCTTCACTTTTAACTTTGAATGTCATGACTCGGTTACCATAAACCCCACCACTTTTAGAAGTACTTCCAGAATTCAATTGATTATTTGCATCAAAGTCGCGAAGTCGCTCTTCAAATGTCGATTTTGTTTTCTCTTCGTCGACATTACTGTTCATATCATTAATATTAGCAAATGATTTGTGATCTTTAAGTTTATAAAACTTTGTTACACGACTTTCTCGCTCTTTATTTCTGTTTTCTTCTTTAAATTGTCTAAAATTTTGTTTAACTTCTTCAGTCCACTTATGATTATCATCAGAGCTTTCTGACTCTGACTCTTGTTCATCAAAATCACTGTTATTATCACTTCCACTATCACTTGGAATCTCATCAAAATTTTTAACATATTTTGGTTTTGATTCGGTTTGAAATTTTGGTACATTTTTATTAATTACTGGATGTAAAAGTCGATAATCTTCACTCTGTTCGTTGATTTCAAAGTCTGGATTCGTAAAGATATCTTTAAATCTATCGTCTTTAAGAAGATCTGGTTTGGATTTCTTAGAGCTTTTTTGTGACACATTTTGAGCTTCAAATGCCAGACGTTGTGCTAATTGTTTGTTAACTTTGGGTAAATCACTCTTTATGTTCACTCTATCGGCTCTCTGAGACTCAATCTTTTCTTTAATCTTCTTTCGCTTATACTCTTCATAAGCAAATGGATCTGAAGAAGCTTTAGCCTTATGATAGAGTCTAATATCTATGAAGAAGCCGTGCATATAAGCCTTCAATAAATTAGTTCCCATTAAATGAGTTAATCCCAAATCTTCTAAATCTTTTTGTGTGACAAACTGGTAGTCGTCGTAAATAGTATTTTCGTTGGATTCTTCCAACTCTTCAGTGATTCTGTCGAGAAAAGAGCACCATTTGGGTGCAGGTCCTACACTTGGCATATAATAAGACAAGATTTTTGGTGCCTCATTGGCCACAAACAACATTCCAGTGTTGGGAACTATACATAAATCGTTAAAATCAGAGTCGGCCTGAATTGCAGTGTAAGGCTGACCATCATTTCTGTGCCACAATTTCACTATTTTTGAATCCATCGAAGCAATCAAATCAAGATCATCAATAAACTCAATGTCTTTAATGGGAAGTCCATATCTATGATCTTTAACTAAATAAGGTTTCGATGACCTAATATCGTATAGCAAGATCTGACCCGTGGCGGTGCCCACAGCCATATGGATGGCATCCCTAAAGGTTACATAAGTGACTGATGGTATGCCATCAACAATAGATTCATTGGTAACACTACTCAGACCACAATCTAAAACACCGACACATGATTTAGTCCTCGGATCAAATGATTCGACCATTCCTTCATGAGATCCACAAACAAATAGATTATGGTATCGATTGATGGCACAGGTATTAAATGATATGGATTTAGTGTCAAATGGTTTAAGAAATGAACCGATTTCGAGGTTGAGTCGGTAAACATGACTACTGTCACCAACAAAATAGAGGTCACAAGTGCTGTCATTATATACCATATCACGACCAAACCGTGGTATACGTATCCGATAGTATCTACCGGACTGTGAATGCAATTCAACATATCTGTCGACAAACAAGAAGACGAGTTTAGTGTAATCTTCGGACAATATTTTAAATTTGACCACTTCTTCATCGAAACACCGTTCAAACTTCATCGCCAATTGGTTCACATCATAACATCGTACGCGTGGCTTATAAACACCAGTCGACAGTATATATTGACCATCGGGTGACACTTCAACACATCTGCTTACAGAAGGCATCTCAAAGTCTTGGATCAGTTGAATGCGACGCCGAAGATCCACATCTTTCTTGACCAGCAATCGTTTCTTGCGGTCGGACAGCCATTCGGGTATAGTCTTACCGTGACTTAAGTTATATATCTTAATGTCGTTTACTTCTGACACTTGCATTGTTGTCCACTTTGACCATCAAATGTCTTCATATGTAATGTTTATCATTCAAATCAAATGTATTGCAAACACAACACTAAACACAACATTAAAAGCACAACAAATGCAATGCTTTTGCACTCAAACCACATGTTTTGACATTTAATTTGTATCTAATATTTCATACAATAGATGGCATATCTGTTGTGAATTCTATTAATATTAATATTAATTATAAATATATTTTAGTTTCTAAAGAATATTCCGATTTAAACATAAAATCATAACATTTTTAAAACAAATTTTCTAATCTTTTAGTAAATTTTTAATTGTTTAAACTTATTAACAAAAATATATATTTTCTATTAACTTTAAATTTATTAAATTTATTGTAACTTTGTTTTTTATTTTAAAAATAAATACCAAATAAAATAAAACTAATTTGAAAATATGTAAACAAATTTATACATTAAAAACAAATATTTTATACATAATATTAATATCTGATTCAAATAGTAAATCTCTGTAAATTAATAAAATCTTACTCTTTTTATTAGTTATTATCACTTACTACTAGTATTTAATTGATTATGATTTTGATTTTTTTTAATAATTAGAAATGTTTAATAAATTTATTGAATTATTATAATTTGAGCACATAAAATATAACGAGTATTGAAAAATAAAAATTTGAACAATGTAAATTATTAAAATAGCAAATTCATTAAATTCTAATTAAGTTTAAGCTAAATTAAGTTTTTAACAGTGAAATTAAGAAATACAATAATTTATTATTATTAACATTTTAGCAATAAATATAAAGCTAAATGTGTTAATACTATAATATAAATGTTTTGTTAATTATAAAATTTACTTCAATTGCATAACACACACACACTATGTCCTTTAAATACCCTTTTCTAATGACTTTGCAATTTGTAAGTACAGTATATGCTTACAATTTATTACATAAATTATATCAAATCTAATTAATTTGATAAGTTTATATATTTTTTTATTTAAAATATTTTTATTGTAACTATTAAAATTATACAATGTTTATTTTATTAATGTTTAATTATTGAAAGTTAATTAAAAATAAACATAATATATACAAATACAGTAAAAGGGTATAAGTCATGATATAATTGTTTAAAAAACATGAATTTGATTAATAGTTTATTATTAATAATATTAATAAATGTACAATACTTTCTTAAATAATGCATTTCAAGGTTAAAAAATTATTTATATAAATAATAAGAAATTTTTTAACACAATTAACAAGAATTTGAATTTTAAAAAGTTTCTACTAAAATAATTGAGTTATATTTTAATATAAAAAATATTTAATTTAAATTGCTATTTGTTTTTTACGAAATTTATTTAATCAAGTTTTTAATTTTTTTGTAGTATTAAAGTCACAATTTAGTTTCAATGATCACAAAATGTAATTGTATTTACTAGTAGTACAGTAGTTGTAATGAATTGATTGATACAATGAATTAATGAATTAATTTGTGCACAATATGTGTTAGATTTAGTCTACTGTATGTCACAAATATCTATTGTATAATATACAGTATATATATATATATATATATCATGTATTTTTATGTACTGTAATATATTATAGTATACGGATATATCACATTTATAGGATAATGTTTCGTTAATCATGCAATCAATCAAACAATTAACACTAATTTGGCAATTATTTATGCGATCCATTGCTAAACATAATTTATATCGTCAACTGAAATATCGGTAAAAATAGTTTGGTTTCAATAATAACAGTGCCCTCTAAATGATGTCAATAATTTATGGCAATTTGTGCCGCTAGTGATTGCGATAAAATTAGGCGACTATAACACATGCGTATAACATATTTACAGTCATTTATACATTATTATTATATTCACATATTATATGTATTTCAGTAAACGTAACGATTGTGTGCCCATTAAGTTATAGACACGAGTTTTCTCTAAATAAATATATTAATAATAATCACAACTTTTTTCACTATAAAAATAATAATATTTCTCACATTCAATAAACAACACTTTGACAAACTATTTTTACCTATTGTATAATATATTAATAAATATTTTATTATTAATGTTATTTTTGAAAGTTTTGTTAACATCTATAATAACTGTATAAATATCACAAATTGTGATATTTATAATCATAAATATTTAACACAGAGGTAAGTGTTTTATTAACTATTTAAATAATTTAATCATGTTTAGATTTTTGTCATAAACTTAAGTATAATCTAGTCTAATAAAAATCATATCAATAAATAATTTTTATAAATATGTCATTTAAAATAAAGATTAAATAATTAATGTAATAATTTTATCACATTTTTTAAAAGTTCTCAACAATAGTTACTATTATACAAATATAAATATCATTATTTTGAAATTTATTATCTTTTTGTGAACTATATTTAACATGTTTAAAAATATAGATCGTGTTAATGAATTTTTTAAAATTATCATTTTATAACTGCTATAAAAATAAAACTATGAATAAAATAAAAGTTTAATATTATATTATACAATATATGAGTGTTAAGAGACTTACCTTAAGTGCAAAAACTCTTAAAATAAAAAATCAAATTTTTATGTTATTTAATGACATATTAAACACAAGTTTGTTGTGAAGTTATGCTGTCATTGATTATATCGTATGAATAAAATTCATGAATAATCACATTTTATTTGTTGGCTAAACAACAAAAAAATCCATTTTTTAGTATAGTCAAAATACAATATTTAAATATATATTCAATATATATATAAATTTATTCAAACAACAGTAATAAAAAATTGAATAATAATTTTGCTATAGTTTATTTTATTATTATTATTATTACTGTATATATTATAAGAAAAACTACAAAACAAATATTATCTAATAATTACAATATATATGGTAATTATTAAGTACGCTTACAAATAAACATAAATTGATTTAATAAATACATCGACTATTCAATTATTAAGCGATGAGATTGTGAGTCGTTTTTATTTATTTCTTACTCTTTAACATGATTTTACAAATTGTTATAAAAATTTATTTTATGGTACTTTTTATTGTTGTGTCGTTTTATATTGAATTTTATTCAACTGGAAAAGACTACAATAAATAAAAGTTTATAATTTGATTATTTACTTATTTTGGTGTCTTATATGTACAGTATATATCAGTATTGTACTGTATATACCAAAAGTCATTACCAAAAAAAACCAATGAATAAAATAGAGGACAAATGTAAGTGTTTTAGACAAAATGAATGATAGTATAAATGATAGCAAAATTATAATTAAATTAATTATAAGTAAAGATTAAATATTATACTATTTTATACATTACTCTTATTATATTTAGTAAATCTATTAAAAATATTCATAATTTAATAGTGTTTTTATGTTATTCATTATTGAAGACCAATATATTTATACGAAATTTTGTGTCCAACCATTTGAAACCTAAGAATATTCCGGTCGACTAATGCTTGAAATTGGGACACAAGTAATGTAAGAATTTTTGGTATTTGTTTTGCTCTTAAGATTTCTTGTATTTTTATGTGAAAATTAGTTTCACTCAAACATCTTAAAAGGAGTTACTTTTGACTCACTATTATAGCACTTATTTTAATGGTTTCTTTAGTTAAACCAATTTGATAGTAAACTCCGGAGTGTTTGGCTGTTATGTTAACCAGTGTTTCACAGTATTGTTGTTATTGTTGTCGTCTGAGAATTGTTAACATTTCAAACATACCGTTCAAACGAATATATATATATATATATATATAAAAGTAGACTAAAACTATTGAACAATATCTTTCAAATAACGGAATTCACAAAATTGTAATCATTTTTCAACTAATATATATATATATATATATATATATATATATATATATATATATTGTATTTTTGAGTAACAAAAAATATTTAAGTCAGAAACAAAAAAAAATAGTTTACGAATTGATTGTTTGGAAAAAATTTTGAACCATTTTGTCAATCCGTTAGCAAAAGTGATTGTATTATTACTTATAAATTTGTTTTACATTACTTTCTAAAAATATAGCATTTCTTGAGAGAGAAAAAAAAGTGATCATTAAGTTTGATAAGAAATTGTTGTGTCTCACGGTTTTAACATATTATAACCATTTAGTGTAGAAAATGTTGGCTCAATTTATTGGTTATAAATTTGCTTAAAATATTTGCATAATATTTTTGTTGTTGTATTACATTTCAATATACTATTTATTGAATAATGTCAATTCATTTCAAATATATTTATAACTTATAGTGAACATTAAATTAAAACTATTGTAATCTTCAACAAAATTTAATAAAAAAAGAAAATAGTTAAAGAAAATAACTAAATTTAGTGAATACCAGTTAATAATAAGTAAGAGATTGACTCAATTTTTGTAGTTTTGTTGCAATGATATTGCCTTTGGTAACCTATTTATCTCTTCAAACGTTTTTTCAATGAAAAGCTATTTATATCATATCAGAAGCAATGAATTTATGAGACATTGAATTTGAAAATCATTGATGACTCCAAACATATGTTTTTTACAGTATAATACTGTATTAAGTTTTATATTTATTATAGATATAACACATTATTGTTATAAAATATTTTTATTTTAATATAAGTATTTTTAATGTTTTGTAAATTATTATATTATTATTTTTGTTTTGTTTTTTAATTGAATAATTCTTTAAAATTGTAAAAATGCTAAAATATATTAGAAAAAAATAATTTGAGTGCATAACAGTGTGTAAAATAAATTTTTAAATTTTAAAGTTGTGTCATATGTGCTGCTGACTCAACAATATTTTATTTGTTTTTCAAAACTACATTTTATGAAATTAAAGTAAAAAAATATCAACTAATTTGTACATTAAAACAATTATAATGACAAAAACAGGCCAATTGTTTGTAATAACTATGTATTTACTAATATGTTTGGTATTGAGTATTAAATGTCAGTAAATTACAAAATGTTTTAATTAATGAATGCTAGAAATTATTTTATCAAATAATAACAATAATTAAGTTATATTTAGTAAGTTATATATAATATATTTGTAAAATTATTTAAAACTTCAATTTTATAATAATTGATTTTCTTTCTAATTTACATTTAATTAATATCCAAACATTTAATCTCAATAAAAATTAAAAACTATGTGAATAATAAATACAATTAATTATTTGATAAAATTTCTAAAATCCTAATAATTATCACATCATTTATAAATACACGGTATTATGAATAATAGTCAAAATTATTACATTTATTTTTTATGTCACACACACACACACAAACACACACTAAGATAATATATATACTAAAGTAAAATATACAATATATTTAAATAACAAAAAAGTGTTTACAAATAAAGCTCTCAATTACTTTGAGTATATGTAAAATAACACATTTTTAATTAACTTTGAAAGAACGCTTATATTAAATATAATGTATAATATATAATATACAGTACTTAACAGTATTACTAATTAGTAAAATATGTTTAATTTATATTTTTTTAACAGATGATGGTTTGAATCCTTCGGTTACATTAATAAACAGCAGACCTTTAATGGTATGTCAAAAGTTTTTTAATTGTATTTTTTATTATTACAATACAATACTTACAATTTTATTACAATAATCATCAAATAATTTATTCAATACATGTATTGACAATTGTATTCATTAATTTTTATAAAAAATACTTTATCGATGCAAATATTTTAAATGTATGATTATTATAATAAAATGTGAAAATTTTGTGGGAAATAAAATTTGAATATTATATATCATTAAAGTGGTATAGGTTTTTAAAGGAAATATCTAAAATAAATTTTGTATTTAAATTGTATGTCTTATATATATAATTTAAATATGTAGTATACGTTAAATTTATTAATCTTAGGCTTCTAAATAATATTATTGTATATTAGTAGAAATTCTATATTTGTATTAATTTAATTACTATACAATTAGGGCAACTCAATAAAAATAGACTTAAGTACTCATAAAGCATTTTACTATATTAATTTTTGTTTTTATTTTTTACGTAAATATATTATTTTATGTAAAAATTTACCTGTATAAAAAATTAATTTTAATAATTATTATATTCTAATAAAATCGATAAGAAATCAAATTCTAAACAAATAGCATTTCGTTAATACTTAACATTTACTAATTATGTTAATTATAAATCAATTGTCAAAATCCGAATCCCAAAAAATGTTCAAAAAATATCGTAATTATAGCTTTTTGTTTTAGTAGAAATCAAACCAAAAAACTAATATATATATTGTTAGTCAAAACCTAAAACTAAATAAAACTATTAATTTTTTGAATCCGTAAGAAATTATAATTAACTGTTAAAATTAAAACCGAATTCAACCGAATCGTATACGTTCTGAACTCTACTATAAATTGTTATTTATTTTATTTATAATTTTTTGTAAAATGCTTTATTTAAATCTTATTATTTATCAATTAAGATGTTTTTTTTAAATGATATTAGTGATTACTTTATTAGTTACTTATTGTTTTTTAGTAGAACATTTAAAATCTAAAATTTAGATAATAAATTATCTAAAAAATAGCATAAGTAGATTTATATGTTTTTATAAACAATTTCATCAATTGCAATGTTAATTTGTCAACAATAGATTTGAATGCAAAATACAATAAGAGAAAATTCATAGAACTTTTCTCACATATATATATATATATACAGTAATTCACAACCCTAAATATCTATAAAATGTGTTAACAAACCAATTATACTATTAATACTTTATTATTTGCTAAAAATGACATTTGAAATACATATGTTTATTTTGTTTAATACTGATATTGATATACTGTATAATTTAGATTATTTTCAGTTATTTTTAAATTATATATAAAGTTTAGTAAAATAAATATAATATAAATATAATTAATAAGTACTTGAAAATATATTGAATGCTAATTTTGTTTATAAAAATAAGATCTTTTAATAAAAATTTTAAACTTATTGTCTGATTTTAGCTTAAAATAAAATTTATAGACATATATTACATATTACATATTACATAATAATATATTTATAATTTGTTAGCAGAATTAAAGTTTTCTTTAAAAAATATATTCATCTGTTTATCAAAATTGTGAAAAATAAACTTTTAAAAATTTATTAAAAATAATAAATGATAATATTTTAAAATAACAGTCATAAATAGCATTTTATGATAATAACAATAACCAAGTTTGGTATAAAATTGATAGCGAAAATAAAATATAGTTTATGTCTATAACTTTATTACATAACAGAAATATTGTAGGAAACGTTTTGATAGATCGATAACACAATAGTTATTACATATTTTTAGATTATATTGTAGTTTTGATATGTAATCGAATGTTTGTAATGCATGGGTAGCGGGAATATCCCGGGAATATCCCGGGAATATCCGAGGAAACTAAAAGAAATGTTCAAATGGAGGGAATTATTTAAAGGAAGACAATTCTAATGTTTTAATGTTTTTATAGTAAAAAATTATTAAATAGCAGTCTTGACGACCCATTTCTAGTGACATCATTATAATGAATCGTTTTGTCGCTATTAATGTCATATACAATGGGTTTATATACAGTATATTGTGCTTTATATGTGAGTTAGGCCTCAATTATTTATCACAAAACCAAATGTTAAGCACAAATTTTTTTCCATATTATTTCATCACAAATCTACTCACTTTTAAAACAAATAAATTACAGACGATTATTACAATATATCATAAGTATTGTATATATGAAAAATATATTGCATTTGTGTTTATGTCTATGAAAACCATATTATTAATTTTATCATTTATTACATTTATCAAACACATAGTTTATATACAGTATAATATTTATAAATTATATAAATTACATGATTACTGTTTAATACAAATCAAATGTATTTTTTCCAATATTACAAATTATGTGTTAATAATTAAATATGTTTCTAAAACAAGTATATATCGATCTCCAAAATTAATAGATAGCATTTGAATTATTAAAATGTATTGTTATTCTAGTTTAGTATTTATTTATATTAAGGTTTAGCCAAATAATTATTGTATGTATAATATTGTTTTGTAAAATAACAGCAATTTTGAAAAAAATATTTAAAATTAGTGTTTACTTCTAAATTTATTGAACCACAAAATCATTTAATGCTCTAACAAATGTGATATTTAAAAGTTTCAAAATTTTCAAAATTGATGACTTTATATATATAGTTCAAAGTCTTATATTATTTATTTTGGTTGACTTGAAATTTTTAAAAAATTAATAAATTTATGAAAAATATATTGTTAATAAATAAAAGTAATATTAAATTTTATAAAATAAAGAAATAGTTTCTCTTAAGTTTAAATAGCTTATGATATGAATTCTTTATAAATCATTTATTTTAATTAAAATTGTATCAATTTTTATCTACAGTATTACTATATAAAATAATTGTAATATTTCAAATTTTTATTAAATTTTTTATATAGATTTAATTAATTAAATTAATCCATTTTATTAATTTTGTTTAATAAAATATTGGGAAATATTTAAAAATATTTTAATCTTACTGTAAGTCTAAAACAGTTCAAGTATTATTTAAATAATTTGATAAATTTATTTTATATAAATATGTTTTATTGTAATTAAAACATTTAAATTTTTAAAATATTTTGAATTTTAAATATACAAACATCTTACTATTTAATAAAGATTCTTTATAACATATCCTCATTAATATTTATTATTATAAAATAAATTTTTATTTAAATAATTCAAATTATATTACTCATTATATTTCATATTAAAGTTTTAATTTTTTATTAATAATACAAATTTTTATAAAAATTAGTAGAAAATTATTTATATTATTTTGATATTGTTTAAAGATATTAAGTTCAATTTCATTTACTAAGAAAATGCAATACAATACATTAATTGTTTGTTTTATATAATAACTATATTTGTATGAAATTATAGATTGCGATAGTAATCAATGAATGTTTAATTTTTTAAACCTTAAAATAGATTTGCAAACCATTTGTGTTCACTTAGTGTTATATTTTAACAATAAATTGATGTGACATTAATATTCATATAAAACTCTTTGTTAAATACATAACAACTCATAAATATCAGTAAAAAAATTTGGACAATTGACTAATTAAATTTTTAAAACATTTGTTAACATAATATTTATATGTACATTAATAAATTATTTAAACAAAATAGGTATTTAAATAGTATTTAAAATAAATATACTTTAAATTGTATTTTAATTTCATTGAGTAAATCTTTTATTGATGTGACTTAAATGATTCAGTTCATTGTTAAGAATATAATTTTAATATAAATATAATTATAAATATTAATATAATATAATAAAATTTTATATTACAGTATATTAGTATAATAAACAATTAAATACATATTTATATATATAATAAATACAATAAATAGTATATTAATCTGTGTTACTGTTCACTACTTTTAATAAAATATAATTTTAAGTTTTATATAAATGTAATTTATTATTCAAAATATTTATAATTATTACTTATTATTTACGATTTTTTATGAAAGGTTTTATTTTTCTAATTGATATAAAGTGAGAGTATTTTTATTTTGACATTTACAGACTGTCATTGCGTTTATAAATATTTTGATTTTTGTTTTATTATATGAAAATATTTGTTAAATATTTAAATATTATTTATTTAAAAATATATTTTTTAAGTAAAACTAATTTTTTAATTTTGAAAAAATAAATTTTTATTTTACAAGTAAATGACATTTATGAAGGTATATAATAAAATTCATTATTTATTGTTTAAGTAATAGTATAATACTTATATCATATCTTCTATTGATACAATCAATTACTCGATATAACATTATAAAAATGTATAAAATGCGTGAAATTGTTAATTATATATCCAATAATTAACTAAAAGACAACTTTTTATTTTTTAAACTATTTCTAAATATATAGAAAACAATGGTTTTCTCCGACAATAAAGTGACGGTTCTATGACTCCGGTTGTGATGTTGTCATAAAAATATTGTATAATTTATGTTAATAACTAGTTTTAAAGCATTATTATTAATTGTAATATAATATTGAATAAACTTGAGACTTGTTATATCATAAATTATTTTATATATTACTTATAACTTAATAGATTTTTAAAATAAATCAATTAATGAAAAGTTTAAAAATAAATAGTTCTTTATATTATTAAAAAATTAAAAATTAATATAATTTTAATTTAAGTTTTAGTTTCAGCATAGTTTTAGCTTTATTGCATTCATTTGTAACAAAGATATATACGGTATATAATAACTATGCTATGATTTAATTGTGTATTCCTAAAATGGTATTTATATTTTTATAAAATTTACGTAAGTTTGATTTCAAAATTGAGTCAATTTTTATAATTAAAATATGTTATATATTAGCTAAAAGGATATTATTATGACAACTAATATGACACCACAAAAGGTAATTATAGTTTATGGGAATTTTAATTTAATTTATTT